AGCACCTTTAAGATAATATTACCACTATTTAAACGACTCTACTATTACTAGTAGCTCTTAGTCATAGATAGTGTATCTAGTCTTAACATCGACCATTTTACGTGAGAAGAACGTAACTAGATACCATTAGACCTTTTTAGACTTAGTTAGTCTAGGCTAGGAGAGAATACCTAAGATTATAAATCCTAACGCGTCGGTTTCGACGCGGATAGGTTTAGTTAGGTCGAAGTGCACTAGCAATAGAGCAGTTATAAATGCCTCTTTAATTTTCTCGAAGGAGGCCCTTTCGCCTTCTGACAATTCTATAGGCTACGATTTAATATTACGCTGTTTCTATCTACCGCGGACCGTAATAGACGAATCTATGGTAGTAGTGCGCGCGTTAAGCGGTACTACTAGCCGGGAGAAATGCTTAACGAATTTTCGGTAGTAATTAGCGAATCCGATAAAGACACGTATGTCTTAAACCGATTTTGGTTTAGGCTAGTCCACGATAGTAGCGACCCTATCCCTTTCCATAGTTATACCTTAATTAGTAATAACGAAGCTAAGAAAGTTAACGTGGTCCTAGTAGAACTCGTATTTAGATAGCTTAATGTATAGCTTGTGTTTTTCTAGCCTATCTAGGACTACGCGTACGTGCTAGATATGTTCTTCTTCGTTATTAGAGAAGATAAGAATGTTATCGAGGTATATAATGCACGTCATGTCGAGTAGGCCTACCAGCGCGTTATTAATATACGCTTAGAAGGTTCCTAGCGCGTTAGTTAGTCTAAAAGAGACCACTATATACTCGAAGTATCTATAACGGGTCCTAAACGCCGTTTTCTACTTATCGCCCTTCTTAATACATAGGCGGTAGTAGGCGTCGCGTAGATCGAGCTTAGTGAAGATCTTCGCGCGCCCTAGTCTATTAATAGACTCGGAGATAAGAGGTAGTAGGTAACGATTCTTTCGCGTGATGTTATTTAGACTATAGTAGTCGATACATAGACGGAGACTCCTATCCTTCTTCTTTATAAAGAGAATTAGAGCTCCGGCTAGGGATATACTAGGCCTAATCCATCCTCGCGTAAGGTTCTTTTCGATGTATTCTCGGAGGACCTATAGCTCGGGTTCTAATAGAGGGTAGATGGGTCCGTGTAGAGGTTATTAACTGTCTTCGAGGTTAATAGTAAGGTCGTTAGGTTAGTATTAAGGTAATTCGGACGAGTCGATCGCTAACACGATATATTAGTATATTTTATACTAATATAGTAGGTTTTCGTCTACTTTAATGCTAAGCTCTCTATTTTAAGTAAGTAAGAGGACGTAGATGGCGGAGATTACCTTTTCGTAGTCCTTCTAGAATTATTCGTCGTCGACTAGCTATACTAGGTTCTATTATAGTGGGTACATGCGCCAGCCAGCTGTTTTCTAGATGAAGTCTAGTTTCGGGTTATATTTTTCGAGCTACGGCATACCGAGGATCATGTTAAAGGGACTATCTACCACGATAAAGGTTGAGTAGTAGGGTTTCCACTTCCCCCCGCTATCCTAGATGCCGTATTTAATAGTATAGGTACCCTACGATTTAATAGGACTATCGATACTATAGAAGGTGGCACCTATTAGTACTTAAATATCGACGTTAAGTTCTCGTGCTCGTTAAGTCGATATAACGTTAGTAGCTAAACCGCTATTAAGTATTACGGTCTAATATTATCCACGAGGGACCTCGATAGGCCTAGCCTATAGTTTAATATACTAGTTGGCTAGTTATCCCTCTATTTTAGTTACGTCTATAAGTCGCGAGGGTTCCTCGTAGGTAGTTAGTTTTTTATATTATATACCGGGTAGTTAGGCGCGATGTGTCCTAGCTATTAGCACTTATAGCATATAACTAACTTAGTATCTATATTAGTATTCGGTGGTTTCCCTAAGCGGCACTTAGGTGCTATATGGCCTATTCTACTATAGGTGTAGTAGGTGACTTTAGGTCATTTATATAAGTCGTTTCTCGCGTCTCGATATATTAACTAGTAGAAAGATCTACGGTACGGGCCTCGTCTTCTCGAGTTCGTAGAGTGGTAGCGCCCACGAGGTGTTCCGCGCGATCTATTACTAAACCGGTCCTCTTTAGACGATTTCGCATCGGATTAGATTAATAGGGATAGTCGTGCGCCTGTACGACGTTAGTTATTTATTATACGCTAATGTCGTTCTGCGAGATTCGCGAGTGCCTAAAGGTCGGTAGAGATAGACGTTATAAAGTCGATGCGTTCCTTTACGCTCGGGTTAAGGGACCTTTTAAAGTCGTCGTATTATCGAACCATGCGATCTTCCTAGGCTTCTCTCTAAAGAGGTCGGAGGTATTTAAGGAGTTATAACGGGGATTATCTCTCTTACTATTAAGTCTTAAAGATATGGCTCTAAGCCTATTCGCGTCGCTCGGCTCTATCGCCGAAGTATTAAAGAAGGAATTCGGTGAACGTGTCCTAGTTATGCGCATCCTTAGGGTATTTAATTCGATGTGCTATCCAACGTTCAGATAGCGTTAGGTCTAGGTAGTTCTATGCGAACCTAATCTTATTACTATCGTTCGTAAATAGGTGGAAGAATCGGCTATACTAGTAAGCCTATTTATAAAAGCTCCTCCTAGTTTTACCGTCGAAGTAAGGTAGTTTCTTAGGCCGAGGTAACTAGGATAGTAATAGACTTAGTTAGACTATTTCGGCTTAAGTTAGTCCATATTAGTGTAGGTTAGTTACTACTAGCACTAAAGCGTGTAGTACGGCTTCGAGTCTAGTAGTTCGTCCTTATACTTCGTCGAGTTCGCGAAGTTACTACTCGAGCTAAGCCTAATACTACCTCTCCGCGTGTAGCTTAGTATATACATTATCGTAAGGCGTGGTTAACGTTAGTCGGTTCTAATAAATTAATTCGTTAACGTTAATAGGGTCTAGTCTTATAGTAAGGATGGGTCTAGTATAGTATGAACTAGACCGCGATAGAGTATAATAGACTCCTTCCTTATTATCTAGGTAATCTTCTATAGTTATACGGAATGCCGTACTAGTTATTAGTACGATAGCCTATAGGGTATACTTATTAGTAGAGGTGGTCGTAGGGAGACTATTCTCTTTATTTAGATTTAGAGAGAGTCTCTCGTGTAAGGTAGTGCCACGGGTATTATAGCGCGTAGTAGGAGCTATCTCTATAAGCTACCGTCGTGCTATATAGAGAGGAATTAAAATATAAAGAGTGAAGACGTGGGATAGTAGTCTAATAGTTTATAGAGAGATATAGGAATGTATTTATAGAGTAATCTTACTCTTATACGAGGTTGATTCCTAACGAGCAGGAATCGGTTTATACGGTCTACTTATATAGTAACATCGCTTAACTTAGCTGACTCAACCTAGCTCTAGCTACTACGTGGCTACATGGATTAGAATGGTCCATACAGGTCCATTATGGTTCCCGTCCTAACAATAAGAACCATAGAAGTCGCGAATTATCTAGGTATATAGATACTATCTTAACTTATTAGTTCTATAGGTGGCGTCTATTAAGGTAAGTTCGCCGTAGTTAATTAGCTACTCTAGTTGGTATTTCTAGACGAATACTAATAAAGATTTAATACTAGTTCGGTCATAGCGATAAGCGACAACTCTCTTATACCTCTAGTTACAATCTCTAAGCACCTCCTTAGCCTTATCTAGCTAACTATTAGCGCTTAGAGTATTACCCTAAAGTAGTCGATTAGGGCTATAGTTAACTACTTAAGCCTAGTTATAGATTTACCGTATAGTAAGGTAATTACCGCCAGCCTTACTAAGTTTAGAAACCTTACGTCCTATCTATAGATTCTTAAGACTCTAATAAAGATAAGCCTTTAATAGGCTTGGATTTAGCCTTATTATCTCGACTATACGATTACGTAAGCCATCGTTAAGCTTTAGACTATTAATACAATTAAGACTATAAGAGTACTTAGCTCTTCTTTAGTATTTTACTATTCTAATACTACTAGTAGTATTAAAAAACACTCGTATACTAGCTCTATACTACTTACTATTACGGATAGACTTTATTAAGGCCTTACGGAGGTTCTTAGGCGGACGAGGAGTATTAGTCTTACACTTAAGATAATAATTAAAGAAGGTAACCTTAATACCCTTAATAATCTCTATAGATTTCTTACTCTACACGTTACTAATGTATAGCTAGTAGGTATTCTACTACTATTATATTAATATAAGGCCATTAGATAGCGTGAATAACCTCTCTCTCTACTATATAATACGCCCTAGGTTATTAAGGCTAGCGTGGTGATAGCGCTTAGTATAAGGTTACTTCTAGATAGCGATAGATAGTATAATATAAGTAATAGTAGACTACTAGCTTAGTGCCTAAGTTAAGGAAGTAGAGTTAGAAACGGTACTACCTAATTCGGTAGTATTCTAAGATTCTATAGCATTATGATCGCGAGATTCAATAGGTATAATAACTTCTAGTAGCTATCTATTAGCTAATTCGGTAATAGTAACGTTACTAATAACAAGGTTAACGAGTTAAAGTATATTAGCTTTAACTTATAGAGTAGTATAAGATATCTTAACCTTAATATTAATAAGAATATACTAATATAGGTAGATTTACGGTATTAAAAGATAAGGAAATAGTAAGACGGTAATAAGGTATAACACGAGGAATGAAGATAATAAAGATAAATAAGTATAGTATATGCTTGGTAAGTCTCGGGTATCCCTCGATCCGAATACCCTATATAAAATTATATAGAGCGTCTGGATCTACTAACCTGCTTAGTCTATATATTATATTCCGTACGCAGACGTTACATTCCGTCACATTCTGTACGCACAAATACGCATTTATACGCTGGACGCTTGAGGAACCCTCCGCTACGCGCACCTGGCCCGGCCCATGACGCGTCTCACGCGCCCAACACAGAAGACTTTGCCATCATCGACATATGATCCAGCCAGGCATCCAGAATGGCAGACAAATACAAAGAATATCTCACGGCAAATGTCCTCGATGAAGGGAGACCGGTAAACATGTCCATCTGACGCAGCATACTAATTCTGACCCTAACAGATCACTTATCGCTTGCTCAGTAGAGCCCTAAGAGTTCATGTTGATCTGGCAAAACAGTAAGCTCCGAAGTCTTCGCAGATTGCCAAAGCTCACATCCGGTCTAGAATGCTGTACGACTTCTATCAGAAACAGAACGCAAAGAACTCAGGGTGTCTGCACGCTACCTACATAGTCTCGGGCACACGACAAATGAGGGAGCGAAAACTCGCCAATGGAGTACAGTCGTATGATGGAGGACACAGATTCATGCAAAGTAGCCCTTCTATGAGGCCTGCGCCAAGAGAGGAAGAGAAAGAGGAGACGATATCCACAATTTCTGTTGTCACATTGGTCACTGAAGAACAGCTGGAAGGTACACCATTCATCTCAAGAACTAGCCGGATACCGCTAACCTTTCATTCTCCCAGATGCAAAATCTAGCCTGGACAAAATTACAAGCTTACATGTCTACAGTCTACAGCCAGGATCCATTGAGGTAGGTACCCTGTGTTTGGTGACCATAATACAAATACTGACCTGTCCTCCAGAATGTTCATATCCTCTCGGTTTGTAACCAAGAAGTGTCAATGAAATATGCTCCGGACGATCCTTTGAAGGCATACGAGATATATGGTACAATACATAATCCTGATGCCAGACGAAGGACTATGCGCAGGCAGCCTCCCGCACCTACCCCAGCACCAAGCAAAAACACTGTCAATACGCCAGCCAAATCCACGTCCAAGCATTCGCCCCCGGCCCCGTCGGATTCAAAAGCTACTGCTGCGCCAGAGCGACGAGGTAGTACTGAGGATGGCAGCGCAGTTGTGAGACCGTCGCCGGTGTCAGATGTTTCGCTAAAGAAACCAGAAAACATAAAAAGTGCCTCCAATCGCGGTCAATCAGCTTTGTTTAAATCGTTTGCAAAGACTCAACCCAAAGTAGCAAAAGCGGCATCTCCAAGAAGATCACCAGCTCCTTCAGCTGAACAAACTGCCCAAGAGGACGAAGCTATGGATGATGCAGACGCATCGGATGGAGAAAATGAGGCCGCGGCCATCAAAAAGAGAGAAGCAGCGCAGACAGAACGGAAAACTCGAGTTGAAAGAGAGGCACAACTACGGAAGATGATGGAAGAGGACGACGAAGAAGATGAGGACGAGCCTATGACCGATTCTCATGAGTCTGAGAAAGTAGAAAGCCAAGAGAGCGCAATTGACGCAGCGAAGCCAGCAGATTTAGATATCAAAGAGCAGACCGTACGTGTTGAGAATGGTCGGAGACGAGGTCGGAGAAGAGTCATGAGAAAACGGACCATCAAAGACGAAGACGGCTATCTTGTCACAAAGGAGGAGGCAATATGGGAGTCTTTCTCAGAAGACGAACCGGTGCCAAAGAAATCTAAACCCACTCCCTCAACCTCCACTGCAAAGGAACCAAAGAAAGGTAATAAACCAGGACAGGGTGGCATCATGAGTTTCTTCAAGAAGGGATAATTTGTTTTCCTTTGGGATTGCATTGAAGGCGTCCTGTGAGTTAGTATAACTCACGTCATATTTTCTGCCCCACCTCTCCGCCTACTCCACACGACGCGCTTCATGCCGTCATGCACTTCGACCATACATCATACATATCAGATATACGACATATGTAACCCGCTTGCAAGCACACGCATCCAGTCCAATCTTCAAACCTCCTCGAAACGTACACATCTCAACGTCCTGGTCACGAGTCACTAGTCTGTCAAGCAGCACTCGCGAAAAGATCAGGTCGTCTGTCCCGTCAACACCGCCAAGATATCTTCACCAACTCGCACTCGTATTTCTCGACTTCTTCGCGTCATTCAGCCAACAGTATCACGCAAGAGAATGTCCACACACTCTGCTCTGTCATCGTCCTTGCCTCAGGCACCATGGAAACCCATCTTCGAGAAACATCTCAGCAGCATGGAAACACCTCAATTCGTATTGTCCACTCTGACTCCAGCTCCTGCTGGCTCTCCAACACCGTATCTTCCGCGTTCTCGGTATGTAATATATCGCGGATTCTGGGGTACTTTGCCCGAAAACAAGCACAACGTCGTCGAGCGTAACCCACGTGTCTACGAGAGTGAGATGCCTTGTATAACGACCGATGTCAGGATGCAAAAGACATTCGAGCTCTTCAGCAGCTCAGAGGGCAAGGCGACTGAAGAAGAGCAAGTGCAAGGCAGCGGCGGCGGCGGTCCGGTTGAGGCGGTCTGGTGGGTGGAGGGCGATGTTCAAACACAATGGAGGCTTAAAGGTCGCGCATATGTGTTATGCAAGGACGACATCGAAGGCGAAGGCGAAGAGAGTAGCGGCGTTAGGACTGTCAAAAGTGAAGTTGGTCGACGAATGAGGATTGTCCCTGAGGGAGAGGGCAAGGAGGGAGTATGGAGCTGGAGTCGCGAGATCAAGGGCCACTTTGGCAACAATTCGCCTGGCATTAGAGGTAAGCATCCCGCTGACACTGGCAAGCATCATCTAATCAATCCTGTCGTAGGCTCTTTCAAGGCACCACCGCCCGGACAACCTGTGAACATGCCGTATGATGACAAGAAACTTGTGCTTGGAGAGAAAGTGACCAGCAATGACGACGAAACAGCGTTGCACCACTTCCGTGTAATCGTCATTCGTCCTGACGAAGTCGAGCAAACAGACCTCTCTGATCCCAAAAAGGCACGCCGATATATTTACACTATTGGTGAAGATGGCAATTGGAACAAGGAAGAGACCTGGCCATAATACGTCGTATCAGCATACGGTCAAGTCAGGATTGTCGCATATCTGACTGACAGTCTGACCCCTCTTCGGCCGAGATATTGTAGTCTGTGGGTCATATAGAAGACTGTCTATAGGTGCTCGGAACAAAATCAGAATAAATCCCGGTAGGGTTCTCTGGTTTCTGTCACAGAAGCATATTTCCACCAGTTATTGCTCGATCTTTCTTGCAGGCTATCTACCGCTCATGTGTACAACCACGTACGTGAGCTAGCTCGGCCGACCTTGGCCTAATCGTGCAGAGTCGCTCTCGAGCAAACGCAAAGACTGCCGCCTATGCTGTTGTCTAATCATTGTATTAGCTTCGCTCACTATCTTTGGATGCATCTCTGCGAGTATTTCGCAGGCAAGTTGGAACGTTGTTACTGCTGCCCAGGTGCTGCCCTCACGCACAAAGACGAGCTGTCCCGTTAATGATCGCCCGGGCGGAAGAAGCGAAGGAATGGCGGCGTCCACCCCACCTGCAGCCACGTAAGGTCTCCCTGCCGAGCCGGCGGCCAGTGCACACTCACGCTCTCTTCACGTATTCACCATTCTCCTCATCATCATCACGCCCCGCTGTCGTGCGTTTGTGCGTACGTACGCTGTCCGTTACACGTCCCCTCAGTCCTGCGATTCGTAATCGACTCCGGAGAGGCCTCGTGCAGGGACCAAGCAAAAGCAGTCATCACAGACAGCAGCTTATTGAAAGTGGAGATATGATCAGCATTTGTGTATTGAGAAGAAGAGAAGAAGAAAAAAGAGTAGCAACGGGGGGCGCTGGCTGTTCTTGTCTGCAAGTATTTAGACATCACGCTGAAATGAAGACTGCTGATGAGGAACCCAGCCAGCTGGTTTGGTCTATCTGTCTGGGGGACGAGCGGGTGCGGCGTTTTTCGTCCTCGTTGCGGCGCTGGGCGTTATGGCGAAGAAGATACTGTAGTTAATTACTTTGCATTGTGTTGACCTGCTGGACATCCTGACGTCGAAGCAGAACGCATCCCTGTTCTTGACTGATTACAAGTCAAGACTGCTGCCAGTGACAGCTCGTTGTGTCTTTCCAACATCTCATGGGCAACGGGCTGGTACAAATCCTGCTATTACGTGGGTCATGAGCAGCTGTCTCCTGTTGCCAAGGTACTCTCAGACGGATGTTAAATCTTAGTACAGTATGAAGGATGTCACGCTCTCACTCTCACTCTCGCTGTCTTTGTCTCTGGTCTGACTGATACCAACGAACGTTATTTAACCAACTCGCGCCTCGGCTCCCCGGAAGATCCTTGGATTGCCCGGGCTGAAGTCCTAAGCACCGTGCGCGCCTTGCCCTGTTCACTAATTACTCCAGGTGCCTTTTCGGCCCGTCGATCTTCACGCGGATGCATGCTAACCTCCTACTCCCGCATCCACTCTCATTAATCCCCCGACCTCCACTTCACCGTCTAGCCTACACATCACTTCTACCACACTTGCTGCTTTGCGCCCAGGTCTCTCCAAGTGCTGTACGCCTACACCTTCAATTCTACCAACCTCAATTCCAAGGTGACAGCAACTGCACCACCTTTGCGCAGGTTCAATGACCGTTACAACTTCTGCATCACTGTGATAGCTTACCGAGCCGTGTCCAAGTGCTCGGCTTCACCATCAGTTAATCCTGCTACCATGTCTGGGGAAGCCCACAAAGCTTTCGAGTATCTGAAGGAAAAGGTCCCAGAATGGATCGAAAATCTAGAAGCACTTCGTGCTCGTGTCGCAGAGAAACACCGTCATGCTCTGCGGGCTTCAACAGCTCCAAGGAAGAAGAAACGCACAGGATCCATGGACTCGTTACGACCTGACGAGAACGATGCCGTGTCCTCCATTCCCACCAGAATAGTGCTGGCTCCTCAACCGCTGTCTACTACGCCTCTAGCACCTTCGACCAACAATCTCACCAAGCGCAAACGCGACGCCAAGTCAATCACGTCAGGTCACATCTCTGGTCCGCCAAAATATCGTATGCGGCAACAAATGGTTGTTGTATACTACGACAGCGAGATTCAAAAGTCTTTTGAGACCCTGGTACGAAACATCACCACAGGAAGAAGCATGCTGCGCAAAGGCAAGATGGCTGCCAAAATGGAAGCGCTTATGTACGCCATGGATGTAGATGACTCCACCTCTGGTGATAATGATGAAGACCCGAACGCAAAGATCGACATTCGTTCGAACTTGACTGGCTTCAGGATCACTCGCTCCATTCGAGCTGTTCCTAGTCCCTTGCGTAACGCAGGCTCTTCTAGCGATGACTTCGACTCCGCCGACAAGGACCTCGAGACAGCCCAAAGTCTATGCGAACGCGGTGCTCACCAATTTCTTCGAGATGGTGACTGTTCTCCGGAATTGGAAGGCTCCGAAGCGAGCTTTAAGAAGATCTTGGCGCTGAGCGAGATACTTGTCGCACGACAAAGAGCAAAAGAGTAGGAAGCTAGGTCACGGCAAAAGACGCAACAACAGCAGGAGCCATTAACTCTTCCAGTACCGACACAAACAACATCATTGCCATGTCGGACGCCTGGTCCGATCGAGGAGAAGCGCATCTCATTTCACCGCCCGGACCTTCTCGCCCTCGAAGTAGACGATGACGAAGAGGAAGAAGAAATTGACGAAAGTGTATTCGCTGCGCTGCGACCTCCCGTTCGTCTAACACGGCGGTTATGATGTCAATCTAGCGATGTTTCCCATCATCTGATTTTCCTTTAAGTTCACATGTATACCGCATTCGAGCTACTTGGCTCACTTGGCGTTTTGGTCTGGTTATCTGCATATACTTTAGCGCGGCACTCCTCGTTCGAAGATCGAACATTGCATTGTGGAACTTACGAACGGGCCTGTCTAAATTTTCAGCTACGTCAGACCACACGATTTTCTGTCCAAAATATACATAGACATCTGGATTTCAGACACCTTTTACGTTGAGAAGTAGTTCCAGATCGCTTCGCTTATTGGGTCGGATTTTCCTTTTGCGAACTACACCCTCTGTCACTTGGCAAGCCTGACAAGACTCATTTCATTGTATACACTAGTCGATGCAGCTATTTCCTATGCATCTCACAGGCTCTAAATGAGTGCATCTTCTGCTTCTGTCGAGTTTATATTTCCTCACCCGCCTTGCGTAGTAGTGTAACTCAATCGTGAGCCATGCGATTGCCTAACCAAAACCTTGGGGAATTTGACCTGCTATTTGAAGAAGCAATTTCATCGCTATCGACATACATTTTAGAACTGTAGCTGCCACTTTTCGGTTCCCCATAAGGCCCCCAGGGCTGTGTCATTTTTTCTCGCTTTTGAAGTGATGCCGTACCTGCCAGTCCAATTCACCTTCGGTGCACGGGCCCCTCTCTATTGCACACGATCATTTTCGAATTGATCACCTCCCAGATTTCCAAGCGTTCAACTTCTCTGATATCAGTACACTGCTGGTATCGTTTTACTTGAGTACTGTGCCGATTCGCTGATGTACAGCCCTCCTCGCTGGCACACTGCAAGCTGGCTTCACAGCTCTACCGTACTACTATCAACTCTGGTTCTTATTGAGTAGAACGCCTTTTTGCCTGAGAAGCATTCTGGTTTCGCTACGGCTTGCTCTGACTCTCACGGGATTCGCTCCAGTATACTCTTACAGCAGCATGGCACGCAAGGTATTATCATATCGATCTAAGCTATACAACGCTGCTGACCGTATCGCATCAGAGATCTTGTCCGGGTCTCTTGGAGGCTTCGCGCGTGAAACGGCACATTCGAGGTTCAAGTGACGGCAAGGCACGTGTAGTGCATGATTCCGTACATGTTTATGTCGGCTCATGTGGCGGGTCCAAAGTCAACTAACCAGCCAATTAGACTACTGCAAATCTATCAACGTCAACTCAGCCAGTCTTCAAAAGACCGGCTTTACCGACTCCGTTACGAGCAGGTGATGTTTCCGCCCAGCGTGCGAGAAAGCCAAGGGTCGTGGCTGGAATCGAGTCCCAGAATTTGCCTGCAACGTCCAAGATTCCCATAGATTTGGCTTCTTCCGACGAGGAGGGTGAAACGGTTGTTCATGAGACGATTGTAAAAGCGACACAGCGTGCGACACGCAATCGTGAGCATCACAACAATCGTATCAAAAACAGCATCATATATCATCCCATGGATCATCTCACGAGGCCAAGACGAGCTTCAGAGGTGAAAAGGCTTGCGCCAATCGTGGTGCTGTCCGATGATGACGATGACGACGAGGACATTGTGGCTGGATTGGCGGACAGCCCGGGATCGGATGACACCCATATCTCTCCTCGTCCTCAGGCTATCTCAAAGAATCATACCTCCGGACCGATCAGGTCGGCTGCAAATACTCATGACCCATATGACACAAGTACCCACCTTCAGGACGAAGATCTTCATCTCTCTGGCGTTGTCTTCTCACGTAAGAGGGTTGAAAAGCCTAATATCCTTGTCATACCGCAAAACCCACGCAAAGCCAGAGCTGTATCTACCTTGATCTCTACGGAGCGAGAGACACCTACAGAGGAATCGAAACGGCGCAGGAGTACGAATATCATCACCATAGGTAGCAAAGATGCCTTGATTGAAAAGTCCAATGAGTGTATCACTGTCAACAGTAACAACGATTGTTCTGACCATTCTGATGCTAAAGCTAGCGAGCTTTCGACTTTATATTCACGAGTTGACCGCATAATCCGTACAACGCCCACTGGATCTACCAAGTTGACCAAACGGCAGCAGCAAAAAGAGGCCCGACACTTTCATATATATGAGGATGAGGCAGGTCTATCTCCCGCTCGGAACCTGAGGCAAAGAATACTCATCAGGGCCCACAGGAAGGATCATGATAACTTCCCGACGGAGAATATGATAGGCGCAAATCCCCGCCACAGATCACGTCATTGGTCAAACATCTTCAGGGCACTGCGTTCAGACGACAGTGATCATGCTGACCTCATCACTGATGACGACCATGACGGGAGTTTACCTGAAGACGACCAAGGACATCAGCCCAGCGTTGATGGTGGGCGCATATGGAGCGACTCTTTCGAAAGACAAGAGACTGAAGCACTTAGTGAGCCACATGGAACCCTGACCGCAGCTTTTAGGCATAATGATGACCTTCCTGACATAAGTGTTGACTACGCTGAATCATGTTCATCCGGAGGCATGACCCAATTATTCGAGCGCAGTCTCTACACGGCCCTTATCGACTTTAGCAACTCTTGGTCAGGCTACGGTGCCGATGAAGGCATTTCTGGGCTTCAGAGAATTTCCGAAAGCAACGACGGCGTCTTCCAGAGACCATCTGAACCATCTACTAGCTGTGCAATGCCTTCGGGAGACCCGGAGTGCGAGGATGAAGTGAACATCATGGACGATCTTATATCTGCACTCAGCGAGGACATCACTAGGTCAAGTGGCAATGTCACAGCCGGTGCAGAACAGGTCGCTGCTATCACCCCAGAAGACTCTTTGCTAGTCGGCTGTGATGGCTTCAACACAACGGCTCATTCCATCCTACGTTTCAGTGGAAACCCATATGACACCTTTCTTATGGTGTCAGGGTATTCTAGTCGAGCTCTAGACGGAGAAGAGTCAAGTGTGAGAGCTACACCGGTATAGTTCGACACATTAAATATTCCTATCGTACGCCTGCATGAGAACAGCGATGAAGCCGAAGTCCGCTCTGATTGTGAGCCATCCGTCAGATATCCCCACCAAGGCGACATGCATAGCATCGCTGGTACAGACAACCATGGATCTCGCTCATGGGCTGCGTATCACCCACCCATCCAGTCAGCATCAATAGAGTGCAGCCCAGACTTGCGCATACCGCGCTTCGTCGATGACTCACAGTCAGCAGAAGCCTCCCAGGTCATCGATAAGTCCATGGGTAAGGCGAGTTTTGACTCGTAGCTCCATGTTCTACACAAGTTTTTTGAACCGAGAAGAGTAAATTCTGGGGGTCTTACTCTCTTTTCCACGCGGCACGCGCAGCTTGATCAAGAGATATGCTTTGAAGAGGTCAAGATGATTCAATTTCAACACTGTATACACGTCTGATAGCGATGTATTTCAGTATGCACTTTCAGCAACGTCGGCTCCATGTAATGTTAGCAAGTAGTCTCACACCCTACGTGTTACTTTTCCGATGGATTTAGAAAGTTGTGCGTTCTAATATCAGTATATGATCATTATACATCACCGAAAAAAGTCGTCACATAGAGAATATATATTCTCAGGGCCTGACACGACAGTGTTTGTACCCCATTATCCTCGGCCATCGCTCAGGTACTGCTAGAACCTCAAGGCAGATTTCCGGCAATTTGATTAGAGGTTTATGTTTCTTTTATTTGGGATTTCTAAGATCGACTCAATTGAAGAGGGGAAGACTTTGCCGAGGCTATCCTACTCAGAGTTCTACCTATGTCCATAGATCATTTTAATTTGTACCAACATCTATATTAAGCTCCAGACTTCTAGTTTCGATATATCCCAAGATGCAATCCAACAATAAAGGTCACGTAGTCGAATTCCACTACGACGTCAGTCCACTCCAGTCCTAAGCCTGCGAGGCCAACCACGTGTCCGCCGCACCCCCCAAACAATCTGACCTCAATCCAGATCTCCTGCCCATTCGCATACATAGCATCGACAAAGCAAGTCAACAGATCCGCCAGATCAAAATCTCAGTCTTTACTTACACCAACACAGAATCGAAGCCCTCGCCGCCCGCACAAACGCCCGTCTCATCTACCGTCCTACTCTCCTGGGCGCCATCTATCGTCTGACAGAAGCGCCCCAGGGCGCCGCCGGCTCCGCATCCGACGTCTTCAACAGCACTAAAAAAGCAGTGACTTCGCGTGCCCTCGAGCGTACTATTGCCCGTCATGGCATCCCGTACACCGAGCCGCCGCAGCACCCGATGAAGACGACTGCGGCGCTGCGGTTGTTGTATTGTGTCTCTGAGGAAGACAGGGGGAGACTGACGCAGGCGCTGTTTACGGCGTACTGGGTGCAGGGGAGGAAGATTGGAGAGCAAGCTGTCTTGATAGCGGCGGTCAGGGACGCAGCGGTGGCGCACGCGCAGGCAGTGATTGAGGCGATTGAGAATGGACAATTTGAGACGCAGCGCGAGAGGAGGATGCTGGAGGATGCGACGAATCAGGCTGTTGAGCGTGGCGCGCCTGGTGTGCCTGGGTTTTGGATCCCGGATGTCAAGCGGTTGTTTTGGGGCCAGGATCGAATGCATTTTGTGGAGGCTACGCTGCGTGCACTGAACGCTGGACTAGGAGGCCTGGAGGCTTGGGAGAGAATAGGTGCGCCGCTGAGGAGTCTTGTGCCAAGATGTCTTGCGAAGCAGGATTGTGTGCCGGACGGAGAGGAGGTTAAGGTGGAGTTTTGGTTTGACTTCTCGTCGCCGTGGGCGTTTCTGGGGTGGACGCAGCTGGAGGCATTGAGACGGCGGTTTGGGACTAGATTGAGCATTGACATGAAGCCGTTTCTGCTGGGGATCTTGTTCCGCGAGATTGGGGCCCCGGATGCGCCGATGACTGCGTACAGCAAGCAGAAGAGAAACTATTCAATGCTAGATCACGGCGATTGGGTGAGGTGGTGGAATGCGGTGGGCGCGCAAGAGAAAGAGGGAGACAGGCAGATCAGCTTTCACTGGGCAGACAAGTTTCCGATTCGCACGCCGACAGTTTTGAGGGTGAGCTTGGTGGAGCCGGGCACTACAGGGGTGCTATGTGAGTTGTTCAAGGGCTCAAGATCGAACTTTATGCTGACGACAGCAGATCGAGCGTGCTGGGAGAGGAATATGGATATGTCAGTTGACGATGTCGTCAGGCAGGTCCTCACCGAGGCAGGATTTGATGGCAATGCGCTTCTTGCAAAATCCAACGAGCCGAAGTACAAAGCTGAGCTGCGTGCGCGGACAAAAGAGGCCAAAGACGCGGGACTCTGTGGCGTGCCTACCTACCGTATCTTTCGCAGAAAGGCTGGACAGGATGATGATGCTTGGAAACAGGCTGGTGATCTTGTTTGGGGACAAGACGAGATGGGTGTTGTCGAAGATTTGATTGCTGGCTGGGATGGGAGTGGCGTCGCTGAATCCAGTGTGACGCAGGAAAGAAGTAGACTGTAGTCAGACTTGCAATTTTGGCTGCAGGCAACGATGACAAAATGTGTTCGCTGAGGCCGTGAAGATATTCGGTTATACGCAGCAGAGGCATGATTCCGGTCACGCTCGTCTAAGCAAAAAGTAACCCATAACGTCCTATAGCAAGTCATGAATCATATGTCACATAGGATAGCGGGATGTTAATACTGATACTACGGATGAGTCCTCTACGTCGTCACGATCGCAGACATGCTTCATATCCTGAATCACTGGTTGACGTTGTCCGCAAAGAGATGCTTGCAATAGCACGAGCTTATAGAGATCCTGCATAGGGCTTGTAGTATCTACGAGTGACGATACAGAGGTAATCGCAAACGGTAAGGATGATGTCGTGACAACAACTAATGATAGAACTCTTAGCGTAGCACTCCTCAACCCCTGAAGCAGTAAGTAGGTGAGGTGAGTCCGAGTTTCGACCGCTGACATAATCCATCACCACTCCAATTACCTTCAGTAGGCTCAATTCACCCTACCACCACCCTACCGGTGTTCGAATTCCCCCTCCGTCCCACGAACGAAGAGCACAGCACATCCATATTCCGCCATGCTGCTCACCTCCTCCTTGATCCCGCTAGCCCTGGCCCTCGCCGGGCTAGCCAGCGCGCATAACATCCAAATGAAGGCACACACACGCGAATGTTTCCACGAGATGCTGCACCGCGACGACCGCATGACGGTCACGTTCCAGGTCGGCGACCGGGAGTTTGGCGGAAGTGGGAATCTGGATATTGATTTCTTTGTGCGTCCTGGCGGCTCCTCCTGTTACCGTTACATCCCCATGCGAAGAAGAACAATTGCTTTGCCATGGGATTGACAAGTGCTAACTCTGGGGGGTTGCCTCTGTAGATCTACAACCCTTCTTCAGTAGCCCAGGTCGCCCAATTAGGCGTGTCCTCGGGCGACCACTCCTTCACCGCGACCCAGGACGGGAAATACGAATACTGCTTCAGTAACGAGGCGTGGAGCAGCACGACAAAGGAAGTCTCCTTCAACGTCCATGGCATCGTGTACGTCTCCGAAGCCGACGCTCCACAGGAACCTCTGGAGAAAGAAGGTAATACCCTCACAACTCAATGCTATGTCTCTATGCGAAGCTCAACTCCACACGACATCCAGATTTCAAACATAGCACAAGAGAAAACTAGCTAACACAAATCCCAGTCCGAGCCCTCTCCGATGCCGTAGCTAGCATCAAAGACGAACAAGGCTACATCGTCGTGCGCGAACGCACGCATCGCAACACGGCCGAGAGCACAAACGCTCGCGTCAAATACTGGAGTATCTTTCAACTGGTCATCCTGTTCGGCGAGGCCTTGTTTCAGGTCTGGTGGCTTAAGCGGTTTTTCGAGGTACGTGGCATATGACACACATACATATTTGATAAACACTATTGTGGAGAAGAGGCCTGCGATGGAATACAGCAGATGAGGACATGGAAAATTCTAGAGAGCGACAGAGAGCTGATGAGGGACTCGCAGGTCAAGCGCGTTGTTTAAAAGAGTACATTTTTGGAAAGGCTGGCTGGACGGAAGGGCGGGACAAAGAAGGAGATCCATGACTATAGGGTAGGTATCTGGTCACGAAAATGAGGAGAATGGCGTGCAGTCATTGTAGTCGATGGATGCAGGTTCTTGTGAATCTGTATCCACCAAGGGGCACAACAGCACTTTAGGAAGTGATGACGCAAACGAGGAGGGCAATTTATCAGCACACTGACGAGTCTGGCAGGTGTGACCGTCTGTACATTCATCATTTGTACTGCCACAAGACACAACGGTGGGAGGTGTAAAGGGTCGTCTGCGATGGAGAAATAAGAATTACATGTATACCATACACAAACGAAAAGCTATACCAGGGTATCCAGCAACGACAAATTAACATATACACAGAACGAAGGATCCTTCTAGCCTCCCTCGTCTCATCACAAGCTCTCCCTATTACTCGCAAATGCAACCCATGCATCCATCGTTCAGTTCTCGATCGATTCTCAGCCCTGTCCCTCCAATTACCAGTGCGTCCCCTGCTGCGCATGTCCCTTAGCATCCAGCGCAGGCACTGAGAATCCATATCCCTCAGTCTTGCCTTCACGGTCCTTGGGCGAGATCTCTACTCGCAACGTAACATCGAGTCCGTATGTGCCGCACAGACCCGTGCGATGCAGTCCAGATGCCGCAGGGTGCTTCGTGCCAGCATCTTTCTCACCGTTATGAATCGCATGTCGTGTGTTTGCCTTCTTCTCCAACGTGTTGGACACGTCTGCAGTAGCTCCATTTGTAGCAGGAGCCACAGTGCCATCGGCAGGTGCGAGGGTGGATGCGGCGAGCTGGCCTGGCTCATGCGACTCGTCGATAATGGCGTAGTTACGGGACGGCATCGTCGCGTTATTCGCATCCGCAGTCTTCTTAGCCGGGGCATCGCCGTTTGCATGGTCAGCACGACCCGGATCGCGGTCAAAAATCTCGAGCAGAGTCTCATCAGTCTCGTGATCGAGATGGTGGATCTTGTTGCGGCGAGCAAGTAGATTGGCGACTGCCTGTGGTGGTGGCTTGTTCGTGATGGCCGAGGAGATGATGTTGGGCATGTAGCGGTAGTCGCGTTCGGCTGGGATCTGTTGTTTAGGGTTGGAGAAGAAGCGGCCGATGGCAGCGAGATGAACATCGCCACCAAGAATGGAGACGCGGACGGAGTGTTGTTTAGAGAGCTCTTGCAGGCGGTGTATGAGTTCCTTGCGCTCGTGCTTGTGCTGATGGGCGGTGTAGTGGTCGTCGAGGTCGTCGAGGAGATCGACGTTGCCGTCGAACTTGTTAAAGAGTCCACCAGCAATACCAAAGCGCTTGTTCAACAAACGGATTGGCGCGATCACCGGGGAAGAAAGGATGTTCTCGAGCCACTGGAGTCGTGGGTATGCAATGGGCACACCGAGTAGAAGAACTAGATGCTTGACATCAGGTGCGGCAGATAGCTCTCTTGAGATCGTGTCGAAGATCATTTTGTAAGTCTCCGGATAGTTGATTTGGTGACGCGTTCGCTCAATACGGGCATCAAGCCCAGCGAATGCAATTCTGGCACCGAGTTGGCAATAGATAGACCGACTCTTCTCGGCTACATACGGACCGGGCTTGCCACCAATTATGTAGGATGGATCCTCCTCAGTCTCTTCCAGTACGAAAGTGTCCTTCAGCTGTACAGCATCAGTACCAACAACACCTTCAGTATCGCCTTTGACGGTCTTGGGTGCGTCTGTTGTAAATGTACTCTTGGGAGGGGCAACGTGATGCTGGAAGAGTAGGTAGTATCTGTGTGACAGTCAGGAAGGTTACGAGGATAGTGAAAACACCAATCTTACTTATGAGCTACACCACCAATGCCTCGAAAGACAGGGGCCTTCATGAAATGGTCCGTGTAGGAACCGAATCCGTCAATGATATCATGGTCGTCCCATATGTTCAATTGAGGAATCTTGCCATTGGCCGTAGAGAATGGAGCAGTTCCATACCACCTTATGTAGTTCTGGAAGTAGTACTCGTCGCACTCTTCGCGGAGCTTTTCAGTAAATGGGTAATCGCGTCGTTTCCTGGGATTGTGGATGTCTGTCCATGGCTTCAACGGTCCATCTACTCGCACCCCATCGTTGTAGATTTGATCTCCTCCTCCGATCATAACGTGGAACGGCCTCTGAGCGTGCATGCGCAGGACATCGTTCCAGAGAGCTGGACCGGACCAAGCATCAACATCAGTACCGACGGAGAAACCGTTACACGAGTGGAACATGATTCTCATGGACTGGCTAATCGCAGGGACCATAAATATTTGCGGCTCCAGGGAGGCTATAGTGTACTCCCATTGCGCCTCGTATGCCTGAAAAGGCACGTCGATAACGAAGCGAAAGAATGCCTTGCCTGGGTCCTCATACAGCTTGACTCCCTCGTAGGTGCGCGAGCCTGAGCTGGAATCAGATGTGTTGCTGGCCCCGATACCACCAGGTACAGCACCTAGACAGTGCAAGCTTAAGCTCGGCGTAGGTGTACCAGGCTTCGTAACGATGAGAACGCTGCCGTGCCAGGTCGGATTCGCGGTTCCCGTACCACTCATATGCTTGTAATTGATCAATGGCCCGCAAAGAACGTCAACCTGACCAGATGTGCTAATGATTTGAGGACCCTGACCGGCTCCTTGGACACCATTGTGCTGACCAGAGGCTATCGGAGCGGTAGTCTCAGCAGGGTCTACAGACGGCTGCGCCGGGGGCTGATGATCAGCCATGACTATGTGGATTTTGAGGAGGTATTCGGAAGAATGTTTCGCAACGGAGGTCGGTCGGAAAGCTGTAACGGAAGCTTGTTTATGCAAGTCAGGGACGAGGCGAGCACAATGAGATTCGTCGAGTAACCAAGGCTAGGATGAAGAGAGCCTGGCGCTATCGACGATGTAGGTGGAGGAAGAGGAAGTAGAATGGAAGCACAAAAGAGTCGCAGCGAGGACAGTGAAGTAAGTGATTGAAGACGGGCACTTGGGGAAAGCTGAGTGCTGAGCAGAACAACAACTGGAATCCTGGTCAGCGTTCGCGTCGAGGTAAGTAATTAGGTGGGTCATTCGGTGCAATTTGGGTTACACGAGCTGAAATGCTGGGGCTGTGAGTGGCTGATGCTGCTTGTCGGGGGGCTGGGTATGTAGCTGTTGTTGGCTAGTCAGCGCCCGCTCAGTCGGGGGTGCAATTGGAATGAAAGTGCATGACGTCTCTATCCAGATCTAGGTAAGATGCAGAGCCAGATCCAGATCCAGATCTAGATTCAGATCCAGATTCAGAGCAGATCTATCCCCGAGTGTATATATGCCATCAAGGAAAGTCTGTATATGTGTTGTGAACCCATAACGTCAGCGCGCTCGTCGTCGGCATATTCCTGTTGTGGCCTTCATCACACTAAAACATCAAGAAATCATGCCTAGCTGCACTAAAAGCTTGCTTTCCTATATGCCAAGATGTCCCACGAAAAAGCACGGGGAACATTGCGGACTGTGATATGCCGTGTATGCGTACAAGGGGTGTGTATGTCGTAGTCCTCATTCTGGGGGCGCCTAATAGAACTCCATTGCCATATACGTATAGTAGTAGATAGAACCATACTCTTCCTAATGCCGTCCTTGTACTCCGCAAATGCTATAGATACCCACAAGGCATCTCCCAACAAAACACCAGTGACATGCGTTCTCGTCCCAAAATTCCCGAGTTGTACAAAACTAGGCCTCATCGTCTTGATATCTCCTGCACCACATTCTGCACAACGCTATTCAATGCCTTGCAAGCTGGACTGTCAGGAAAACTGTCCAGAAAGCTTTCCCCATAGTCGCAGGCCATGCCAATCCTAGGATCCAGTGGCACCGCTCCAAGGAAGGGAATACCCTCTTTCTCGGCCAACTTCCTTGCCCCGCCCGTCGTGGCTCTGAATATTTGGCTCTCATGCTTACAGCCCGGACAAACAAACCCGCTCATGTTTTCCACAATGCCCAGTATCCGTATCCCAGCCTTCCTACAAAAATCCACCTCTTTCCTCACGTCCAGCAGACTGACCTCTTGCGGCGTTGTCACCAGAACCGCGCCATCCACACCCGCCTCTTTCAGAAAGCTATTTACACTCAGGTGTTCATCCGAAGTTCCTGGCGGCGTGTCCACAATGAGATAGTCCAGCTCGCCCCAGTCCACGTCTTTCAAAAATTGTTTGATCAGCCCATTCTTCTTCGGTCCGCGCCAAATCACTGCATCGTCGCGGTTAGGCAGCATGAATTGCACACTCATCACCCCCAGGTTGTCTGCGACCCACACAGGACTCCAGCCATCACTACTGACGTGTATAGTTTCGTCTTCGACACCCATCATCTTCGGGATAGAAGGTCCTGTGATGTCGGCATCCATGAGCCCTACTTGCGTGTCTTGGTCTATGGCAAAGCCGTGTGCGAGCATCGTTGAAAAGGTCGATTTGCCGACGCCGCCTTTTCCACTGAGAATGAGGACTTTGTGCTGTACGCCTGCCAGGCGGGCGGTTATGATGGGAATGTCTGGGTCCGGGCCTTTCGGTGCAGACGCGCATATTTGTTGATTAGGGCAACCGGCGCAGGCTTCGCCTTGACCGGCTTGTTCGGATTCTGGACCGGGGCAGTGCTCTACGGATCATCGGTCAGAAGAGTAGGCTATGGTATTCTTATTTGTTGCGTACCTGGTTCGGGCGCGACAAGCTTCGGTACCGCCTTAAGAGGACCGGCGATATTGTCTTGCGCCGGCTCTTCGAGCGATGGAGCCATGACGGGAGTATTTATTGGAATGGACTGATGCTGTAGGTGTCTAGCACATTTTAATCTGAGGGGGGACTTCCGCCACAATGTTTGAATGAGAGGGGAATTATGTCCGACATATAGCCGATGGATATCTTCTCGGAATTATCCGCATAATCATGTTTAGTCAGGTTTTACCATAATCACAAGTATTCATGTCTATTCTAGAACTGTTTAAGCTTGCTAGTCCTCCTGTCAAAGCTACCCCCGGGCTCCAAGCTCACCATCGCTACCTCTCATAGTGTCGTCGGCACGTCTTCTAACGATATCGGAAAGCGTCGTCGGAAAAGACATCGATCTCTTGATCCTGCACCGTCAAGTATCGCGGCTCCTTCGACTCATTCGGCTGCTTTTTTTCTTGTTCGGGTTCTAGCATGAGTCGTTTCACAATTTTTTTGGACACGGGCACGGCGTCTTCGGTAACTTTGACCATTACATAAGGAATGTCGAAATCATCTGGAGGCTCCCCTGAGCTTTCCTCTACTGTTTCAAGTAGAAACGGGTTGAATCGAGGAGCGCGCTCAGGCAGTTCTGTATGAGGCGGTTTTGGTACCTGCGGTACCTGCCGTGGCGCATTTGGGAGTGCATCGATAATGACATTCTTTTGGTGGTCGGGTACTTTTTCCTTGGTCCCCTTTTCAACCAGCTTAAGCAACCTGTAAATGCATCAGCTACTGCTTACTTTATATTGCTAGAAAGTACTAACGTCAAATCCATAATATCGGCGGCATCTTTTCTTATATCGAAGTAGAGGAGGCTACGGCCCGAGGTCATCATTGAGATTGTCATGCCTGTCTTATCTTCGAACAAATCTAAGAATTGTCTTAGCGTCATGTTTTTGACTTCGAAGCGACCCCAAAATCTATCGAATGTGTGGACAAATTCGACTTTGTCCTTCTTTTGTTCATTTCGAACGATATATGTATACTTTTGACTTGGCATCGGCTCGCTGAATCCGAAAAAGGGTAGCGCAAGATTTACAAATCCATTCTTGTACTGCTCAATGTCGGTCTTGCCATCAATGATCTTGTAGATTTCCAAGTTGGCGAGACCAGTCACAAGGGCTGTCGTTGTTGCAATTGCGGGAATAATCTTTCCAGCAATGAGTTTTATTTGGTGACGTTTAGCTTGCGTGATATTGTAGTTCTCCGCGCGGAGATTTGCAGCGGCAGCGATAAAGTCAATATGATAATTGGTATCATCGTCTTTCTCGAACACGACTGGTTCAAGTTGAAATCCAGCCAGAGATTTTGGAGGAGGTACCGAGTTTGCCAGTACAGACAGATCATCCTGGTCCAAATCTGAATTGCGAGCGTTGGGATCGGGATCCTTGTCGCTCGCTTGAATCTTAACACCCGGGTCAGGCTTGAAGTCCGGAATGATCAAATTATCCAGTATCTTCATATAGTGGTCCTTAGCAACACCTCTCGAATTGATGTTGTAGTTGAAGGCGTGCAAGTTAGCGGCAGATTCAACGAAGGCGAAATGTGTGGCATTGTTTGCATCAAATTTAAGCGGATCTGGAGCCCGTTTCGAGCCGGTCCAAAACAACTCACCCTTGGATGTCCTCGAGTCCTTGGGGAAGTTATGGAGTAGCTGCGAGATTCCATTGTTGAAATGCTTCTCAAATTGATATCGTGCCCAGGCGATGCAATCGTCGAAAGTGAGAGGCTTCTCTGTAACCAAGAAATCCCGTAGCGTCTCCAGTACCTGGGTTTGGTTACCATTCTCCCGAAATGTCTTACTGTTCAGGTAATTCGGCATAGTGAGATAGAGATTAACCATTTCAGCTGGGCCAGTAAAGTACGTGTGAAACATCTCCTTGGCCCAAGCAATAGTGTGTTCAATACGGTGCGGGAATGATTTAAGTGTACACATTGGAAAGGTCTTCTCCGGAGGGTCTTGAGAGCTGCTGTAAGTCTGGGTAAGGTTTGGAAGCACGACCTGCGTGTTGCCCTTGGTTCCAAGCGTTCCGCTGTCAACAAGAGGTTTGTAATGGAAGACACATTTTTGGTCGACGTATGTTCTGGCCTCTATATTGTCGAGAGCGTTTGTTACGGCATCTAGTGAATCCCAAAATGCCTCGTGGAATATTTTCTCAGTGCCTGAACCGACGGGATCATTGAGTGCCGTCATTTTACCCTTCAGGTCGGGATTCATGACTTGTACAGCCTCCGTAGCGCAAGTGCTTTTTTCCTTTCCAACATCATTGGCTCGAAATAGGAATTGACGATTGAGATTGCTTCTTTCAATTTGATCATTGTCCGTAACAAAAATATGGCCATTGCCGGACGCAAGACCCATCATGGCCCAATTCTTCAACATCTCACAGCCAATGGCACCAGCGCCGACGAGGAACTCTTTGACGTTGGCAAGTTTTTGTTGATATTCGGTCCCAAAGACAGCGATTTGACCGTCGTAGCGACTACCCTGGGGCGCGCAAAGAGATTCGGATCGTTGGACTGATGTAGGGAGTGACTCCAAGGAATCGAAGTATACCCATTGCTTGACAGGATGGAACTTCCCTGAAACGGATTTCAGTACCTCTTGAGCTGCGAGACCACCAAAGAAAGCCGCTATCGGGCTCAGATCTCCCTGTGCCTGGTAGCTCAGCTCTCTGATGAGCTTCTCGTCCAATTCGATAAGTTCTTCACCCTCTTTGGCCAGGCCCGAAGCAATCTTGAAAACCTCAGCGGCATCAGCATCGTTATGCGGCCGGGGGTAGGACCCGCCACGACTTTCAGCAAACGCGTGCAGTGCTTGGAATCCTACATGTAGCTGAGCTGGTCGATCAAATTTTGCAAAATCGGAAATGATGATCTCTGGTCTGCGGAGCTGCTTTCGGAGTGGCTCAAAGTCAATGAATTTCGGCATCGTGACTTGTTGAAACAAACCACCCCGCGTGTACTGTCCTAATCCGGATACATCGCCAATCGAGAAGGTGTAAGGACCCGACACAGTGATCTTGCGAGGCGCAGAGTTATTAAGACCCTCCATGCCGTCTATCTCCGAGAAAGTAACAAAATCACCGTCTTCTAGACCATGTCTAGTCTCATCCGACACGGAGACGAGGCCATCCGTACCAATCCATGCAACGATACCACTCTGAGGATTCTCACCAGTGGGATCGCCGCAGGTAAAATTCTTCCCAAAATCTGTGAAGATCGACCCGAACAGACCGAAGGTGTCAGCTATTACAATATATATACCATTGGCATGACAGAAATCGGATATGGTCAACTGGTCCCTGAGCGGAGTGTCTGTCAGAACAACCACCTGATATTGCTTCAACGAGCCCAAATCATCCAGCAGATCCGCTGATTGGTGTTCCTGTACTGGAGTATAAGGATTGAGCTCTGCAACGCGCGGTACCGTGACGGAGGCGCGGGGATTTCCAACGTCTTCGGGGCGGAGAAAGAATTGGGAAGAAAGGTCAGCCAAAGTAGCAGGGCGAGGGTCGTAAAGAGTAAGAGACTTGACACCAGCTAGTGCGATGTTCTTGGCGATCTCAACACCCAGACCTCTGAGACCAACGATGAGCACATTGGACAAGCCCATACGTTTCATAGCCTCGTGGCCCAGAACATAGAGCTGTCTACTGTAGAGGGACTCGTCAATTTCTCCATCGGTAGAGCGTATCTGCTCGGCAACAGCCGCTGGACTGTCCACCTGCATCTTTATATCCTGTATTGAGTCCAGTATGTTAGACGCGAATGTGTGTGTGTGGGAGGAATTGCGATTTGTGGGCAGAAGCGGCGAGCGACAGCTTAAGAAGTGATTCGCAGAAGAGCGAGCCGTTGGTGAATGGACTCACTGTCATAGTTCGCTTGTTCGGACTAGCAAGGTCCTCGTTAGTGATCCTTCTTTTCCCCAGTTTGGCTATGATGACCAGACCTCACCGTCGTGGTGAAAGGTAGTCGCAGGGAGCGTTGGTGGGGGTTTATAGTGACGAGCGGGGGCAGTGTTGCAATGAAGGTATAGATATGTATCGTTCACACTGTACAATATGAAGTGAAGGAGGGTATGAGCAGAGCAGCTGAGGATACTGCGTGTAGTGTCTGGTCAGTATAGTTCAACAGACCCAGACGAAGACAGATGTTGAAATGGAAGTTTGAAGTGTCAGGTCGCCGCTCACCTTGACTTGTTAGGTGCACGGCGCACCTCACGGACAACGCTCCGCCCACGAGCATGATGTCAGGTAAACAATTTGTCAGCTCCGTAATTGCGGCCGAGTAACATGGCATGCCCCAGGCAACAACGCACTTCCTCCCAATTCGTACACCGTTCATAGATCGAGTCATAATCCGCGCGACTGTCGTTGCCTGTGACCGTGTTTTCAAACGTATATAAACATTGAATTAATCGGCGAACGCAGCTTTGCTAGTATTTGCCCATTCCACTTCCTTCTGAAGTCCTACTCTGACCACATTGGGACTGCCTTTTCGATCGGGTTTGTACGACGCCAAAATTAGCGAGTTCAATCGTGTGCTTCATCTGCATTCACGAAGCTGTTCCATTCCACTGTACCTGAGGCTCGAGTCGCACCTCCCCGAGCCGCATTGGAAGGTATCATGGCGGACTCGAAGGAAGGTTCCAATATTATTGCAAGCACTGACGACGACCGTCCCGTGAACGGAGAACAGAACAATGAGGCTGAAGCTATGGGCGGGACGCCTGGTAACGATCATGATGCAGGTGATGATGACAATGATGACGATAATGATGATGCTGATGATAACGACGACGAAGATGACGGAGGTTCATTCGTCGTACAATTTGAGCCTTTGCTTGCAGAGCTGAAGGAGCGGATGAACGAAGCTGGTGCTCACCAACCAAAGCTCCAAGACAAGATTGTTCCCGGCGTCCGAAAGTTATTCCAGGAATACTGGCAGGCCGTTATGAAAGACGTTGAGAACCTGATAGCGTCCAACGAAGCCATACCAGACCAACTCACGAACCCGGCAGCGAAGACGTTCAGGATATGGGTCTTTAAACAAGACGAGGATAGTCTTAATAGTTGTCCCTGTTGCTTACCCATATGTGGCGACGACATCGTACTCAAAAATAACCAAGGAGTCACCAAAGTGGATCTTATACGTGGCATATCTCAATACTTGTATGCAGATGTCGACAAGTTCCCCGCACTGCACTGCATGGACGATGGCTCTACTGATGCTCTCCCGGTTGCGTCTGTAGAGTTCAACTATATGACGAACGGAGGTCAAGATGAGACGTGTGTACTTGCAAGCCATGAACCAGGAATCTGGATGTATTGCACACCACCTTAGTTTGATTCACTACTTGAGCTATTACAACGTCAAATAAGTGGATTCATGAGGCGTAGAAGATGCACACCTCTTCAAAGAGAGACCCGGGACCCCAGTTGATGGGGTCTAACTCCACATTCAAGAACCGCAGCTACGCCTTCAAAGAGCCGAGTACTTTGTTCCGCCATGGCTGTAAGCCAACGTTACCAACACTATATGATCGCTGTCGCAAGGTTCCGATGGTTCCCCTTGCGATTATGTCAACGTAGGAGGCTGGGTGGGTTTGTCAGTGTTTCTCTAAATTCTGATAACGTACAGGTCCTCCTGTCGGGTATGTTAGCACACGTGTCACCAGCTTTGGTAGAAGCGTGGCGAAATGGATGTTATGTATAAATAGCAGCTTGACCGTCCAATTTCGACTTAGCCTGAATATATAAGAACTGACTTCATTGCTCTTATATTACCCTTACGTAGTTTGCGCTCTGGATTCAGTCGCACTTGCTCATCATGGATCCACAGCATGATTCAACCACATCCAGCGAGATAAGCAGTCAAAATGACAAAGAGGTAGAAGAAGGTGGCTCAAACGTGAACACTGAAATTGATCCGGAAGCGGAGAAAAAGCTATTACGAAAATTGGACTACACAGTGCTACCTATTCTCTGTTGGCTCTACGTACTTACCTTCCTCGATCGCATCAATCTTGGTGAGCTTACCAGTCTCCTGACAAAACGTCGCAATTGATGATGACTAGGCAATGCACGTATCGCAGGGCTGGAGGCTAGTCTGGGCAGTAAGTCGGCCTCAAATCACGAACTGTGTTCACTGACAAAAGACCAGTGTCTGGGAATGACTATAATGTCGCTACATGCGTATTCTTCGTCACATATTGCATCTTCGAGCTTCCAAGCAACATCGTTATGAAGTATGTTGCACCTTCAACTTGGATGGCTCTACTGGCCTTCCTCTGGGGTAAAGCAGTGGTCCACTACCCTCATGACCACACTCGACTAACAGATAACCCAGGGACGGTGACGGTCTTGACAGGTATAGTCCAGAACTACTCTGGCCTCATCGCATGCAGAATCTTTCTCGGCCTATTTGATGCAGGTTTTATGCCTGGTAGGTTCGTCAATTCTAAGACGGAGGCACGACTAACATACAGGTTAGGCGCGGCGTATCTGATGTCGATGTACTACAAACGGCACGAACTCTCGATCCGTTTCAACACGTTCTTTGCCGCGAGCGTGTTTGCGGGTGCCTTCGGAGGGCTTCTTGCGTATGGCCTCACGCAATTAGATGGTCGTGCAGGTCTCGAAGGATGGCGCTGGCACGTTCTTCGACGTCACATCCTGATCAAACGCTAATTGAACAACATAGGATCTTCATTGTAGAAGGACTTATAACGGTGGTTACCGCTTTCGTTGCCAAATATTTCGTCGCCGACTGGCCGCAACAGAACCGTTTTCTCTCCGCCGAGGAAAAAGCTTTGCTCGCTGCGCGACTAGCTCAGGATAACAAGGGCGCTGGAATGGAGCGTCTTGATAAAAAGGCTGTCAAGCGCATATTCACAGATTGGAAGATTCCAGTCGCGTAAGTCGATGCCATCTCATCACGTTACCTATTCTAACAACTTTAGCATTTGCATGTACATTCCGTTCTCAAGCAACAACTACTCTCTCGCCATCTTCATACCTACCATACTAAACAGCATGGGATACCACCAGACGAGAGCACAAGTCCTCTCAATTCCAATCTATGTCGCAGCATGTACAGTGTGCATTATTGTTGCGTTCTGCTCTGACAAAACTCGACATCGCTACGCATATATCATGGGAGGGCTCATGTTCTCTGTGATCGGGTTTGCCATTCTATTAGCTCAGAGCACGTCGCTGGGGGTGCAGTATATGGCTATCGTCTTCGCTGCCTGCGGTGGCTACACAGCTCACCCGCTAGTTGTGACGTGGCTGACGAACAATATGGGAGGGCGCTACAAGAGATCGTTTGGCACAGGGCTTCTGCTTGGGTTTGGAAATGCTGGTGGTATCATTGCAAGCAACATCTTTATTGAGAGTGAGAGGCCTCGGTATCTTGTAGGGTATGGTGTGTGTCTGGCTGTTGCAATATTTTCCGCTGTGATGAGTTCTGTATTCATTGTAGGTCTGAGGAGGGAAAATAGGAAAAGGGATGCCGGAGGGAGAGACTACAGGTTTGAGTTTGTGAAAGAGGAGCTGGAGAATCTTGGTGACTCGCATCCGGAGTTCAGGTTTGTCTACTGAGTGACTTGGCCTGTTATGGTTTTTTGAAAATTAAATCCGTTACCAAATCCAAGAATTGATATTGGACCGTGCCTATTCTTCAAGAGTCCGAGAAAAGGACCAGTTATGTATTGCTCCTACCGTGACTGATTATCTCTGTCGGCCGTCGTCGCTACGCAGATCTATCTTTCTGGATTTTTATATCCATGTTATGATGCGCCCGGTGGTTGTCCCTTGTTGCTCACATCCAATTTCCTTCCCTCAAAAGCCTCCTCTCTCGCCTTCTGTATTCTGTCGTCGCTGATGAGAAACTCCCTCGGGAACCACTGTGGTATCGCAGCATCGCCGCTTTGCATCAGATCTGCGAGAGCCTCAGCACACTTGAGCGCAAGTGCCATACCATGTCCATTGAAGCCAGCTGCAATGAACAACCCGGAGGATCCATTTCTACTTCGCTCTCCTACCTGATTCTGCGCTGCGCCTTCGAAGACCAGGGGCATGGGGACTTCTCCGATAAATGGCATATCATCCGGCGTGACCCCCATAATACCTGTCCACTCTCTTACGACGTCTCTTCCTTTTACCGACTGTCCAGCATCATCACCATCACCATCATCACCATCACTATCATCACCATCACTATCATCACCATCACTATCATCACCATCACCATCATCACCACCACCCCTATACCCCGTCCAGTGCTTTCCGAAATAAGCCCTGCCTATATCAGCCAAATACTCCGAAGTCGCCGGGTTCAGTTCGCTATCATCCACCGTGCCGTACTCGCTCGCTCCACTAGATGGCAAACGGCCCAGTCCTCCACCAATGATAATGTGTTGTTCTTCTCTCCCGGTCCCGTCGGAGTTACTACTCGTGCTGAGCCGTGGTATCATATAATCATAACCACCATCGTACATGAAACTGTACGTACTAGGCAGCAGTGTCGGAAGAGTGCTGCCCTGTGGCACTTTCAACGCAGCTATCTGACCTCGCAACGGTACGATGATGCTTTGCAGACTCGGCAACAAATTTGCCGTATAACCATTTGTTGCGAGCACGACGCGGCGTGCGTTTATGGTGCCTTGGGCAGTAGGTACGGCATATCTGAAATCCTGAGCTGGAGACGGCCAGGATGCGATAACACCAGTTACGGGCGTGTGGGTATACAGAGTCATGCCACGCGAAATACAGAGGCTCAATACGCCAGAAGTGAAGGCATATGCATTTATGGACCCTGCTTCGTATGCAAACGCACCATCAACCTTCTCAGGGGCATGAATTCCACCCGGGGCTTTCTCAGGTCCGACTAGAAATTTGGTTACCGTCTTTTCAGCGTCTAGGATCTTATATGAGGCAGCAGCATCAGCTGCGCCAAGATTGGACTGCAGAGTATGAATCGCATCGATGCCTGATGTGTACGTCGCTGGGTCATAGATGATATCCGTGGTTTGGCATGGACGAGACGTGCACGCAATCAAGTGGGTAGATGCAAAGGCATGAGTGTCGCGGATGTTGGCGAGCTCGAGGCGGGCTATCTTTGCGGCTGTGGATGGAGAATGCGAAAGAACATGAGAAGGATAAGTACGATATGATGCTGCCTTAGTGTGGCCGCCTAGAATGGGTTAGAAAATGATAGCTTCTGAAATAACCAAAGAATCCATTCCCACCCCGGACAATGCACTGTCATGCGGATAAGTTCGAGGCGCTCTATATGAACGAATACAGAGGTGCTGAAAAAAGAGGACAAGAAGGGACTGAAGTCTCTTGAGGGTAGAAATATATGAGCCCAATTGGTATAATTCGAACTCGTTTACGTGAAATCTTTACATCCACCACGATCCTGTTTAAGCAGATCTTCAATGTACACCCATATGGGCAAAATTCGGAAGAGAGAATAGCGAATACAACTTTTGGTCAGTGACAATTGTTTGAGAGTCTTTAAACACATTCTATATACGACTGACATGTGCGGGTGAAAGCGACGAAATTGGAAAACCTCATGACATATAGAAAGCAATAAATATGAGACATACGAAACCTTTGACTTACCATTCCTGCCTGTCGCCCCACCGACAGCATCCCTCGCTTCCAACATGACAATATCCTTCACACCCTTTTCCAGTAGATTCCAGGCAACCATAGCACCTGTGATGCCACTCCCAATGATGACGGTATCAGCAGTCCTGGGGAGTGATTCTGTCGAACGATGGCGAGCAAGTGGTGAGGGCGGATGGTGCCAGTACGATTTGATGGGGATGGGATGTGGAGGCTGAACGGGAATTTGTGCACGCGAATGCAGTTCTGGGTACGACATGCTGGATAGCCAAAGAACACTTGAAGTGTGAATCAGGAGAAGACTATGAGATGGGGTAGGTGAATGTAAGGATCGAGAGTGGCTGTCTCACGCGTAGATTCGGATGCTAGACTGGAGAAGACAAGGAGATACGGAAGCGACCTTCGGCATATATACCTGCAGTATGAAGAAGATGTTGCCTGGAGCAGCGATTAGGAGTCTGAACTACAACTAGAATGTGAAAAGTATGGGTGTCTTACGTCTATGTACAAATGTAGCTACACTGGACTGATAAGATGGGATGGACGAGCCAAAAAAGTGGGTCGCGCACTCGCTGGTGCCCACCAACGGGCTTTCTAGCGAAAACTGACAACGTCACGTCCTGCTTCACCTATAGGACATCCATGGATGACAGTGAATAATCAGGATGAGGTTGGCGAACAACTAATGCCCTTACATGTATGCAATCACGACGTAAGGCCCTGGTCAACATAAGTTTAATTTCATTGTTATACAGCCCATCGATCCGGCGATGCGCCTCCTCCCACGATGATACCTACGCGACAGACGAGCCCGCATACGAACGTACCCGCACGCATTGCAGTAATGTCGGCACCCTTATCGACCACGTATTATACATAGCACGACCGGCACAATCGTTGCTTCGTATGCATGACGGGAACAAGGACGAGGAGAGGGGCCAGTGGCAGTCTATGCCTCCTCTGCGTTCTTCTTGTTCTTCTTCTTGCCAGATGTCATGGGTGCCTCGCCTGTCTTCTTCTGATGTACGATGAAGCGCGTGTAGCACTCCTCTCTATCCCACTCGAAGCCAGCGAGATATGGTGCGTCGAGTTCGTCGTCGGCCTGTGAAATCGTTGTTAGTATCGATATAAGAGAGAGGAATTAGAGGATACATGGCAGGACAATCGCTACGGACATGGAAGGTATGACCTGTTGTGCAGAGCCGAAGTCGGCGAGGAAAAACACTGTTCATGGACAATCACGTACCTTTTTCTTGAACTGCTTGTGGATTGCATCTAGTGCATCCTTAATAGTAACACCTTTGAGGTTGCGAGCGGTGACCTCCAGGCCCAGTGGAAAATGTAGGTCGATCTTCTTCACCTTAGGCATCACCAGAGGCTTTTTCAGCACCTCAGGCTCGCCGATCGACGTTGGTGATGTGTTCAGCTTCCTAGCCTAGGTTAGTACCGCTGACATACCAGTGCAAAAAAGCTACCTGCGTAATGACGAGAAGGTAAGGTAGTTGGAACGACGACAATGAAGCAAATCTTAAAGAGGACGAGTATAAGTAGAGCGGCTTACCAGTTAAGCTTTTGTGTTTCTGGTGCAATGGCAAGCTCGACGCCGTCCTTCTCTGTCGGAAGGCAGTCAGTATGGAACCCCTCAATATGAACCCCTCACCTAGGAGTCCTTCTCGGCAAGAATAGGTGATCATCAGGTGTAGGGCATCGACGGGATGGAGCTGCGGTAGCTGACTCACCTAGATCATTGATGTTGAAGACATCTGCCGCGGTGCTGCTCTGTCGTCGCTTTGCTGGAGCATGAGTCTCACCAGTGGCGGAATCGACTTTGGAGAGTTCAGCTGCCATGATGGTAGAAGCGGTAGAGTGATGTTTGGTCAAGCTACAGGGAGTAGCTTGTAAAAGGAGATGATGATGATTGGATTATGTGCCTGCGGCGCTGGGTTGGAGATGATGCTTTAATTGGAAGTTGATGGATGGAAGAGGAGGATAAGGAGAAGAAGAAGAGGAGGAGGAGAGTGAGTGGAAGATGGAATGGAGGACAAGGTCATTGATCTTGCTGCGGCGGCGAGCGGGGTTGCGTGATGGCCTCCTGATCTGGAGCTTGGACAGGCACCTCAATCTCACTCAGCTTCCCCCAGATACACGCAACCGGCCTCGTGAATCTGGGCTAAACTCCGATCTCTCTTGATTGGGCCGGGACAGCGATTATGAAGCTCTTACAACCATAGCTATGCCTGGCTGACCTACCTTTGCTTTTGCTTACACGCACTCGACCCACAGTCCCCTCCAGAATAGCGACTCTAGTGAACTCTAGTGAACTCTAGTGAGTCCGGGGAAATGCGGGGTAGCGCCAAATATGCGTGCAGCCTCAGGTGATGGTCACGCGACCATACGCACGTGTGTTGTGTGTGTGCGTAATTGTCATGCACGGTTCAGTATGCCCGCTGTCATCATTACACAGTAGCTCATAATCAGTTCCTTACTTTGTCGCTGAGTGTACTCAGTGTGTAGTGTTGTACTGTGTTTGGTCTGTGGTCCGCGGAATACTTGGCTTGCCTGGAGTCACACTCATCTCAAAGCAGTACACAGCATAGTACATCATAGAGTCGATTATTGTCGCGTTGATCTCTAGGCGGTATAGATGAGTCTGTTAGCGCTATTGTTGAACTAATGTAGGAGCTGCCGATGTAGTGAGTGTCATACAGCTTTGGCAGCTTACCGACATCGATTGATTGTTTAAAAAGTCCAAGATATCTATAACGCAATGATAGTATGAATATTTGTGTTGATACCAGGAGGAGAGACTTAAGAGAAAAGCTAGACAATGATAATCACTTGAGTATCTCTATCGCGATAATGTGTTCAACGCCATCGGCGCCAATCTTTAGTTTTCTCAACACAGCCCAAGTGCTTGCACATGAAGTCTGCTTCTACGGCTGGTTTGCAGTTGGTCGTTGCAAGACCGACTCAGCGGTAGACCTTCTCGGCGGTAGACTGAGCCATGGACTCTACGGAGCATCAGGGCTTAAATTCGTGGCATTGACCTCTTATGAGCCATTACTACCTCGAGAGGAAGTAAAGTGACTAGGCATTGTGGCTCGACTACGAATGAAGCATCGTCCTCGTAGAGGCTCAATCCACATTCTATCAGTGCATCATCATCATCATCATCGACGTAGAAGTAATATTTTGATCCCTCCTCCGGTCGATTACCGGTGTGAAACCACCGTCATATTTGCTAGGGGGTAGCGATATCACATCAAAAGGGCCTCCCTGTAGCGTGATAGATGTGGAAGCCAAGGGACCAAACTTATCAGATCCGTTCTCAGGCACAATTGTTATTTTCAGAATCTCTGCAAGAGCACGGTCATCCTGCAAATGTTCCTCCTCTGGGAAATCCAATTTGAGAAACGTGATTTCACCTTGGTAGGATGCCCATGACCACGAGGATACACGCCACTCCTTTGTATAGTGGAAGCCTTGTCGCAGAAAGGTCATCCCATCCCCAATGGCATCCTTCCGGCCGTCATTCTCGTACCTGATCACCCCATAGTACCATGCAAGTTGTGAAAATAATTCATTGTACCACAAGCCTGCGACATAGTCGCAGCCCATCAGTGGGCTGAACTCTCGGGCAATTGCCGAGATAGCTGTTACTTCGTCTTTCGCTTGAGTAAGGTTCCTGTGAGTTCGCCTGTGACCGGGTCGCGATCCAGCCGCATATAAACCTCAACTGTAGTAATCCAAATTCGAAGGCCTTCTAGAGATATGTTCCGCGACGCATTAGCGTCGCTCGAAGCACCAAGTCTCCCTAACTCAATGAAAGTGTCGAAGCGAGTCTTTGCGGCCCGTACGTAATTATCACGCCCCTGAAACCGACGAGCCATCTCTATCACTGTGGCCTGACCACATTTCCATCGCAATAGTGAATTTGTAAAGTTAAGGATTCTTGGAGCGAGCAATCTCTGGATTCTGAATAAACCTCGGTAGGTTATGCGATGATTCGAAGTGAAGATAGCATACCTCCTGAAATACCAACCTCGCTTATTCAGTGGCTGATAATCAAGGCTAGGAGGATCATACATGAGATCCTTCCTTCTTCCATGGTGTATACCATGGACTTTTGCGCAAGGGCCTATTGCTTCCTCGGTCTTCCCTCGAGGCACAGAAGGTCTCGGTCCGACCGTATTGATAGCATCGATGAATTTTGGAAACTGGTTCAGTGATGGTGGTTCCTTCTTCCACTGGTCCGAAACTTCAACACCGGAGAGACTAATTTGAGAGCCCTTTAGACCCCATCGATGGGATAAAGTAGCATAACATACGCCTTCTGGGATATCGTCCCCCGTGACCAGTGATATGGTGTCAGAGCCAGCATGCAGATATAGCAGTCGGCTAGGTCGAAATGCTCTCTCCAGAGAATTGCGACAAGGCGTCCACACTTTTCGTGCTTGTTACGACAAGGTATTGAGTCAATATTTTGCCAGTACCATACACTCCTCTGATCCGGTGGAGCGATTCGTGTAATAGGGCGCTGGCCCACTTACATCACCTTAAAAAAACATTAGCAATGGGGATTAAATGCTAGAATAGAAGTAGGCATATATCTTGACTGGCTATAGTTTCCTAAAGTGGGAATACTTCCGTGTGAATGACTTCCGTTCTTACAGCATGAAACTTTACTCGAGCATTAACAAGCACCCCTTGGACAGACCAGCGCGTCTTCAACTGCAAACTGTCTATAGCATTTGTCTGTCTCATACAACATTGAGTAGCAAGGCGCAGCCTACTACCTACAGACCAAGAGTACAGATTTACAGTTCGTACATAAGAAGGCGTCATGTGAACAAAGGCACCACACATCTGTAGGCAGAACTTTGACCATTCTAAGCTGAAGGTTTAGCGCTCAGCCTGATGGATTCTCCATACAACTGATGGATCTTGTGCGAACCCACGAGGAAGGCGCACCGATTTGTGCCGTTACACTGTGGCGGCTCTGAACACAAACTGCCATGTTCGACAAAGTGAAGGGCTCGCACTGCGTTTGTATTCAAGTAAGAGACACATATCCGACAGTTTATTGCATAAATAATGCCATAATCCAGTCTCGGAACCGCAGGAAGGAGGCAAATACAGGCCGCACTGTACTCATGCCTGTTGGGCTCCGTGTAGGAGACACATAACATTTATCATGATGAAGTCGTGCCATCACCGGCATTGATTGGTCGAACAGAACCAAAGGCTGTGCCGGGTTTGGAAAGCCTTACTCCACCCCGACTCAATCTTGGACATCCTTATGACAAGCTTGACATGAAGATGGTATCTGCGCATACGTATGTTGTAATACAGTCCCTGTAACCATCAGGATGTTCATTTTGTTGAAGGAGGAACTACTCTTATTTATCAGCTTCTGTACTCATACAACACTCACTAATACAACCAACACATTTCGTTCAACACAGATTTTTCTCGTGAGGCTGTAGCGAGTAGCAGGGGCACGATAATACATCTCTTTGTGTATGTGCAGAAGCAGCTGCGCGCCACGTTACACACTTCTACATTGAACCGGATACCACAGAGTTTTTAGTGGCATTCCGTTCTTCGCGCAAATTCTAAGTGTTCCATAAGCTTGTCTTATGCTCCGGAACGAGACAATGCGACGTACTACTACTATACAGGGTTCGATGACGATTCTTCTAAGAGCTGACGCTTATGCATATTGATAAAATAGACTGAACTAGACTTCGGCGTATGCAATCAGATGTAATTAGTCACTTTAAAAGTATAGAGTAAACTTGTAATCTATACTAAGGGATTCGAACACTATTAACATCAGAGAGTAAGAATACTTCTATTAAGACATGTAGTTTTCTAGGCAATCTCACTATAGTATATGCATGTATATAATATATTAGTAGTAATTACTAGACATGCTTCTTATGCACCTCTACTCGACTATATTCTAATGAACATCCAGGGGGTCGAGAAATTCACATGATTGATGCATATTCATGGACCAATGGGACCATCTACAAACACTGGTACGCCACAGCACCGTGTCCAACCTATACAGGTGGACATCTACAAACACGAGACCAAAGCTATCTTTCCAACTCTACTATGATCCATTCGCAATTTCCACAACCCGATCTGCAGCCTCATCAAACCGATCAAACGCCTCCAACTTCAACCCACTCTCAGCAATTATCCGCTGCCCCTCCTGCTCGTTCGTCCCCTTGATGCGCACCACCACCGGAATGCCCTTTTCCTGCAATCCCAACTCTTTGAACGCAAGCAATATGCCATTAGCAATCATGTCGCCCAGCGTCAGGCCGCCGAAGATATTGACAAAGATCACCTTGACGCGGTCGTCGCGCAGGATCAGGTTGAAGGACTGCTTGACCGTCTCGGAGGTGGCCTTGCCGCCGGTGTCGAGGAAGTTGGCACTCTTGCCGCCATGGCTGTACAGTGCGTCGACGGTGTTCATGGCGAGGCCGGCGCCGTTGACGAGCGTGCCGATGTTGTGGGTGCGGTCGGATGAGGCGCCGAGCTTAACGTAGACAATGCCGTCCTTTTCGGCTTCGAGCTCGGCGGGGTCGACGGCGTCTCTGTCTCGAAGTGCGTGTATCTCTTGTTGGCGCTTCGCAGACTTGGGGGCGGAGTCGTCGAACATGAAGGACGGGTTGAAGATTTTGAGGGTGTCGGATTGGGTGTCGACAGAAACTGAGACGGTCAGGTCGATGGCTTCGGTGGCGGTGTACATCGTAGACAGGGTTTTGATGAGCTTATATGCTTGGCTTTTGGCGGCAGGGGGTGCGGCGTCGAGCTGTAGATGGGCGATGGCTTCTTCGATTAGAGTTTTGGAGGGTCCCTGGTGGTAATTGTAGGGGAAGCGCTTAGAGCGCTTTTCGAAGGTTGACATATCGGTAGAAGGAGAGACGAGGATTGACGGGGAGCGAGCAGAACGATCGACTGTGATGGAGAGGAAGCGTGCATCAGAATCGGAAGGGGTCGAGGAAGTGTTGATACCTTGTTTATTGAGGAGGTCTGAGGCTTGTTGAGCAGAGATGTTAAGAGATCGGCGCTGTATTGTGTGATTCACGGAAGAACTCGGAGGAGTCATGCGTAGTCTATTAATCATACGTGAAGTATGATATCCTCGCTTTTGAGAAGGCGTTGCTTTATCGGTCTGTTGGTGTCAGAAGGGATCGTGATCGCACGTTGCTGATGCTTACTATGTATTGCTCTCGCCCGCTCTGCTTCATGAGAGTCTTCATGAGACTGCCGAGCTTTGTAGGATGGTCTACAACAGGCACGCCCACATTCTTCAATATCTCGACCTTCTCATGCGCTAGTTTGTCTCCTGGTAGTGCAAAGGCGCCCGCATGGCCCATGATCGTACCCTGCCTCGCATGTACACCACCAATCACAGCCGCGATGGGCTTAGGATTCTTCACACGCTTCTTGTAGTCTGCGATCCACTCTGCAGCATCAGTTTCGGTTCTACCCCCTATCTCACCACACATTATGATTGCATGCGTGTCCGGATCAGTCTCAAAAGCCGTCAAAGCTTCGACAAAGTTGGTGCCAGCAACGATGTCTCCACCCATACCGATCACTGTGCTCTGTCCTAGTCCAGCACTTGTGAGAGCACCGACTGTCTCGTAGCTTAAAGTGCCAGACTTCGCGATGATACCCACGTGACCAGGTGCGAAACACGGCAGAGGCTGGAACCCGATCCGGCATCGACCAATAGCCGAGATGATTCCAGGAGCATTTGCACCCACCAGTCTCGATTTGGATTGTGTTTGTAGGATCGAGGATATCTTAACGGTATATTAGAGAAGACGACTAGAGAGACAGACACTGCTACAAGCTTACTCTCAGAATGTCGTGAAGTGGGATGTGTTCGGCTACAGCTACAATGAGGGGGATTTCGGCCTCGATGGCCTCCTCTATAGCAGGAGCGGCCTGTCCAGCGGCCACGTAGATGGCTGTGGCATCAGGATTGAGCTTCTCCTTCGCTGCTCTCACGCTTGGTAGCACGGGTAGACCCAAATGTTCACTTTCAGTGTTTGGTTTCACACCACCCACAATGTTGGTCCCCCACTCGATGGAGGCTTTCGCATTCATGGTAGCCTGCTTTCCTGTGAATCCCTGAAACATGACACGCGTGTGGGCGCCAATCTGGAGGTTCTTGATCGTGTCCGCATAGTTGTCACGTGAATAAGTCACAGAGAAGCTCCGCCGTGCCAGAGACTTGGGCACGACGGACTTTTGTGAAGCTCTCAAGAGTAACATTGCGATTGGTTACCACAAAGGCATTCGAGGACGTATAGTACGAACGAGAGCTCAATTGCGGGAGAGGGGATCTATGGAAGGCAACAGAAACTGTGGCAAAGGAACAAAAAGGAATCTAAAGAGGTATGAAAGCTTTACATGCAATGGTGAAATCATTTCCATCATTGAAGCCGGACGCCACGCATTCTTGTAGTTCCAGCTCGGCCGGGAATACCAAGAGTTGGGCAGGGCTACGGGAATAAGCGCACAGAGCATTGCTCGAAGAGAAGGCCGACCTCGGAATGCAAAGGATATCCGTGACGGCTGCCGATACTGCGAATAAGTATGTTCCGTGTGCTATGCAAGACTATACCCGCCTCTGCTGGGACACAATGCATGGAATACTAATTATTATTGTCAAAGCCGAAATGACGTGTGCCGGAAATCGGCTGTTATGTCTAGCTGCCCCTCCGAAAACCACGGCATTCAGAGGCACAACGTTCTGACACATGCGCAAGAGCTCCTGGCTTCCAAGCTGTTGTTGTTAGTATAACCATGAAACACGCTACAAACAATTTATAAGATTATTGAACTTTAGTCTAGACGATGGTATATCGCTTTGAATATAATCTTACTAATATTATACTAACATAGAGGTCAATTGGCACTCTAATAACGAGACATACTGTGTTGGTGGCTCCGAGGCTCAAGACATGGAAAAGACCAGGCATCCAGGCCCCAATACCACCGCCAAGACCACGGCCCCACTTGCGGAAAGCTTAACCCCACAATCTCAAAGCTGACGTCGGAAAACAATACTGGTGCAGTCTAGTCCACAGGCTGTGAGCAATACGATCCTCACAACTTCCTCCCTCTCAGCAGTATCTCTACCCTCCTGCATCCTCCACAGCATCAACCACTACACCTCTCTATTCCTTCACAACAAACAGAATAACCTCCCATTCCAACGCCATCCCTTCCACCTCCCACAATGCCGTCGTCCACTCCACACCCATCTGGTAATGAGTTCCACCTCCATCTCCACTCCTATTCCCATCCCAATTCCCCCCAAATATACTCCTCCCTCCCACTCATATACATCCACATTCCTAACCAAAAATCTCCTACAGAACTAACAACCTCCCTCTCCGCCCTCTCCATCACCACAAAACCCACCTCGCAAAAGACCGCCCTGGTGGCAGACTCCTGGGAAGACGAGGCCGACGACGACGACGACAACGACGATGCCTCCTCCTCCTCCTCCTCACTGCCATCCACACCCACTGCATCCACAGCACCATCCAAATCCACATCCACAAACCCAACAACGCGCCAAAAACCCACCCAACCCACTCCATCCGCCCCGCCACCAACCCCCTCCTCACCAAACCATCCCTCCTCATCACCATCCTCCTTCTCCTCCTCATTCCCAACTGCCCCCTTCTCCTCTTCAACCTACCAATACCCCCTCTCCCCTTCTCACACCGCCAGCAATACAACCCCGCAGGCACAACAACCACCAACCCGCCGCCCAGACAAAACAACAAGCACAGCCTCACGCATGATTGCCGCAGGCCTGGGCATGCGCGCACCCGTGCGCACGGCCGAGCAAAAGGCATACGACGATGCAGAGCGCAAGGTGTTACGCGAAAAGAGGGCTAGGGAGCGCGAGGAGGAGAAGAGGAAGGAGGCGGAGAGGGAGAGGGCGCGTGTGGCGGTTTGGGAGGATTGAGAGGATTGAGGAGATTTTCATAAAAAGTTGTGCAGATAGTAGGATTGGAATTGAGTGGATATATGGCTACGCATGGAAATTTTGACTGGAGCTATGCGTGTGTTGGGTTTCTGATTTGGATAGAATGCTAAAGTGGAATACTGTATACTTGGGCCATTGGATTTCGTGCCGGTGCATGGTGTGATATTTACAACCATGCTGTGCATGTACAGTCTCAGCACGACATCAAATGGTTCTACGAGTCTATCATCACACGAAAAGCCACGCAATCAAATACGAGCATTCAATGCCACAAATCATACAGAATCAAACATCTTCATTTGAGCATGCGCAGTCCTATCACTACACAAGACAGACAATCCTACAAGTCGCATCATCATTATCATCATCATCACTCTGAGAAACCATCGTCTCATCCGGTTCAACACCCTCCTCCAAACCAAGTAATAGTAGGGCGTTTTAGTTCTTACCCTAGAAAATTCCTGCCCTGCAGGGAGAGTAGTAGAACAGGTCTGTGACCATATCAAACCGTGCCCAGAACCCATGTGATGATGATATGAATACGGTATTTATTCCAAAACAGAAAAGAAAAAATGAACAAGAACAACAGAACACACGAGGCTGTTAGCTAGCCAAGGGGCAGAGGAAATAATGACCCAGCACGCTCCGCTTTGAACGCCGTTGCCGCATGCTCGCTATGCTATTGAAGGAGGAAAGAAAGAAAATGAGGACAAGCGGAGAAAAACTCTTGAGTGCGCGTGAGATACATAAGATTGTAAATAGCGAAGTGAAGTGACAGTAATGAGACGTAGGAATTTTTGAGTCTCATGCTCGGCCGAGGCAGTCGTAAGGTAGATGGTAGTGGCGTATGAAGAATTTAGGAGGTTCGATGACTCTCTTAACAAGATTCCCAGCGTGATTTAGGAAGGGTCATGTACAGGTGTAACATGATCTTTAGACAACGCCAAGCAGTAGCTTTAGATGTCCATACTCCACCGATTCTGCACATGTTGCATGTCTCCTATCCATTCTCTGCTAACACCAAAGCCACTGCCACCCCATTCAATATCTCGAATGGGCTGCTTTTCATCGGGATACTGGGCTCCTGATATCGCGGATGATTTGATATGTGCAGGGGGTAGTAGCTCAAGAGATCGTTCTGTGGAACTCGAAGACTGTTTTTGAGTATTTGATGCTGGTGTAAACCGATCTTGAAATGCGTTGAGCGAGTAATCGGAGAGGAACAATGGTAATCGCCGACCCATGCCAGGACTTCTTGAATCGGAAGAGCCAGTGTTTGTATGCTGTAATTTCTTTGGACGGACATGATTCTCGTCCCGAATCACGGACTTTGAAGTGGCATTCTCGAGACCATCGCTCTCGGTAACGGTAATGTTCGGTCTTTGAGCGGTCGTAGAAATGCGAATGAAGCCAGACGAAGAAGTAGGGCGATTCGATTGCGGAGAAGCGTCCATAGTAAGAGTTTGGACCATTGTCTCACTAGAGGATCCGGTATGATTGGTGGGAAGCATAAGACTGTCTGTCTTGGCTCTACGCGTCTTACGACTGGGCTTTGGAAGTGTATTCGTATATGTGTTTGTGTCGTATGTTAGTCCGCGCGAGGGCGCTCGGCAGGATCCCCCCCTGGAACAAGTCGGCATCTCAGGTGTCTCACCTCTTTGCATCTTCTCGAACAATCGCTTTTCGCTAACTTGTCTTTGTAAGCTCAGCTCAACTTTACTGCTGGCGCCGCTACCACCACTACCACCACTACCGCTGCGACTTCTAGAATTGGCACGGACTTTGCCGTTCATGACTTTGGCTTTCGGTGGTGGCTGCAGCATCCACTTGTTATCTCTTGCATATGACGATGGCATGCTGACGACAGGTGGGTGCATGTCATTGACAGGTGGACCTCGACCAAAGTAGCTGTCGGTGGAAGAGAAGGCGGTCCCAGGTCTACTTATGCGTGCAGCAATTGAACCCCCAAGTTTCGAGTGTTGCGATTGTATCTCGTCCGCATCCTCAAAACCCCAAAGCTCTTCGTCCTCGCGTTGATATCTCTTTCGGTTCCAGTTGTCTCCATCCAAAGTGTCATCACTCTTACGGCCATCGGGAATCGTGAAGGCCTTCAAGGGGACATCTAAGCTGCTCCCACCATGGCTGGTTATAGAGCCCTGTGTGCCTGCCCTACTTGGTACATGGTCTCTTCTGCTCCCTTCGCGGCTCTTTTTGCCTTTTGTTCTTCTTGGGGGTGGGCCAGGCCCGAGAATTATTTCCTCACGCCAATGCTCGTTTGTATCGTTAGGATGGGGATGCCAGTAGAGCTCTGGCTGCTCTGTTTCCAACTTTTCCCTCTCAGCCTTATCACGCTTTGCGTCTCTCCGGAGTTTCTTGCGGTGAGCGGCTTGGGTACACGGTGCGCAAGATAGATAGTGAAATACGGCGGACTGAATTCCGCGCATCAACGACATTGCGCAAGTGGATAGCGACGCAACAGTCAGCGTACGATACGGGCAATTCGGGATGGACAGCAACGAAAGGAGGACACGTCGAGGTCGAGACGAGGAGAGATCACACTGTAATGACAGGAATGCGCCAGGAGAAAGATCGACAGTCTTGGTTTCACGTCGTCGAACGTGGCGCAGGAAGAGACCGACGGGCAGCGGGGACCTCAGGCTAAAGAAGAGATGATGATCGTATAATTGCAGCGGTCCATTTCTGCAGTAGAAAGACAGGATGGTGTGATGCTAGGACCAACAATTGGATTGGATTGAAGACGTGACGAAGAAGTGTGATAGCGAAGGGTGAGGCAATGAGGGAGGACTAGGAGAGGACGTGAAAGTGGTGGAGGGAGAGAGGGAGGGGTTGTCGCGCAGTTGAGCGGCATTTTTGGGGGGGTTGGATGTACCTGCCTGCCTGCCCCTGCCCTGCCTATCTACAAACTAATACAGTATCTACAGTATACAGCCCACTGAGCCCAGCAGTGTCCAGCACAGTAACAGTGCAGTAGGATCCGCCTATTCCGAGGGGCTCGCTTCTTGCGGCAATGCGGCAAGAAGATCATGACAGCCCCTGGAATCCATAGGCTAGTCATGTCATCGGTAGCCCTCAGGAGTCTGGAGTCTGGAGGCGACGTGGGCAGATTGGCAGCCAGCACAGTAAAAAGGGAAAAGGGCAGCAAAGGGTCCGGGTCTCTATCTCGCCCTGCGTCTGACGTGCATAAATAGTAGTATTTGATATCCAATGATAATCCATGTGCAAGATGGCTCTAGCTCGCTAGATCATGACATGCCATGCCATGCCTCGCCCACCCTTTGTCTATCTATTTCATCTAATTAATGTGAAGAACATCTATCCAACATAGACTCATGTCGAGAGAATATGCTATTCTGGACAGACTTGTAGCCAGAGATCCCCATGCCTGATGTTACTATGAGTATTTCATATTACCACATTATCCGTGTATACCTAGTACTATGGGTAGGGCTGACCGGGAAGGAAGCCAGCACAGCCGCGGCCCACTACGGGAGAGAGATTGATGGATACAGGCGGGCCCGACCGGCTAATGCTGTGTAATCACTTTACTCCGTCCCAAACAACATTCCAGTAGACCACAGTTCAGTATTAAGCGGTCAGTAGCTATACTGTCCGTTACTATCGATGCTGCTACTTCTCTTATACTCTCGAGCCGGAAAGCAGGTTTCTTTGTACTAGTACAGCCTTCGTCTATTCCCTATTTTTTGCTTTATATACACAACATCTATTTCCCTGGCCTTGACATATTCACTACGCACGCGTAGAGCTGTCTTTGACATTCGTTTCAGCTTCCTCAGCTTCCTCAGCTTCCTCAGCTTCATCAGCTTCATCAGCTTCATCAGGCTTCTCTGTTTAGCTCTTCTAGCTCCTTTAGCTCCCCTGGCTTCCCGTCGGCTGCAATATCCATTTCCCCCTCTTTATTGTCTGCGTCATGTCCGTCATTTTCTGTGTCCACATCCGGGCTTACATCGTCCTTTGACTTCCCCTGCGTAGGAACCATCATCGATCGCACTTCTGATTCAATACCAAAAGCCCGCGCAATCGCTAACTGTACATGATACATAGTACTTGTCTGGGTGGTAAGACTAGCCATGACGTAGAGGACGTTGCCAAGCACGCGGCAGTGAATTGGTTGTCTGATGGAGCGTTCAAGATCATTCTGAAGCGTAACAGCTGCTCTAGATGAATACCCTGCCACTAATATTAGCTGCAATTCCACTCTGTTCTTTCCGACACATGATACTTACCAGATCCCTCGGGGTCAGTGATTTTTATTGCAAGCACAGTTCCCAAAGCCACTACACTTGAAACTCTTTCTTGTCGAGAGAGAAGCTTCACAAATTCAAGGTGCCAATGACTCCAGACCCGTTCATATGGAAGACGACTGACGATTAAGTTATTGACTCTGTCTGGCTCCGACGGTATCGCACGTGCAGCTCGCGCCCAGGAGAGCTTGAATAACTTGGTGGCCCTTTGCTGCTGAATATCGTTCATCATCCACAAAGCCTTCTTAGCTACAGTGCATCCCATCGCATGTGCTGTGTAACTATGTCCGTGGAGGAGCGCATCGGACTTTTCGTCGCCCAAGAAAGCCTCAAAGATGCTATTGGATGCAAGCGTCAAGCAAAGCGGAAGAAGGCCACCGGTAAGCAACTTGGCATGTACAGAAATGTCGGGTTTCACCCCCAGGAAACTTGCGGCGCTGAATCGTCCCAGACGGTACAGTCCTGTGAAAACCTCATCGAACACAACAGGCAAGCCCTGCCAGGCATATGGATCCCGGAAAGCCGATTGCAACTCTTGTTTCCCAAAGTTGCGTCGCCGCACTGCATTAACCAGGGCACTCTGAAATAGAGGATCTCTGTTACATGACTAGTTAGCATTTTACTTGACTTTAGTCTAAAGGCTGGGACAGGTCATTTCTTACGCGAATATCATTCCTCCAGCACCAAGCAAGACTGGTTCCATGACCAGGGCTCCGAACTTTCTTCCTTTTTCATTCACCTCCTCATCAAGCACTTTGTCAATGTATTTCTCATACACTGCTGGATCTCTTGATGCAAAAACTTGGTTTAAGTCGTCGAAAGTCTCTCCAGGCCCGAATTCAGCCTCCATACCCTTTGGTGGGCTGACTACCCATTTGCCGTCTTTCATACCAACCGAAGGATAGTCGAACCAGTAGCCACGACCTCGATACCATTCAGTCTTTGTGTTGAAAACTGAGGGCTCTGAACAGTCCATTGCACCAATTGTATCTCCATGGTAGGATCCTTTGAGTCCTATAATTTCAATGGAGTCTTGTTGTCCCGTAAACCCGTACCTCTTCACTGCTGCTTTCAGTGCCATCTTGATGCCTACTTCGATACCGGTGCTCCCGTTGTCTGTAAAGAATACCTTCTGCAGACGGGCATTCTCTAGTCTCTCCAAAAAGGTCTCCGCTAGTTCGAGTGCAGGCTCATGAATCGCACCAGCAAACATAACATGTCCATATCGACCAGCTGCATACGCCGCTGCTAGAGATAAAGCTGGATTGCTATAAAGCAATTAGTGCCAGGTCAGATACATGTTCACGGATCTTAACATACCCATGTCCAAGGCCTTGGGTCCACCAAGATGCTGAACCATCGAAAGTACGTGATACCTTTTCTGCTGGCTTTGTTAGAGTAAAGTAGTCGCCGTAAGCTGAGTCAATTGGAAGCAGGTCAGCGGCCTCAGACTCCTTGTGTTGCATGAAGGGATGCCATATGGAACTAGCAGCTCGTGACCTTAAAGATGATGCAGATGTTCTGAACGCGTCCTTATCACACAGAAGGAGCTCCGTAAAGATCTCATGAACATGGGTACCCTTTCTCATTATCTGATTGTAATAGTCATCCATTATGGCAGCGTCGCGGCTTGTGTCTTGTTCCTGCGGCGGAATCGGCGGAAGTACAATGATGTTTCGAGCCAATTGAGAATATCCGTATAAATTCAGGTATGTCCTCACGTCTCGGTCGTTCTGGTGAGGTTCATTTCCGAAGAACACCAGCTGTTCGACATCGTATCCGCGCAAGGTCAGTGATTCAAACGCAGACACGGTGCTTGACACACCACCTAGTTTTGAATCACCCACAAGGACAATCGGCAATCGGAAAGAACGATAGAAGTCAGCCTGGGCTCTACCGCTTGGAAGAGGAGACATAACCCCTCCAAATGTTTCAACTATAGAGTAACTGCCAGGGCGATTCAGATCATCAGCAAGGATTTTCAACATTTTGGAATCGTCCAGCTCCCTAAAGCCAGTACTGTAATCCTAGAGAAATGTTACCCAATTGTGTCCGATGTGACTGAGAACAGACGTACCGCATTTCGTGCCGCATTTCGCTCCCACTCTGCAGCACGGGTAGGGCTCCATGGCTGACTGTACTTCTGGTAGCACTTGACCATAACATTATTTGCGTGTCTTTTGATGTGGCTTGGGGCGGTTAGCATACTCCAATCAACAAATGACCGCTTAATTAGGGGAGACATACACGTGGTCTAACGTTTGTTCAGGACCGGTGGCAACAGGTTTGATGTACCGAATACTTGTGCCTTCCGGTGGGTCAACTTTGCAGAAGAGTGATGATACGATTGTTTTGCCGACGTCAGTATTGGCGCCAAATATCTGTATAGCTCTGCCATTGGGAGTGCGAATACTGGTCTTGAGAGGCAGTGTCCATTTTCGATTAAGCCCTTTGCGTATGACGGGCTTCATTGAGACCGCTCGCTTGTTCAACCTCCTAGAGGAGACTACTCAATGCTGCACTCACCTTTTCAGACGTGTGAGAGACACGTCGGACAAGGAATCGAATGAGAGTGTTTTGAGTCTCCCCCACAAAGTTACCTAGGTAGAACTAGCTCGCGCCAAGTCTCAGGTCCCAGTCCCGCCAAACACTTCTGTTACCATGACCGTCTTCAACACACCACTTTACCCGGACGACTGTTCAGTCGAAGCAGCGCTTAAGGTCCAGCACATATCATATCTTTTGTCGCGCACAGGTAGGGCGCAGCCGTTCGCCAAGTCTACTGTCGCAGTGTCGATAGACACCCATAGTTCTTTGCCTCGATCGAGCTGTTTCGATTTGTTCAATTCGGCGGGAGCTTGAATTCTGACGTTAAGAAGAACCTCGCGGCCTTACATTGGTGCTGATTCTATCCAGAATTCAACGTATTCTCCATGGCCTTCTTTGGCTTCAGTCAGCCGAATGACCCTTTCGCTGGTCTCTCTGGCAGACCCGATGGCGATGACGATGCGTAAGTTCGACAACATTCCAAATTTTCGATCTTGCTGAGATGGCTTCCAGATTGAACTTTGAGGATACATATGACGGCTTAGGCGATCAGCTTGACGAAACAGATGACGCCTTCAACGATGACACTTTCGGATCGGCTCCTGCCACGCAGCAGAATATTGGGAAGGACTTTGATTTCTCTGGGCAAACCGCAAAAATCTCAACAACCTTACAAGAGGAGCAAATGTTGTACACAGCTAGACAACCCCCACCTAAGGCGAAGCCAACAGTCGCTTCTAAAGGCCCTTCGCGAACTGGCTATGAACGATATGTCGACCCCGGATACATCCCTGCCCTTGAAGCAAACGCTAGCATCTGGGGGGTAGGCCCAAAAAAGCCAGAGGCTACTGTTCAGGAAAGGCCTGATCAATCCGCTGGTGCACATGGGTCTTCAAGGAAGATGATGAGCTTAGAAGAGGTGGAGGCTGCCATGCGTTCCCAAAGCAAGAAACCCGTCTCATTGCCCGACGCTCAAGTCTCCGGATCCAGCTCTCAGATGTATGAGCAGCAATGGCACCAGCAGATCCCAACGCCTCAACAGCAACTCGGAGTGGGCGAGCCTGCACAGATACTTCAACGTCCGCATCCACCAAACGTACCTATGCACCCTCAATTCCATCAGTCTCTCCCGCAACATGGCCAACCCGAGTTTGCAGCACGCTCACAGCCATCCCCTCAGACTCAGATTCTGCAACGACAGAAGCCAGTTGCTCAGGATAATTTCAATAGAGTACCAGCACCACCACACACGATTACAAGAGCACAACCCCAATCCGTACAACAACAGCCGCAGCCTCGTCAAATCCTGCAGAATCCTCAGAGGCTGTCCGGTCAGGGTCAACCATTATCTCAACATGGCCATGGGTTCCGACAAGCCGAGATGCACAGAGCCCCTCCAACAGGCCCCTCTCACGGCAGAGTTCCATCCCATCACGCCGTTGTCACCCATCCTGAACAGCTTCTTCAGCTCTCTGAAGAAGATAGAGCCGCGTTCCTTGTCGAAGACGCAAAAAGAGCCAAAAGGAACCACAAGATTCTCATGTTGTCACGAGACAATGGACTCATGACGCCCCAGGACAAGAATTTTATTACGCGTATACAACTACAACAATTAGTCACGGCCACTGGCGGTGTCGATGATCAGGGTCCCGAAGCTGCTTTGGCTGAAGACTTCTACTATCAGGTCTACAGTCAAATCCGTGGAGCGCCACGCCAGAATCCTCATCAACCTGCAAGTCAGTTCGCGCAAACTTATCTCTTTCAAACTGGTGGTAGGTACGGGCCCCAGGGTCGAAGACACCCACGTGGAGGGGACAACCACATTCAACGCATGGAACAACAAGTTCAACGAGCTGTCGAGGCTGCAAAAGCGAAGCCCAAGAATAAACAGCTGGTAATAGAGGGCAGTCTTGGGAAGATCTCGTTCAGTAACTCCAAGACACCCAAGCCATTACTTAACATCAAGCGGCCTGACACGAGCGATATGCGTCAACAATTGACAGGTAGACAAGCAAGTCGACCCGAGAATTCGCCTATCGCAGACAGGCGACAAGTTCTGCGTAACATTGAAGGGGTCTACGCCACTCTGATGCGACTCGAGGATCATGAAAGGCATTCTCCGCCGCACCTTAATGATAGTAGCGATCCCTCCACTATCCAAGAGCACAAAGATTGGCAGCAGCGACTTCAGAGTCTGAATCAGAGTTTATGGCACCAGCTCAAGGTTATGGAGCCCATCAATCCTAAGTAGGTCGATCCATCCCCCAGTGCTCTTACCTCTCCTAATCAATTACAGTTCCCCGACGGCCCATCCTTTCGTCGCCATGCTGTCTCATCCGAAGGGCAAGAAAGCTATACCTCGAGTTTTCAGGCATATCGACAATCAACAGCGCCTCACCATACTCACTATGATCGTCGTTCATATGGACTCGCTCGATGTGATCGCCCAGGCCGTTCCCATTACGGAGGAGCCCGCTAGCCTTTCACGTATGGTCAAAGAAGAAGTTGAACTGTTCGCACAAACGGTCATACCCTCTGTCTTTGGACATATCAATGAATCACCTCTGGGAATAATAACTGGCCTCCTAGGACTGGTGCTAGAACGCACGAACATACCTCTTGTGGCTCGAACGAAGATAGGTCTTTCATTATTGACTATCCTCATCTCGAGAGCGGAGCTCTTAAAGCAGTCAAATCCAGAAATTGACCCTGCAGAGTGGAAACAATGGATGGTGGACTATGACAGCTTATTCGATACATTGGAACCATACTTGTCATTGCTGTTCACAACTGCAATCAATGATGCAGAAGACGTGTATGTGTGGCAGTTCTTGGCTGCTATGGGCGTCGGCGCGAGCCCTGAGCAACAGCAACGCCTGGTTATTGGCGTGAAAGATCGTGTTATGGAGACAGTCAAGGTCAGCAGGGCGCTTCCCCAGGAGATGGCAAGCGTCCGTCTTGGTCACGTTAACTTGTTCATGAGAGCAATTGGTCTAGACGTTGACTTGCTCGGTTAAAAGTAATGAAATGAAACGCGATGAAAACAAAATGGACTGTAGATCTAGCTTTTACTTTTCATGATGGACAGTTGGGCGGGTCCTTCTGGATTTAGCATTATCAGCACACTTGGAAGTGCGAAATATGGTATTGAGATTAAGCTGCACCTTTTTGCCTTTTTCTGCAACCCAGTGTCCAAGTTTTTTCAGTTCGTGGGCCTTTTTGCAGGTGCTGGCGGTCCTTTCTTCCAACGCCGGCATGAACTCTGTCCGCATAAAGTAATATGCTTGAACATGCAACGACATACCGAATCCCCATCGCATCGGTACTCAATCGACCACTATCCCAGGTGGTAACCGGCCTTCATTCAGCGCCTTCTCTAGTCTACTGATCTCACTCAGACTCTTTGCATTGCGAATAAGCTCCTCTACCTTCTTCTTCTCCTTGTCGCTTAGCCGCAGCGCAATGGCCTTCTCACCCCCAACACCATTCGCAACACCAAGACCAGACGGTACATCAAATGTTTTGGACTTGATACCGGAAATCTTCTGTGCGAGCTCGGTCGGTGCGTCAGTGGTTCCAAACAGCGCGCGCGACTGTGCGCGTTCTGCGTCGCGCACCTTGCGGTAGTCGAGGAAGCGGATATGCGGATTGAGATAGAGGACATATAGCCGGTAATTCTAAAATCTCCACGTTAGCCCAACAATATTCTCTCTTTATTTTATTCGATATGCGCTTTGTGCTTGGCTGTCCTGGTGTGTGTGTGAGAGTCTGTGGGTGGGAAACAATATTTACCTCCTTCTGCGCCACCGGGTTCTCCATCAGCACCACGTGTGTCAACTTCGCAAGCCCGCTCAACGGCTCCAGGTCAGACAGTTCGGAGATCTGGTTGTGTGTCAGGACGAGCGTGGACAGGTTCGGTAGCGAGCGGGCGAGGGTGGGCTGGATATGCGCGATGCGATTGCGGGCGAGCAGCAGGGTGTGCAGACGTGGCGAGAGCGGGAAATTGCTGAGGGCAGCAATGTCGTTGTCGGTGAAGTCTATGCAGTCTTGTTCCTGTTACAAACGCGAGAGAGAGAGCGAGTCAGTACAAGAAGATTTGGTTCTTACCTTGCGGGGTGGGATGGGTGTTGGAAAGGACGCACTCTTGCTACGCCGAGGTTCTCGATCGCGGGTATCTTGTGGCCTGTATAGCGGGATTCGCCATTGTATCAACGCTGCTCTTTGACTTCAAAGTGTAGTATCGGTTCTTTTCAGTACGCACCTCTGAGATCTAGCTCGCGTTCGGTCAGCGGGTTTATGTACGACAGAGAGCCCTGGATGAGCTCGGCCGTTAACCTCATGTTTGCGACGGTGGAGGGTATAGGGATAGGAGAAACGATATGCGAGATGCGAATTGGTTACGGTCGTCGTGGTGCAGAAGTAGCAGGCTGTCTGTCGTGTGCATGGAGAGCTATGAATGATATTCCAATCGATATCAAGATCTAAGGAGCGTTTTTTGATAATTCTAAGGAGCGGTTCTGTTAGCGGCCAAGATCCTGAAGACGTTTCTCTAATATTATCTGTGAGAGCAGTAGGTGCTATGATAACTCAAGCTTGATATATATCTATCAGTTCAGTTATTTTCTAAATGCAAATCCTAAATGTCAGGAACGTTATGACATACGATTTCGCAATTAGAGCCACCCAAATATGAATGCCAGCACTGACTGTGATCTGACCATGTTTCATGGTTTTGCACTACCTAAACTACCTATCTAAGAACCTCATTTTTCTGTATAAAAATTCGTTACTCATGCAAAGGCCCAATGGCTCAATATACATATACATGTCATTTCTAGTTGTCTTTGAGGTTGCCTCTGCCCATTGAAGGCTCATCAGGGACCTGAGGAGTCATTGATGGAGCGCTAGACGTCTGAGGAGTACCGGCGTTGTCGACCAAAAGAGATTGGATGACCTCTAGGGCGGTGATCTGTTGGCCAACGCCATACTGGCCATCATAACCCCCAACATACCACTTCGTCCCACAAGTCACACCGTCGTTGCCCCCAGAGCACGACCGCGCTGCCGCAGAAGCAGAAGCTTTCAACTTTGTGAAGATTCCGTCGCGAGTCTCTGGCATAAGCACGGTTGTCTTCGCCATCCACCGAGCTAAGTAAGCCTTGAACGATTGCATATCCAAGTTGCAAGTCCCGATAGTCTCGCAACTAGCTTCATACAAGACGTCCGTGGCATTGTCGAATGGTGTAAAGAATACGCCAGCAGCATCGATTAAACAATGGGCCCGATCGGACCATTTGGTGTCTTTCGTGTGGTCGTAAAGAGCTGCGGCGCCATACATGAAGAGGCCGTTGTTGTAGGTATACTGATGCAAGTCATGGCTAGAGCACCCATTGTTCGAGTTGGTACCGTCATACACAGTGCAATATGTGGAATCTATGAGGCCTTTCTCTGATACCCAGTCCCAAGCTTTCTCTGCCCATTCAACAAAAGTATCATTTTTCGTGGCGCGGGCTAGTCGAGCAGCGAGCTGAAAGAAAGCACCATTCGAGACGGTGTTCATGTAAGGATACCCTGGATGGGAGTCGAATATCTGCCACCTGAGACCTCCGTCACAGCCTGCCGTATCCCATCTTCCCACCTGTGTCTGGAAAGCATTCGTAGCGACTTGGAGGTATTGAGGTTGATCGGATGAAGGGCTCGGGAATCCGTTCTCTACTGCGGACATCAGACTTAGGGCCCAGAAGCCTTGGTCGTCATTCCCCTGCTTGATATCAGCATAATCCATCTATACATCCAGGGGTATCCTGACTGTCTGACCATAGAACTTCTCGTTCATGAGATCACGGTTTGGGCCACTTTGAGTAACAAATGCATTGATCGTATTCTCAACATATCTGTCATCCCCAGTATATGCCCAGTAGTCTACTAAGCTTCCCCACATGGCTCCTGACTCCCACCAGTAGTATGGTAGATTGAGTGTACCGACATCTCGAGGATCAGTATTGGAGGCATTGTTTCTGTAGTAGCTCTGGAGGCCGTACGCAACTGTGGACGCAGCAGATCTGATCGAGTCTGTGGCTCAGAGGTCAGAAAGGTTTGAAATGCTTGATATTTGCTCACCTACCTTGACTATTCACGTCCAAGTCCAGTGCATTAACGGAGCCACAAACCAGTAGTAACACTGTAGTCTTTGAAAGCAGCACTTTACTCCAGGCAGTAGCCATGGTGTCTGCCAGATCGATCACAGGCAAGCAAAGCGCTCATAAAGCGACGATTACGGCCAGAGTTGTAGTATTCACTCGTGGGGTCTGACATCGTGGGCGGGACATGGCGAACATGTAGCAGGGCGATTGTATGGCCATGGCGAACACGTTCTTGCCGCCCTGCCGATCAGTATGCTATCGATAGCTCAAGGCGTAGAGACGCTACGTTGTGGACCAGTAGCAGGGGGCGAAGAAATGTTTATTCGGCAGCTTGTGAAGGTCGGAAATGCAGCCCAGATCCATTTCCAGGTCCAGCGTCCCTAATTAGGAAAGGCGCTCCCCGCAACTCCAGGTCAGCGGAAATCTGGCAGTCACCTATAGCAACGACCATGCCCAACATTCATCTAGTTGGTAAACTAATGCTAGATACAACATTATGGTGCGACGCCGGCAACATTTCTAGAAGATCGCTTGTTCTTGACAATAACCTGCGCACAGTAATAATGATGACGACCAAGGTTGAACCGAATCCGCCGGCTTTACAAACGTCCGAGCCGCGTTTTCCTCCCTCTCCATAATTAGACCACATTCCTGTAAGCCAATCAACTTATTGAGATATGATTAGGGAGATCACGTAGTGCCGCATCAAGACGATGACCACAATCTAGTGGTCGAGTTCAGGGCTCGAGAAAGACTTGATATTATCATGTATTGCTGCAAGAGAGCAAGTAGAATATCCATGACTTCCACACCGGCTCCTGGAGTGTTTGTTGGCTATTTGAATTGGATGTTCGAAGCCCGTAACAAACGTGGAGAAGACAGGCAGGAAAGTTTACTGCCAAAGTATAATCAGCAGTATGTATTACCATGCTCCAGCAACATACCCGCTGCTTTTTTTGCTTTAAAGAGTGCTAGTTTGCTGCTCTCGAAGCGGATCAGTACACGGTGCCTGCTAGTATACACCAAATCCTGTCCTGTATGTTATGACTTAGATGATAGCTTACTGCAGCGCAGCGTATGCATCACATATTAAGCCCGCTTCTAATCTCGGCTACGGTCTCGCAGCCATAGTTATGGACTCTCGTCTATCAGAAGTACCAGTCATTGTTCCACAGAGTGACTTTTGTCACGCAGATGGACTACGTAGATTTGCAACAAGCTGTACTCTGTTGGTTAGAGCACTACCGCGACGAAGTTGGCTCGACGACAAGCTGCCCGCATAGTTGCCCAGCAACGTTTGAAAATTCTGCCACCAACATAACGAGGCTAGAACAATATGTATGTGTTCCCCTTGAGCGTACTGTGAAAGGTAGAGTGATAGTCTCATTGTTACTGGGGCTACCCAGTGAGGTCAGGCTGTGGTTCTTGACATAGACCCGTTACAGTGTCCTTGGGGATAGGTGGGCTGCTACTATCAGGCAGCAGCAAGTCGGCCTTAATGACCTCATCGCTCTCCTCAAAACTTGCTAATGTACAATAGTCCTATGGTCTTCGATACGACGCCCATAATATGGCTCATTTTGTTAACCAGACTGTATGTATGGAAGCTGTGTCTGTAGGCGTTGACACGTGGACACATTTATGTGTTCCGAACGACGGTGCATCCTCTGGACACTATTCCACTTTTCGGAATTCCAATCAAGCTGAAATGATTCTCAATTTGTTGATATGAAGTCTGAGAAGCTACTGATTGTAGTCCTCGATAACCATTCTATATCGTATAACCACACTAATCAGTAGTAGAGACATCGGTTATCTCATTTAGCTCTTAGTTCTCGTACAGCTAGAACTAGAGAGATCTTTGATTTTAGTTTTATTCGGCTAATAAAAACTATCAAAGATGAATTATGTGCAGTTTAAGTAACGACAAGTCTTAGATATGATATCAATAAAACCTTTAATTGAGGCTCTACACCGCGAGATCTTCCTATATAATGATATAACGCGTCTTTGCTCGTTCAGTAGCGAAGGAAGATGGAGTATTAAGATACAATCTTTCTAGCTAATCATCCTAGCTAAGTATCAATGACCATACTTAGCCTGTATGTTTCAATAAATCTTAATAACTTATAAATGTTCATTCGAAACCTGCGTACATCATAAAGGAAAATACGTTTCAAAAAATACTGCGAAAGAAATCTACTACGTACGTAGTGCAAATATAGAACATGATATCTCTGAGCTCTTTGAACCTTGATACTGCATTGCCATAGTTAACTTTTCTTGGACATGTTTTCATGCCCTGATCATACAGTTGTTCACAATCCTTGCCTGTCTAGGGCAGTGCAAACAGAAGACCCACAATCGGACTTCACTGCATGCATGCATGCATGCACAGAAGTGTAGCACGACACCACATAGATAGATCTCGAGTTACTCTTGGCCACGTAGATAATATCTACATATACAGTGAATATGTGTACGAATGTCCGATCTGAATGCATCAAGAGCTGGGATCATAAGCATAATCTTGCTTGCACTACCTATTAAGCGTAAAGATCGTCGCTTCTTACTGACAGAAATCAAGATATACGAGCATATCTCGCGAATGCATATGCAAGTCGTGCAGGCAGGTGCAGCGTCTCTTCTGTTTAAACATGCTCAGATCGATATGGCTTCAGCGTCCCTGTCAAGACTTTGGTACATAAAAGGATTGAGGTCTGTGAAGTGGACCAGAAATTATCTGCCATATGAGCCTCTCTTCAATATTATCTCACGAATTCCAAGCACTCACCAACGCCGTCATGTCGAAGCCAAAAGAAACCGGCGAATCCTCAGCCGTCAGATGCCCAGCCAAGGCCGAGACGTTGATTGCCCAAAACTCTCGTGCATTGTACTACTACAAAGGAACGGAGGCATTATATGCCTGCAACGACATCTACTCTACGGGTTACTACTGGCAGCTTATCGATGCTACCGAGAACAGCATTCAACAGGTCAAGCTGACCAAGAAATACACCCAAGCCATCGGAACACGCGACATGAAAGGCAAGGAGGGAGAGTTACACTTTGATGTCAGTGCAGGCTATGAAGGCTTCGGCTTCAACGTCAGCGCAAGCTTTGGGGGAAGCTTCAAAACTTTCAGCGAGCAAGAGCTCTCCTCCAACAGGGCAGAGGAGTCCACTTACGAGATTCCCGGTGGTCTTACCGTATGGATCTATCAGAAGATCTATACGTTCAAGACTCGAACCTGGTTCCTCTACGACCACGGCGCCACCTACAAGGCCGTTGTAAAGAACGAAAAGGACGACAAACACCCCTATTACGCGCCCGAAGGTGCGTTCGAGTCGAAGTCGGTTGAAACACGGATCACCTCGGCCAAGTTGGAGGGAATCCACCCAATCGAGATTAAGGCTGTGGAGACGGATCTGAACGCTGCGAAAAAGATCGCTGAGCTTGACACCATACGTCTTGAAGAAACTTCTGGCAGTTGCAAGGAACAATTGGCAAAGTATAAGTTACAGGTTGACAAGACCTTGGCATAGGTTGTCGAGTTCAATGAGACGTCATTTCTAGATGAAGCAGACGTATTATCACAAATGAAATCTTCCGTGCTGGTTGTATCCCGGGCGTGTGCAAACGTTGCTTCTGAAGTGATGATACTATAACCTGTGCTTCGTTGCCTACAGTTCGCTCGTACCCGGCACATAAGTTAGTAGTTTCACGAACTAAATATTAGCATATTTCGATCAAAGCCATCTCTTCATATGTTTTGTACTTCTCAATCCATCTTTTACTTGGCAATAGTAGTCTCTCTTGTCGTGTAAAATAAAATCTGATCTTGGCGTTTAGAGTATATACGATCCTTACTACCAGACAGGTTGAGAACACACCTATCAACTATTTTTATGGCTCAGCAAGGTGTCAAATTGTCAGTATACGCACAGTGGTTAGTCCTGGCATACCTCTTTAGCCTGTGATCACCTTTCGAAAGCCGATGGTCCGTATGGCACCATTGTTTTCCATCTCACTTACGAGCGCAGCTTTCAAGAATGGTCACCCGGTGCTGGTAAGTGCATATCTTACCAAGCATACTTCACATTTATAACTTTCCTGGGTTCACGACTACAGTATGCAAGAGAGCAGGCAGACGTGTAAAGTAATTTACCACCCCTGAAAGGGTAGTGGTGCTTGCTCAATTCCTATATCAACATATTCGCACAAAACACTGCCCAAGGCAAAGCATGTCAGTACCCAAACTAACCATTCTCCTACGGCAACATGTCGTCAGACGACTGGCCAACCACCAGACCACGACAGCTTGTTCCACCCAAATCGCTTCTGGCCATCCGCGTATCCGACAGACGTGTCAACATAATGGTAATACAGGACCAGACCCTGACTCGAGTCCGTGAACACACCCCTACAAGCCGCGTCAGTAACCAAATCTCCCAATCCACACACGAAAAACAAACGAAGAAACACCTACTGCCCGCCCGGCCCATACACCTTATCATGAGACTGCAACAGCACCGACCCCCCACTCGCCTTACACGCCTTCCCACTCTTATCAACCTGCATCGAAAGTCAGCCCCTGAAAGCCACCAAACCCCATTACATATATCAACTCACAAACCCGCCCGTCGCACTCGCACTCCGACACACCATAATCTTATACTCCTCCCCCTTCGCCGGCCGACCCGCATCATACCCACAGCACACCCCGCTCGAAAACGTCAAGTAGTAATACCCGCCGTACGCAAACATATACGCGCCCTCCACACTATGACTGCCCGTCGCATTATACGCAATCTGATAGCTCGGCGCCCCGGCCGGCGCCGTCGCACCCGCGTTCATGCGCACCTGGTACAGCCCGGCCCAAAACGAGCCGAAGCTAAGATACTGCTCGCCGCTGCTCGTTGTGAGCAGGGCCGCGTCGATGGCATTGTACGGCTTCGCGGGCGAGGACGCAATGCCCGTGCGGCCGTGGTCTGTCCATGTGCCGGCGTCCAAGCTGGTGGAGGTGGCGTAGCCGATCGCGCTGGTCTGGCTGCCGAATTCGCTGACGGAGTAGTAGAGGATGTATGAGGTGCCGACCTTGTGGACGGAGGGTGCCCAGAGATCCTCGGCGCCGGGGAGGTCGATGGAGCTGCCTGAGGGTATGGCGGCGCCTCGGTTGGTCCAGGGGCCTGTGAGGGAGGGTGCGGAGGCGATGGTGATGCGGTTGCCGGTGCTGAAGCGGTAGTATTTGCCGTCGGAGCTGCGTTGGAGGACGGATAGGTCGTGGACGTTGCAGTCGCCGGTGCAGGCGCCTGGGTTTGCGTAGGCGTGTGTGAGGGTGAGTAGGAAGGCTAGGGGAAAGAGGAGGATTGTGAGCATTTTGGACGGTCGAGGGATCAGGCCTGTGGGAGAGAAGGAAGATATTGTGGTTCAAGTGAATATGAAAAGTGGCACTGCTATGGTTATATCCCCTCGTCACCCCTACCTACACACATACACTTGCGTTTCCCCACATCAAACATACTATATCTGCGTCTTTCTCCCACACCGGAAGCTATACCAAAGCAAACCACGCCAGAACCTACTTTCCATCATCAGCCCTAATAATTCGTTGTGTGACCCAAGTCTCAATCAAAACGTGCACTAGAAAGGAGGGAGGAATACCACGCTAGCCGCATCAGCTCGTCCACGTATATAAATACTATATACTCAGTCCACATGACGCCAAAGTAACACAACCCTCGAGTATTCGCACCATACAACTCAACACAGCCTGCTTTGGACGGTCACATACCAAAGTGAATATATCCGCCCATCTCAATCGTCATACTCTCCAGTCCCACCGGGAGAACAGTACGTCCTCATAGTTGCGTAGCGTGTCAAACATTGTGTGGGAGCTTGGCTGTGGCATGGTTGGTAGAGGAGAAAATGGATTCTCCAGAGGTTTGTTTGTCGAGTGAGGGCCTGCGAGACTGTTAGCTCAGGATGTTCCACTGAGTGTTGTTCGATCGAGAATGCTTGAGGCCATCAAAGGATGGCACGCATATTTGCCCCTACACCTCCTAAACGCGCCGTACGTGTCGACCATACCATAGGATTTGCAGCCATCATAGATGTAGTAATGTCCGCAAGGCACGCATCGCACAGTCTGGCAGTCACTTATCATTAATCTCTGTCCCCAAACTCCTCACCACCACCACCATCATCAAAACAACACGACAACCTCCAAACCACTCACATGAAATCGACATCCCACCTCCACAAGGCTGACTCCACAACCAACCACGTGTGCACAGCACTGCACAGCACGAACCCCTACCCTACCCCAGCGCCTGCATTGCATTGCATGGCACTACACTACACTTACAGCCATCTCAATTTAGCCTCCGGCGGGGAGCCCCCCTCCCCTCGTCCCCTTCTTCTCCTTCCCCGCAATAAAAATTGATTAATAGCGACTGCGCATGCGTGTATATTACCCCGGATTTTCCAATTGTTGGGACACATGGGCGCAAACACACAGACGCACGTGCTACGATAATCTACGAGCTAGAAATATGGGACCATGACGATGATCACGATGACAATGGCTTGAAGGTTGAGGTCCAGTGAAGCGGCATGCTGTGATTTGAGGGATAAAAGGCGGGGAAGAGAGTTGAGGGAACTGCGGTCCGCTGGTTTCAGCTAGTGGTTGGAGAGGAGTTTGGAGAAGGAACGATGAATATGATTATTAGCTGTGTCAAAGGGGAGAAAAGGAGACGGATGGAGTCCGCTGACGCGGTGTGGTTATGACCAAAGGATGGAGCCGAGGGAAGAGAATGAGAGACTGTGTGGAGGTGGCGAAATGTAGGGTTCGTCTGTCCTAGCAGGCTCTGTGCCTACCAGGGCAAGCCGCGGTTATAGATTCGCGTGATGGTATATATGGATATGTATGCTTTACAACAACAAACGTCAACGTAGCCGGTCAGTCTACTTCTTCATCCTCGTGGAGCTCGTCGTCAAGACCCAAAGTTGCAACGCTGTCCGCGAGAGTAGGCTCGACCTTCTTGCCTTTGCCCTTGCTCTTCTTGCTCTTCTTGCTTTTTGCACCGCCTTCCACGGTCAGGGGTGCCTCTCGGACCCATCGAGAGATGGCGTCTGCGCGCTCGGTGGTGATCGGATACTCTTTGCCGTCATCTTGAGCCCAGCGCTTTGGTGCTGGTCCTACTGACGGTGACGGAGACGTAGCGCTGGACGCAGCGGTCTGTTTGTCTATTGCATCGTCTGCGCGGGCCCGCTGCTCTCTAGCTTGGACTGCGCGTTGGAAACTGTCCTCGTCTACTACTCGCTCATCGGCCAAGGCTTCCATGACGGCCTCATGCTTCTGGCGCTCGCGCCTCTGTTCAGGAGTCTCGACCTTCGTCGCTTTATGTTTGGCTCCGTTCATAGCGACTACGTCCTTTGATTTAGTTGGGCCATGTCCAGGGAGGGGAGTGGGTTTACACAAAGTCTCCCAACTTTGCGTGATGCCTATCCAATTGTTCGTCCGTCGTAGCACCTCAATCCAATCTGCCCGGGCTGGGGAGCGGGCGGGCAGGAATATTGGATAGCCGTCGCAAACTCGGGCTATACGAGCTACGTTGTGAGAATGTCGGAGAAGCTCTTTTGGCGGTGTCTGTAGGAGGGTATGGCAAAGGAGGAGAGAATGCATCGCATCAGTCAGCAGAGGGTGATAGGTGACACATTCAGCCGATTCAGCAAGAATAGAGGTAGCTGTCGTGGTGCCTCGAGACTCAAAGGTTTCAAGCGAGGTTGAATCAGCGGGGAAAGGGGGCAGCCCTGCTGGGAGAGACGGTGAAAACAGCTCTGACACTTTGAAAACTTTAGGCGCTGGTATACGAGACCATCTGGCATGTCCCTGCTGATATGGTGACTTCTTTGGCACAAGAGAGTCCGAAAGATTACTGTTCGTGTTACTCGTTGCAGACGAAGCATCATGAATCTTATCGTCAAAGTGCGAGTTCCCTTTCGGTCCGGCAGCGCCAGAGCCTTGACTGAAGCGCATCATGAGTTCATTCTGGTCCTCCCTCGAAAGTCCTGGCGTATACTCCAGACGCGACAAAAAGGCATTGTAGTCTCTTAGTGCACGCTTTGCATACGCTCTAAGGTTCTTTCGAGCCTCAATCCGCCGCCTGTGCCCTTCCTCATCGGCATCGCTGGGTGGACTGGGATGGAGCCCATTATCGACAGGCAAAACATCTTTTCGATTCTTGGCTGCTTCGTACTGCTTCAAGCCTTCCAGAGCGTTAGGAACATATGAGCATGCGATGGTGAAGTATACGCCGGCGCGATGGAACAACATCTGACTCTCCAATGAGCCCGGCTGGTCCTTCTCTTCCACCTTGGCATCACGTCTCCAGTCACTTCCCCATTGTTCTTTTGCCTGTTTCAATAATACTAGCTGGTCTTGCCCTTTTTGATGCTGGGCAGCCCAGTATCTCGCAATGGCAATGCCTTCAGTGAGGTCGCTCGCTGCACCATAAAAGTCTTCCTTGAAAACGCGCGTTAGGGCACGGGTTCTGAGAGCTGCTCCTTCTGATGGTCGGTCTGATATGACTTCATTCAAGGGATCTAGCGTTGTACACTCGGCCATCATCCGAGAGGGGATCTTTTCGTGGAAGAAGTGAACGTATTTGGCGTCAATGTCTGCCGGCTGACGCTTCAAGACATGCAGCGCAACATCTTCCAGCGTCGCAGTCCCTTGCATGGTCGCAACACTCGCTGCTATCTCATCCAATCGATATGCCTCCGAAAGCTTTTGTGTAGCGCTTATTCGCATCCTGTGTTTAGCCTCCCTACTCATCTTTCCATGACCGCCGCTCCCATATCCTAGCCCTAGAGCTGCGGCATCACCCAGAAACCCATGACTGGAGTTCAACGAGTTGTTCAGTGCAGCAGATGTAAGCCCGCTGGCCGCCCTGACGGCCAGAGTCGTTGCCTCTTCAACTCGCCGCCGAACCTTCACGAGGTCGAACAAGACGGCCGGATCGATCGAATGAGGCCGTGGAGAGAAGTAATTGCTATGAGCAAGGCTTTCGAGAACTTCAGGAGGCAATTGCAGCCAGGGGCCATGAAAAGAGGAGATGTAGCGCCAGTGCCTGAAGATGGACGGTCATTAAAGATTGGTCAACACGCACAGTTGGACGGATGACTGGTCTGACATGCCTCGCTAGGTACGTACTTATTGCGACAAATGTTCAACGAGTAGGTCGAGTGCTCAAAGGGTTTGGGTGACGGTGCGGAAGATGCGACCGGCGGTGTTCCAGTCCCAGAGGTCTCGGCACTGTCTGCAGCTTGCGACTTGTTCTTTTTGGCCATCTTTGGAGTATCAAGAGCGAGTTATATGGAAGTGTATGTATACCACAAGGTTACTGGTGGATGGATTTGGCCAGCAATTGACATGTTGTACGGTTTCCAGGCAGAGTATGCGGCGCAGAATTTGCTGTGTATAATGTTTCGGCAGGTTCGCAGCTGTTCTACATAATTAGTTTGGTGGACAGGCAGGATCTATTCCGGTGCGCGGAGTCTCTATCCCCGTGACTTACGTAATCAATCAGCCAGAAACTTAGTAGTACCTCAGGCTACTAATCAATACCTTCTTGACCTCATTCTTCGAACTCGTCTACATATAATATGCTATAACTGCCTCTGTCATCATTCGTTCTATTAGGCGCCTGGATCTGTTTCATCAGCCATGACTCGATTACATGCCTATCGCCTGATTTATAATTAATAAAGGTAAACATGTTCTTGCGATATATCCTTCATCACAAAAAACGCCTTGACACTATGGTCTGTCAGTGGACTTAGTCCACTTACAGTAACAAGTGTCGTGTGTTTGAGACTGATATACAGTCAACATTATGGTCGACAATCAGATACATTTATCCGTACAAAATCTCAAAATGGACAATTTTCGATCATATCCCTTAACGCATCAAGAGTGCACCGGAACAGTTATCTCATTATGTTTATTTCTCAATTACACCAATACTGACAAAGTTATTATACAAATAGCATGAAAAAAATCAATCAAAGGAATATCATGACTATTCACTTCATGAAACCAGCCTTGCCATCGCCATCAGCGTCAATCTTGGGGTTGATCTTGTCCATCAAACTAGGTTTCTTGTGAGTGGTCGTGCTGCCATTGTGCGCATTGTGAGTTCCGCCAGTGGCGCCAGTGCCAGCCGCAATACCGCCAACACCATTGCCATTGTGAGTCGTACGGTCGGTCAGACCTGATCCATTGGCAGTGCGAGTAGAGCTTGCACCAGTAGCCCCAGTGGCGACACCACCGGTGGCAGATGTGGTTTCACCTCGCTGCGTCAGATGCGTGGTACCTTGAGCACCATGTCCGCCAATGTTGGGGTGGCCGGCAACAGTCTTCTCACCGATGGGCAGCGGTTGGCCAGAGAACGCATCAGATTTCTCGCCACGGCCGTTGAGGGCACCGCCTTGAGACTTGAACTGATCCATGGAGACAGCAGGGAGCGCGGACGCAGCATGGTGCTTGGGTTCGTGATGGTGAGTCTCATGCACGGGTACAGTGGTGTGCACAACATGAGGCTGAACAGTCTCCTTCTGGATGACAGGTTGAATATTCTCGTGAACGTCTGGACACAGTTAGGATAGTTCAGTCGAGTATATGAGGATTGATTACATACGGTGGTGGACATGCTCGCCGCCAACAGTGGGCTTCACACTGTGTGTTTCCTGAGTGGCACCGACTTCACGGGTGTTCTTGAATTGAGCCTCCTCGGCGGCGTGCTTCTGCTTGACGGCATCGTGGTCACCGTGGTGGTGGGTGGTGTGCTTTACACCAGCAACTTGGTGCTCATGCTTCTCTGGGAGTACCTCACGGTCATGTACGGGTTGTACTGAAGTGTGGTAGTGGTCCTGGTGTACTTCCTTGTCGACAGCGGTTGTTACATTCTCATGGCGGGTGGGGGTAACGTGCTCCTGTTGGACAGCAGGGTTGACCTTCTCGTGGACGGTGGTGTCGTGTTTTCCATCTTTGCTGAGGAAGGAAGAGACGGCAGACTTGGCTTTCTCCATTTTGAATGATGATGGGTTTGTTGAATGTGTGTTTGTGAGGAGTATGATATGATTGTTGATGTGAGAGTGAGATCGTAGAGGCAGTTAACGAAGGAAATGCTCTTGATATAATGACCCCTCGGTCATCGTAACCTGTATCGTGCGCTTGCACGCAACGACGTCACCACGCGTATTATGACCTACACATCTCCCCGCTCTATTGTTTATTCCGGCATCCAGAATCATGGAGCTCAGATGTAAAGCACTCATTTGCTGAGGCTACACACTAGGAACGACCGGAAGGTTTGGTGACCATTCTGTTGCGGGGCACTGTATTGGACTGGATGATGTCGATCTTCTTGCCAATAGGGCAACTGTTTGTTTGGAGCCTGTGCTTGGCTGGACAAGGATGAGGATTTGTGGCTCCTAGGGCTGGACCAGCCGATACAGTACCAAGATCGAGCATCGCAAATGCCAACACAGTGCAAGAGCTATGAAGGATTGTATCCTGGTTGTATATACTGGGCTAGCAGACTGGTGCCGTGTGTGGATGTCATTGGGGCAGCGTTCCTGAGGTTTCCGCCCATGAAGATCTTCATCTCGGGCGTCGTCTATAGTAAGAGAGTCGATTTCTAGCCCAACAACATGAAACCTGTTTTCGACAAGCATTAAATCGAAGATTTGCCTACGCCATCTGTGCACTAAGGTGTTGATTGGAAGTCATAGAGAGGCAGAAAACAAGCCACAGCCTGCAAGCCACAGATCCCGCAACTTCAAAGCTCGCTTGGATAGCATTATTACCTGATTAGGCCTAGAGCAAGAGATCATACACAAATGTGACGATCGGGCCCGCCACACGTAGCTTTAAAAGTGGGGCATGTCATCATGGATCTGGCAAGCTATCAGTGAAAGCTTGAGCCTCAATGTTGTTGTTGTGTTGTGTGGTGTTGTGTGTAGTGTAATGTGGTCGTGTCTCCGCATCTCATTGCTACGGCCGGTCCTTTTGCTGTTGAGGAAGACAAGTATTGTTTCTGATTCTGGTTCCAAGGGTTGTAATGCTTCTTACCGCTTGGAGAACAGCCCGTTTCATTGCTTTTGCGCGAAGAATATCCCGAGCCGCATCACCATACATTGCCTTTCGCTGAAAAGGGCATTTTGAATCGAATTCCATAGTAATCAGCATTGCCAATGACGCAGGGAACACAGTCCTCTGTTGGTAGCCGTTCCATATGCATGTCTGTGCCAGGATCTTGCGCCCGGGAAGCGTCAATCACCCGCTTTCGACTAGTATTGACGACATGCAACGCGTACAGCGCATCTTTCTGCCGGCTGGGTGATGCCTCCGTCATAACCATAAACCATCTCCCAATGCTCGGATCCATGGGCGAAACGTGTCTCAAGACTACCAGAGCACGAGATCTGCATGTCGCGGATGCGCATGGAGATGCCATCAAGACACGACCTACGAACCAAATCGTTTTCTCTGGAGCAATCCAGGGCCGCTCGTAGATTTGGCGCTCCAGAACGCAAGCTCGGTCCAGCAGAACGCCTTTCTACAGTAGTCTGCTGGTCTGCAGCTACGTCGGCCAGGCGATTTGCTGCGAAGGTGGGGTTACGCCTATTCATTTACAAATCTTGACGTATTTTGTGCCGTGACAAAGTAGTTGTTCGAGGGCGGCCACGTCGTCAACTACGGCTGCCACCCATACTCCATGGAAGCCATCATCCCGACAATCTCTGCGCCGAGGACGCTGTAATAGATGATGCAGTAAATCATCTCAAATGGCTACTGTTCCTGAAGGTAGCGACTCTAATTGGCCTCTGGTCGACCGCAGTCGCGACGTATCCCATCTTCATCCCGAAGTCCACAATCTTGTTGATCTGTCAAACACCGTTGACACGACTGTTCACACTCGTGAGCTTCCAGGTTGGTCTGATGAGTATTATCTGGACGAACTGGACTAATGGTAGAATAGCCGTTGTCCACGAACGCGTCACGCCGCATGTGCATAATGTTCGAGAGGAGGTAGTGACTCGCGAGACTCATACATATGACGTGATCCATCGGGTACAGCCAGTTGTGGATGTAGAGGTACTACCCACGAAGCACTTCGTGCACAACCTTGATGGAACATTGAGAGAAATTTCAGAGGCTGAAATCCCTGGAAGAGTAGGCAATTGGCATGTAGCTGCGGGTCCAGCACCTGCGCCTGTTGATCACAGTTCGACAGCATCCAAGTCAGCAGTACCCTTACGATCGTCGAGTCTCGCAGCCACGCAGTCTATAGCTCCAGTCCAAGTGTCCTATGTGGAAGAGACCTCAGCTGACGGCGTGCTGCGATCGGTAACGACATGGAAGCATCCTCCACAGTATGACCAGCGCGATGCTGGGAGCTGGTCAAAAACTGCGTACGAACAGCCGGTGACTGCTACGACCATTGCAGATCAGCACACGGAAGCTGCTACAAAAGTAGTCCCGGTAAGAGCCCCGGAAACAGAGCCAGAAAGCGACTCCTCCGAGCATGATTACCATGATGCGCGGGATCAGGTCGAATCTCCAGTACGACACTCCGTCAATTATGACCGCTTGAGCAGCGAATCCACTACCTCGAACCCTACCTTTCACGATACGTCTCATGGTTCGCAAAGCTCTGGTATATCAAAAGTCATGGGCCGTGCGAAAGACGTAGGCAGGAAGGCCAAGGATCGGCTCAGTGGTCGACTCGGCCATTCTCGTGAGAGCAGCGGAGGCATCGATGCCAGGATGAAGGAGCTCAACATTCAAGAATATTCGGGTACGTGACTGGGCAACGATCCTTGGACTGGCGCTGAAATCCCTCAGGCAAGCTGTCCATCGAAAAGACTCCTCATGGAACGCGTGTCACGTCACAGCCGCAGTCTGGGAGCCCTCATGGATAGTCTATGTTAGCGACTGCCGGCATGAAGTTCCCATGGGAATCGACCTTTGATATGTGTGGTTGAAGATGGGACGCGTCAAGAGTAATATGCTGCAAGATCGTGAAGCCAAGTCTGTGACGAAGCAGCTTGGCGGGCCTTTCTTGGGGAAGAATAACATCCGCACGGCTTACAGTAGGAGTACTTGAAGAAGTTCAATAATGAGACACATAGAGCGATCGAAGAAGTCGACCAAGAACAAAAGATAAAACTGAAGTGAAAAAGATGGCTTAGAGCTCCAGGTGGGCACGGACCTGTGACAAATCCATCCGATGTCATTTATGGAACCTTGGGCGACCTAGTCAGGCTTAATTCAACTGCAACACTTGAAGACTCATATATTCCCTCTAGATCTCTCAGTGGATATGATTACAATGAACAACGATACGCTGTATTATATCCATAAAGGAATGACATGTCCCATATGACGCATCCACGCTATGCAATTCTCAATTTCAAGATATTCGTGCTCTCTATCATTCTTTCGATCATCCTTCACATAGCCATCTGGCCCTACATTCTGGTAAAGACCTTTCTAGTCTCACTCGCCCTTGCTGCAATGAAGAGGCAACCGCCGACAAATAGAGTGAGCCCACAGAAGACTTGGAGATATAGGAAGCCGCCGTTGTTAGCAGTGATCAATGCTCCGGAGATCGGATTGCCTGTCAAGGCCGCCAGACTGACGACCATCATGTTCGTCCCTAGACGAACACCAATCTCGGATACATCGCTGATCTGGGCTACTAGTGCTGGAATCATAGCAACGAATGCGCCAGAGCTGAAGCCGTACAGGCAAGCAAACGCTACAATAGGGTCCGTTCCATTTGCCGGAATCCAGAGAGCAAAGGCAAAGATGACGCACAGAAATGTTGTGGTAATCATCGCGTTGAAACGCCCGAACTTGTCGCCCAAGTAAGCGGGTAGTATGCGACCAACAACACTGGTTGCGTTGAGGATGCTGATGATGTTTTCCGAGATGTTGCTAGGTAACCTTAAAGCTCTGGCTTGCACAAGCAGGAAGTTGTATGGCACGAATACTCCGAGGAAGAAGAAGAAGGATGCCGAAGCAACAAGCGCTGGAGTTCGTAAAGCAAGGGGGCGGAAGAACTCCATGACTCGGAACGGCTTTGGGGTGTGATTGAGTCTAGAACGGACTGTGAGGTTGGCAATACATAGCAGAAATAGGTAGATGAACCCGACGGTCCTCATCGTCCATGGAAACCCGACACGACCGATGATGTTCTGGATGATGACCCTGGTATGCGTCAGCTTGGTTTGGATGTAAATATCGAAATGCAACAACGTACGGGATTATCACTCCTCCAACCGAGCTGCCTGAGCTCACGATACCTAGTGCGAGAGCCCTACGCTTGAGGAACCAGGTACCGGCTGAATTGTTGCCGGCATAAAACAGAGCACTCGCACCCAGGCCACTTACCACACTCTGGGCTAGGAAGACCTGGTAGTACTGGGTACTAAGGCTGGTCATCATGATACCAAAGACATGAAAGAATGTACCCCCAATGAGTAGTGGCCTGGGTCCATAAGAATCAAAGATCTTCCCGAAGAACGGTGCTCCAAAGAACATCATGAATGACTGCGTCGAGGGGATCCATGCAATTGTGCTGGAGTCGTACTGGGACAGCAAGGTGGTCGAGTAGTAGTCTTGGAAGACACCGATGCATATCATCCATCCGAACGAGCAGAACAGGCAAAGGAAGCCACCAGCAACGACAGTCCATGCCGCACGACCACCGTCCGGAAAATCGCTTGCCGCTGCGATTTCCTTTGCATCGGGAGGTTGTTCTTCGAGTGCACTGCTTTCTAGGAAATTGCCGTCCCAGTTGATGTGGTTTGGAAGGACCTGTGAGAACCGTATCGATTGAGACAGTCGTAGTGCTTGAGAAGTCCGCTCGAGCGGGTACTCGGCGTACGGATGAGGAAGTTCGAGGCTCAGGGTCTTGTCTCTACGAAGAGAGAATCGTTTGTCGATCTCGGAGGCGAGACTATCTGCCACAGACGATCTATCAGACGTTGACTTCTGTGATGATCTCAGTGTTGTAGCATTTCGCCTGCTCGTTCGGCGGCGTGGTCGCGCAGGAGGACTGAGGGTCGGTCTCTCAGCTTTCTCTTGCCATTCGGCCCAATTGTGCATCTCCTCTGCAAGCGTAGACGCCTCCGAACTGTGGGAGGCTGAATGTGGACTCGACATAGTGGTGAGGAGATGAAAGCAATGCAACCTCCAAATGCTAGAACGACGTTAAAGGTCCTTTCCGGGATGGCTTCCAGAGAACTCTATATCCAGGGTTAACATCCTACATCATAATTCCAATAGTCAGCCATCTCGTCATTTGGTAACACCTGCGTTCGTATGTGCTGTCAAGGGCCCCAACCAGGCAACTGGGCCTCGTACTCGGGGCCAGAGGGCGTGAAACATTGTTTCGTCGGCGGCGCAACCTGGGACCCACGCGATTGACAGGCCTGTTGATCGCTCAGAATTATCAACCTTGCTGCCTAGCTGCATAAGCCAGTGCATGGATGAATGCACATCTCTCGTGAGCTGCAGTGATCGATCATGCATGGTGATGATGCTTGAAGAGTGCATTGCTGCCTCAGGCCATACATAGATAAGCTAGCCGAATTTGTAACACGCGTCAAAAGTTTCAGAACTAATTCTACATCTTCTCTATGAGGATCAGAGATTAGATTGGAGGTGTACCCCTTTACTATCTCACCCAGAGGAGAGATATACCTCAACTCAATGACACGCCTTGACCCTATTAGCAGTCTTCCCGGGCGTAGCGGAAACTTCGGAAAAACAAGTGAACGACACACTATGAAGTTATGAACACCCTGCCAGCTATATCACTAAGCGCAGCAGAAATCTTGGAACGGCCAATTACATGTAGATTATTGAACTGTGGAAATGTAAGACCAATCGTAGTTGGGCTTTCAGCTAAGAAGTTTCCCTCAAGGCTCTGTAAACCTTGAGGAAGATGAGTATCATGTCTCTCAAAACTCCGGATCAACTGTATTCGTACAAAGTCTATCTATCTAAACAGCCCCCTGTGGCACAAAGTACATGGAAGTTCTACGTCTCGACCAGCTTCTCGCTAGCAACACTCGCACGCTTCTTCATCCGGACAAAGAAGTCGAATTGTGGCACAAACCAGCGATTCTCCAAGCGCCATTCATTCTTCGCGTTCGGACAGTCTAGCTCCAGCTCGTATGTCTTCAGTAGTGTCGGGACCAGCTTATACACTTCTAGATATGAGATGTTCTTGCCGATGCAGGAACGGTGCCCGTGACCGAACTGTACACGTTAGCATCACACAGGGGTAGGTAGGGAGGTTTGGTGTTTCCTTGAACTTACTGTGAGAAGAGAGTTCTCCATCTTCTTCCTCTGCTCGGCGTCACAGTCCAGCCAGCGCTCTGGCCGCCATGTATCGACTTCGGCGCCAAAGACTTCCTCGTTCCGATGCACGACCCATGCACTGCATCCTACGACAGTACCTCCCTTGAACCATTCTCCTGAGATGCGAGCGCCTTCTTTTGGAACAACCCGCTCGTACGGAAGGCCGAACGGGGGGTGGATGCGGCCAGCCTCCTTGATGCACGCATCAAGATACGGCAGTGTCAAGGACTGCTTCCATGTGACTAGCTCCGACAGATCTGCCTGGTCGAGCTCCTGCAGCAGCCTCTCCATGGTATGTGGATGCTTGAGCAGGTTGTAGATGATGGTCCTCAGCGTGATAGCGGTGGTGTCCGATCCAGCAGTGATGTTGGACTGCGTCCAAGCCTGTAGCGCCCACGGAGGAATGCTCTTGTCCTTCTTCATCTGCTCGATGAAGCGGGACAAGAAGTCTCGACTGTTCAGATCCCCCTTGTTGTTCTCCACATCCTCCTCCGCCCTGAGCCGTTCGGTCTGGCGCTTGACCGCAAACTCACCCATCGCATTCCACCCGGCCGGTCGCAGCATCGAAACAATCGGATTCTTAACCCAAAGCCTGTCAATCCACGGCATCATCCCCACCTACTCATGTCAGCCCCACCCACATACCATCGGCACAACAACAAGACCAGCACTCACCGGCGCAGTATACTCAAAATACCGCCAAATATCGCCCATGATATTATCCACATCACGGCCCTCCTCCAAGAACCCCAACCTCTTGCTAAACGTAATCTCGCCAATCACATCAAACGCATACATCTGCAACCAGGCCCCCAAATCACACAGCTCGCCCGTGCTCACAAACCGCCGATCGACCTGCTCGAAAAACACCCGCATCGTCGAGTCGACATACGGCTCAAACGACACCAGATTGCTCATACTGTACGTCTGCGCAATCGGCCGCTTCAGCATCCGGTGCACGCCCTCGTCCTGCGTCGCAAACAGGCCCGGCAGGATCCGCCCCTTGGACATGGGCAAGATGACGTGGTAAAAGTCCGATTTGGCATATGTCCCGCTGAAGCCGTAGATTTGTGCGATCGCGCCCGGGTCGCCGACCGAGACCATGTTGGGCCCCATGCGTACGAGCGGGCCGTAGCGTCGGTGCAGCGCGATGTGCTCCTCGTGGGCGCGTCGTCGCCATACCCAGAGGAAGCGTGGGATGTTGCTGATGCGTGCCCAGAACGGGCCTGGGATGTGTGCGAGCGTCTGGTAGGTGTAGAGTGTGTAGGAGAGGAATGCAAAGGAGGCGGCCAGGAGGATGTATAGCGGGCTCAGGGCGCGGGCGGCGGAGACGACGTCGGTCGTGAGAGCCATGGTGGTGATGGTGTGGTTGTAGTCAGGAGTGTGTCCGTGAGTGTACTCGTGAGTGTCTTCGTGAGTGTATCCGTGAGTGAATGCGTGCGTACGTTATCTATCCGTTAGTATATCCGTAAATTTCGCCAGGCAAACAGCACAACTACGATCATCCAAAGCAGTCAGTCAATCTTTATCAAAATCAACCGTGCAAACAGCAAAACTTCCGCGCCGCACGTGCGTCCTACTCACATCTATATTCCCCCTTATCCAAACACATATCCCCACTCAGCAGACCCTCCCTATACCCAACTCCTACGTAGGTACCTACATGCCCAGCCCCAAGCTACCCCGGACCCGCGTACATCACAACCCATAGAGCTGTCCCCGGTCCGTATTTCTCATGCTACCCAGGTACCCTACACCATCCCCGGAGCCCGCGTATACCTTATTCAGCTCCCTCGAGTCCAAACACACAATGCACGAAACCCAGCACGGCGTACACGCATCATACGTTGCGTGCAGCGCCGTTGTCAGCGCGCCTCTTACATATCCAACCATTCTTTGTATCGTGGATGTACATAGTATCGTCTTACAGATTACATGCTACAAAGCGGCTGCGGCGTAGATGGATTGGATTGTTTGTGGGTTGGGTGTGTGAGATGACATCATTGTGCGCCGGTACGCTGGGTCGTTCCGTAAGGTAAGACAAAGGAAGGAAGTTCAGCTGAGATTCCTGTGCGAGCATGGACGTAGCTTTTGGAGGGTGGCTATGAAAGACTATAGAGCTGTAAAACTGGGTATACAGGGGTGATGGTAGGTACAGTAGAGCATCGAAGAGAATGTACATACATACACAGCATATAGACAGCACATGCCATACCATCTAATAAAATGTACATTACTGAGACTATGATAGACTCCCATGCATTACATATTCCAATTCCGACATCCTCTCTCTTTCACTTGCCTTCCGTATACAGTAACCATGTCTTAGGTTACAAGACCGTGTTCTAGACAATTCTTGTGTCTACGGAAAAGCGCTATTTGTTCCGTTTTCCACATTCGATTCGTTATCAAACGAGAGGAAAAGAGGCACAGTGCAAAGTTTGTCTTTGTCGTGGTGTGTGGTGTAGTGTAGTGTAGTGTAGTTTTGTGTCGTGTGATATTGTGCCGTGTCCGTGGCTTTGCTGTGCCGCAATTGTGTTCCATTGATTTTGGTGTTTTGTGGAATGTGGATCTGTTAGGACGCTACATGGCGTGGTACTGGCATTGGAATGATTTGATAGATGGATGTTTGGCGTGCGGGGTTGAGAGGGGCCGGATTGTGGTGTGGTGATATGGCAGCAAAGAGAAAAGACAAATGTTGCGAGCGATAGAATGAAGAAGTCACAGCACAAGATAGCAGGAAGTAGTGAATCAAAGGATTAGTTTGGTGTCTATAGTACATGCGCGCGTTTAACATTGATGCTCCCAGGATCCTTCCGAGCAACACGGCCATCGCTAGCTTCCGAGACAGGCGGGAAGGAGACTCGTCATGGGTGAAATTCGTGTATGCGTGAGCTGTTTTCTGCTGCCACTTAGACGGCACCGCCGTTGATGCGTAGGGTCTGGCCCGTGATCCAGCGGGAGTCGTTGCCAGACAGGAATGCCATGGTGTCGGCAATTTCGTCTGGCTTTCCGAGACGGTTGTAAGGGCTGGCGGCGGCGAGCTTCTCGATGATGGCGTCGGGCTTGCCCTTGAGGAAGAGGTCGGTGCCGGTCGGGCCAGGAGCGACGGCGTTGACGTTGATGCCCTTGCTGGCGAGGTCCTTTGCCATGACACGCGCCATCTGCTCAATGGAGCCCTTGGTGCTGACGTATAGGAGGTAGTTGGGGGTGATGGGCGAGAGACCGGTCAGGGTGGTGGAGACGAGGATGATTCTGCCGCCGGGGTTCATGAAAGGGACGGCCTTTTGCACCAGGAAGTAGGGGCCCTTGACGTTGAGGCCGAAGGTGTTGTCGAAGTCTTGCTCGGTGGTTTGCTCGAGAGTCTTCATGGGCAAGATACCGGCGTTGGGGATGAGGATATCGATCTTTCCAAACTTGGCGACGGTTTGCTTGACGAGACCCTCAATTTCAGTCACATTGGCGGCGTTGGCCTTGACTGCGAGTGCATTACCACCACCAATCTGGTTGACAATGTCGTCGGCGGCCTTGGAGTCGCTGGAGTAGTTGACAACGACCTTGGCACCGTCTCTTGCGAGGCGGAGAGCTGCCTGAGCACCGATGCCCTTGGAGCCACCAGTGATGAGAGCGACCTTGCCGGCGAGAGGAAGAGACATGGTTGTGTTGGAGTGGGCGGGAATGCTACGGTCTACGAGAGTCTTTTCGGCGGTCGAGGTGGAAGCGGCGTCGTCTTTTGGACAGTTCTTGGAATGCGGCAGGTGGAGGATGTTTGAGAGAGAAGGCATATGATGTTGTAGACAGTCAGATTGTCTGTTGCTGAGCTGGACTGGGTGTTGTGGTAGTAGGTGAGATGATGAGTGAGATTGTTGTGATGAGGTAGGACATGTCAGGACGGGAGGATGGTTGTCTTATAAACAATGGCATGGGGGCAGACCGGAGTTGGGGTTACACAGCTGAGTGAACGCAGGTGCCTGGATATTGAAGCTTACCTCCGACTCACTCTGGCCATCCGCAGCCTCGTTCTTGGGCAACACATCACTCTCCCGGGGTTTGGAGGCATGGCGCTGCACCGATGAGCACATTCGCGGGCAGAACAGAGTGTTTTGATGCAAGGAATACACGGGTCTGGCGCAGGATGGAGATGGTGAATGGATCGATCGACCCAGGATGCAGCCACCTGGGCAGACTTGGACAAACTTGACTATGCGAGGCCCAGCAAAGCAACAACGCCATCAATCAGGAATCAATATGACAATTAGTAGCCACATCGGGTCCAGCTTCGAAGCATTGATTGCACCCAGGAAGCGCCTCGATTGCGGCACAGTCAACAGAGTGAATCAGCATTGAAACCAACAACCAGAACAACAACAACAACAACAATAACAACAGTAACATGACATAATCTGACAATGACGTACTTAGAGAACAAAGGAAGGTGCGTTCAGTCGTGTCGGCCCCCACTGCGCATCCTACGTCATACCTGTCGCTATTTCCATACCAGCCACTAGCTATATCAGGTTAGTTTGTCTTTCCCGACGTCTCCGCGCTCGGAATCGCTTCCGGATTTTCCTCAACACCAAAGCCCTATATCCGTCGTGTGTCTTTGTCATCCTTCCATTCAATCTTACATTCTTACATCCTACCATGATCCCATCTCTGTCCAGGTCTCATTTCAACATCTCGAAAACACACTCATCATTACCAGCTTGCAGCATACATCGACCTCTTGTCGCAGAACCACCTTGGCGGTGGACGATGGGCATTCATCTCTAGCCCACATTCCATCTATCTCCAGCCCGCCATCATGTCTGCTCATCGCTAGTCTCCCTTTTCAGTACTTTCACTCAAGTCTCGAGCATCTGCGTGTAGCTAGTTTGCTGCCTCTGGATCTGGCATCGCCTACTTCTGTTCGTTTAACATGTCGTCCAGCTGAGGCCAATATGGACCTCAGTAACCCAACTTGCACGCCTTTTCTCTGCAATTTGAGCTGTAGTCGATTATGTCGTTGTTGAGTGTCCAATGGACAACACAAAATTCAGCCTTTCGAAGACAAGCTTCTGCCATGTCTTGGAGCTCCTCCTTCTCATTGGTAGATAGTCCACATCAGATCTATTCGGCTATCGAACATCGCTGATTTTCATTCTAATGCAATTTCCCTCCCGTCATTATGCATTTACCATCAGAGCTGACTTCATGCGCCACACACGGCCGGCCTCACGCACGGTGACGTTCGCACAGGACCCGAGTACAAAGGAGCTGTCACTTTACGATGCTGCTCCCTCCACTTATCTACCCTCTTCCACGGTCGACTTCGCCCAACACCTTCTATTCTTATCCACGACCGTAACTGGTTCTGATCGACCCGAAATGGAACTTTTGGTCTCGTGTGTTTCGCCATGCCCTGACGCCTTGACATCTCGTTTCATGCGAAAAGGATCTGCTGCAAGGCACATCTGACGCCACACGTGGCCAGCCCCGGCCTGTTTCAGAGCCTCCAATCTGGAGGATCCGAACATCTCTCGTGAACATGATTCAGTTCAGCCTTCTTATGGCTCACAATGCGCCACACGTGTTGGTGGAAAGCGACTCCCGCGCGCCCTGTGCAGCCACGAGGTGCTCTGATCAGCGCCTCCGCCTCGTGCAACGCCTCCATTCATTGACCGGATTCAAGATCATGTTCCAATAAAAGATATCAGCCCCATAGATGGGCCATAGCGACACATGCAACGGTTCGGTACGAGATCTAGCATACTCGGTGTATTGTACGGACAGAGCATCTGGACGAAACTGTGGATAAACGATACGAGATGATGAGTCTAGAAACTCAGCCTCGGGGAGTGGAATCTATATAAGACGATGCCACGGTCAAGCCAAAGACCGGAATATCATCATCTCAACATTCTAACGGATAGGGCATTCGCAAGGCTCGTGGTTTTTGCGTGTTCGTTGTTATAGTATAAGAGTTCTAGCCGCCATGTTGGGAACTGCCACTGCCTTTGCCCTCTTTGGGCTGCTGTCCACAGTCAGCGCGTTTCCCACGCCTGCGTACGGCAAAGCCCCTTTCAAGACTCGCCAAACTGGTGGTCTTGGGCCACTCGACCTCCTGGGCAGCGCATATGGCGTTCCGGCCCCGAATCAAACCTTTGACTACATCGTTGTTGGCGGCGGCAATGCGGGTCTGACTATCGCGGCACGGTTGGCAGAAGTTCCCACGAACCGCGTGGCCGTGATCGAGGCGGGGACGTTCTACGAGTTGAGCAACGGAAACAACAGCGAGACCCCAGCAACGGACATTACATATGTCGGAAAGGCGCTGGACGATTGGCATCCGGGTATTGACTGGGGTTTTGCTACGACACCGCAAGCTGTACGCAATCTTGCCCCTGTACAACATAACAAGAACTAACAGATCTAGGGTCTCGACGGGGACGTCAGTCACTATGCGCGTGGAAAGGTTCTGGGTGGGAGCTCTGCACGAAACTACATGACATACCACGCACCGACAACAGAGTCGCTTCAGATGTGGGCAGATATGGTGGACGACCAGAGCTACACTTTCGAAAACTTCTACCCCTACTACAAGAAGAGTCAGGGGTTCACGGAGCCGGACATGTCGCGCCGCTTTCCCAACGCCACAGTCGACTACGATCCGGACTCTTTCGGCACTGACGGTCCTCTCTCTGTTATCTATCCCAACTACGCGACTGCGTTTGCAACATGGGCGAAACGTGCGTTTGCCGAAGTTGGCATGCCTGACATTCCAGGTTTCACGAGTGGGCAATTGATCGGAAACGCATATGGCCCAGCAACTATCCAGTACGAAACCAACGTCCGCGATTCCTCAGAGACAGCCTTCCTGCGCCCCTACCTCGACCAAGACTACCCGAACCTCATCGTCTTCAACCACCACCTCGCCACCCGTATCATCTTCGACGGTACCCGTGCCACCGGTGTCGAGGTCGACACCAACGGCTTCGTCTACACCATCGCAGCAACCAGCGAAGTCATCGTCTCCGCCGGCGCCTTCCAATCTCCGCAACTGCTCATGGTCTCCGGCATCGGGCCCGCCGAGGTGCTCTCCGCAAACAACATCCCCGTCATCGCCGACCGCCCAGGCGTCGGCCAGAACATGTGGGACCACGTCCTCTTCGGGCCCTCATACCGCGTCAACGTACTCACCGGCTCCGCCATGGCCGACCCCGTCTACACGGCCGAGCAAGTCCGCCTCTTCAACGAAGAACGCCGCGGCGCCCTCGCCAGCCCCAACAACGACGTCTTCGCCTGGGAGAAACTCCCGCACCGCAACTGGTCCTCCTCCGTCGAGTCCGCCCTGCGCTCCTTCCCAGCCGACTGGCCCGAGATCGAGTACATCGCCCCGCAAGGCTACTTTGGCTACTGCGAAAACTTCAACCGCGACGCGCCCGTAGACGGCTTCAACTACGCCTCCGTCGTCGCCGGCCTCGTCGCCCCGCTGTCCCGCGGCAACATCTCCATTTCCTCCGCCGACATGCGCGACGCCCCGCTCATCAACCCGAACTGGCTCACCCACGAGGCCGACATTGCCGTGGCCATCGCCAGCTACAGACGCACGCGCGACATCTGGAACGCGCCTAGCTTGCGCAACATCACCATCGGCCCGGAGTATTTCCCGGGCGAGTTCGAGCCCAGTCGCACGGACGCCGAGCTGTTGGCGCTGATCAAGAAGTCTGTTAGTACCATCTTCCATGCGAGCTGTACGTGTGCCATGGGCCGCGAGGATGATGAGAATGCGGTTGTGGATACGCGGGCGCGGGTCATTGGTGCTCAGGGCTTGAGGGTGGTGGATGCGAGCTCGTTTCCGATTCTGCCGCCGGGGCATCCGATGAGTACTGTTTGTAAGTCTTGCGCTGGTGTTGTGACGCTTGGACTGCTTGCTGACTTGATGATGTAGATGCGCTTGCGGAGAAGATTGCGGACGATATCAAGAATGGGTCCTCGTGACTGGGCTTGTCTGTATAGGTCGACGCTTTGCGATGGAGTAGAGGGAGTCTGGGAGGTGTATACATAATTTCCTTGTCATAGCGGGTGTTTTGTTGGGGGGGGGAGTTTTGTATGCATAATCTCATTGTTCGTAGCAGGGCGTTTCGTTCGTTGTATATGATACATCATCTATAGCATAAGTTCATCATCTTCCCGTACCCGCTTTGTCATCTCCAATCTCGCATGTCGATAACTAACATCCCTCCCCACCCTCTCCGCTCCTCCCCACCGGCACCCACCCCTTCGGCCTCTCCCGGCCCCGTATCACGAGCTCATACGACGCCTTCTCCACCTTCTCCACACTCTGCCTCACAACAACCATCTTCTTCTCCAACTGCCCTCCAAACCAACTCCCCTCCTGCACATCCAGCGCCTCCAGCACCATCCTCACATCACGCAAATCATCCAACAACAATCTCCCTTGCCCCTTTTCCTCTCCCTGCCCCTTGTCCCCACCCGTAACACCCCTCTCCGCAGCCCCCAAAACACCAACCCGCATAACCTCGCCCGTGAAATCACACATCCCAAGCACATAATCCTCCACCCCGATACCCACACCTCCACCCACACAGATACCCAGCCGCGCAAACACCCCACAACACTCCTCATACGACAACAACGTGCGCGTAGTAATGTAGCGCTCGAAACACAGCGCCTCGATATATTCCTGATTCGCGCCCGTGAGGTTCACGGCGTAGCGATGCGCGTTGGGCCCGTGCAGATCGGGCGCTATGGAGGCGTAGAAGGCGGCGATTGTGCTGTGGAAGGAGGCTGTTGACGGGGTGGGCGTGCGGTGGAGGGCGAAGATGCTTTGGGGAGGTACATGTTAGCTGGTATGTATGGGGAGAGGGAGGGGGGGTGAGATTTTGGGGACGGAAGAGTGGAAGGAGGGAGGTACAGTTTCTTGCTGGTGGCGGTGATGTCGCGCGAGGCTTTTATGATGCGTTCGCGGCGGTCGTGGTGGGTGTCGAGGGCGGATTTGAAGGATTCGAAGATGGGGGTGAGGGGAGAGTGGGTTGTGGAGGGAGGGTTTTTGAGGGACATCTGAGCGAGATGTATGTGTATGTTTGTCTGGATATGGAGGTGGATTTGGAGGAACGAAATGGAGGTCTAATGATCAAGTTATGGACTGTTATTCACATATGGAGCTCTTATCGATAACATATTTCGCACGGAGCAGAAGCTCTTATCGATAGGAGCTGACTCAGCCAAGCTATCACAATCACTGCACACACCCATTCATTCACTTGATATTGTCCACAATCTCCATCTCCAAATGTAAACCCACAACAATGCCCCTCCTCTCCTCCCCACGCACCGTCTTCACCCTCGCCCTCCTCCTCCGCCTCGTCCTCCTCCTCTACGGCACCCTCCAAGACGCCTTCTCCCCGCTCAAATACACCGACATCGACTACTACGTCTTCACCGACGCCGCCCGCTTCCTCGCCCACGGCCACTCGCCCTACACACGCGACACATACCGCTATACCCCCCTACTCGCATGGCTCCTGTACCCAACATCCTGGCCCGGGGCGTTCTGGTTTGCGTCGGGCAAGGTGCTGTTCGCGCTGTGTGATGTGCTTGCTGGGTGGTTGATATATGCGATTCTCCGCGGTGGGGGTGGTGGTAGTAGGGAGGGAAGTGGGAATGGTATGGACGAAACACGTGCCATTCGCTTCGCCTCGCTGTGGCTGCTGAATCCCATGGTCGCGCAGATCAGCACGCGCGGCAGCTCGGAAGGCCTGTTGTGCGTGAACGTCGTGGCGCTGCTGTGGGCGGTGCTGGCGCGGCGCACACGTGTGGCGGGCGTATTGCTGGGTCTCGCGGTGCATTTGAAGATTTATCCGTTCATCTATGGCGCAAGTATACTGTGGTACCTGGACGAGCGGACGACGAGTGGGGACAACAGCGCTGGAAAGGAGAAGAAGAAGAAGGGGCAGAAGACGGGGCCGATGACAGGAGTACTAACATTCTGCAACCGCGCGAGGATCGAATTCGCGATATACGCAGCCGCAACATTCCTACTTCTCAGCGGCGCCATGGCAGCCCTGTACGGCCGCGAATTCGTCCAGCACACCTACCTATACCACCTCACGCGCATCGACCACAGACACAACTTCTCGCCCTACAACACCCTCCTCCACATCACCTCATCCGCCTCCGCCTCCGCATCGCCAACCACCCACTCCAAGCCCCCCATCCGCCTCGAAAGCCTCGCCTTCATCCCCCAACTCCTCCTCAGCACACTCCTGATCCCCCTCATCCTCGCAAAGCGCGACCTCGCGTCCACCATGCTCGCGCAGACATTCGCGTTCGTGACGTTCAACAAGGTGTGCACGAGCCAGTACTTTCTCTGGTACCTCGTCTTCCTGCCCTTTTACCTGCCCCGGTCGACGCTGCTGGCTCGGCCGCGGCTGGGCCTGAGTGTGGCTGCGTGCTGGGTGGCGGCGCAGGTCTGGTGGCTGCAGCAGGGCTATCAGTTGGAGTTTCTGGGCCGGAGCACGTTTGCGACGGGGCTGTGGTGGAGTGGGATCGCGTTTTATTTTGTCAATGTTTGGGTCCTGGGCATTGTTGTGGCGGATATTGGGAGGGGTGGGGCCGTGTTGACATGGAAGCAAAAAGAGTGAAGCGATGATACGTTGTGTTGGGGCATAGATGGCATTTGACATGGGGTCAAGGTGTGTATACATTATTGTATTTGATAGAGCTATCTATATAAGCCTTATATACGCTCATATATATATTGATAGATATAGACCACGCATCCTATCTACCACATCCTTGATGATAGGGAAGAATCTCATCTCAATTCCACATGGCTCTCAAACGATGGCTGCTTAAAGTCCGGCTGCGTCGAGAACGAAGACACCTCACTCATATTACTAATACGACCCAGTAAAAACTCAAGGTTCCGATACCCGGCAGCAGGCTGGAACTGCGGGACCATGTGGCCAGCAAGTTCAATCTCGACATAAGTAAGCCCGCGATCCGTCATCCACTTGCCGAAAATACCCGCTCCGGAGACAGACTCGAGCGAGGCGTCGTAGTGGTATGGCACATAGAAGTCGTTCTCTGGTGGCGTCGTGAAGCCCTGCGCACCATTCCAAGTGAGGTTGTTGAGTGTCAGCAGGGAGCCGTTGGAGATGAGCACCATGTCGAGCAGACCATGGGCGACAATCACGTTGTTCGTATGCTCTGCCACGCGGCCCAGCGGACCGCCGTTGTCGCCGGATGGAGGGGAGTCGTCGCCGTTAGGGAAGACATCTATGTCGGTGCATATCATCCAGTTGGCGTGTTCAGGGGCATTGATTGCCTTCTTGACATCTGTCCTGTTGAAGTACGGCTCGGTGACGCCGGGTGGGAAGTAGAAGCCAGAGTAAGGGAAGCCGAGGACGTCCCAGAGCAGTGGGCAGAGCTGGCCGACCTGGTAGATGTCAAAGCACGGGTTGATCTCGAAGATGGCGCTGAAAGCATAGTCGAAGATGTCGCAGTCGGGGTTGAATGAGCCATTGGCATAGAGGCCTGGAGACGACGGGAACGGACCGTCAGGCGGGAACTTGAGGCCTTGCTCCATAAAGTCATCGTAGCCACAGGTCGCGCTGATGTTCTTGAGGGTGGACACGGTGCTCTCGTTGAACGGGAACACATTCTGGTGGAATTCAGTGAATGCAAGAGTAGGCACCTGCTCCGTAATGGCATCGGGACCAATGCTCGGGTCGTAGATCATGAGGCCCTCGACGTTGAAGTATTCGGTGTTATTCTCCGCAATCATAGCATCGGCTATATACGGACAGTACATCCCCGCGTAGCTCTCTCCGGTGACGTAGATCTTGCGACCGTGCAGGTCGAAAAGATCCATGAAGTTCTTCCAGAAAGGTAAGAATTGGGCAGCGACGTCGACTTCATTGGTCGCGTTGGGTGTGCCTTGTGTGTATCCAGTACCTGAGTCGATTAGTCCCATGCTCGTAATGATTCATTCTATGTTGATAGAAGACATACCAACTGGCTGCTCGATCCACACGACATTCGTCAGATTGCTCCATGCATAAGTATTCTTTACAGGCCGATAGGTGCCAGACATCCAAGTGACTGGACCATTCTCCTTGAAGAAACCGTCCAGACTCGAGCATCCGGGCCCTCCATTGAGCCATATCAGGATCTCCTCGCTCGCATCGGGGTTCTCTGTCGGCACGTACCAGAACCATAGCTCTTTGCTATCGTCGACTGGTAGCAGGCCGGCATATGATTCGCCAATGTCGAAATCAACCTCCGGCAATGCACTCCCGTTCACTGCGAAGGGCGCAGTCTTGTCATTGAGATGGTGCTGGACCTGGCGCTGCTCAATTGAGTGCGACGAGACGGCCGCTCGAGGAGCTGATGGCCCGACCCTGGGACCATACTTCTGACCTTGTTTGATAGGAGATGATGGAGCCTGGTCGGCACAGGAGAAGCCTGCAAGGGCAGCCAATGCTACTAGGCGGGTAGAGAAAAGCATGGTGATGGGGGAGGAGAGACAATGGCGACGCGGGGTGGCATGACGATGCAGCGGTGATAAGCTAGTTTATATAGCATCTTGTTGTTAGTTAATTACTGTGATGATCATGTTGATCGACATGTTCAGTGAATAGATGAAGGCTGATAGCTTTACCAACATTGGAAAAGTCTAATGTTTGTCCGCCTGCCCGTTCCGGCCAAGTCCGCAGGGCCCCCACTGGGATGTGTTGACGTAACTCGGCCACCTCTTCACTCCGTCTAATTACACCGTCTACACCGTCTAACAGGCCTGGCAAGGTACGTACCCGGTCTATCGGTGGTAAGATATCGTGGAACCGTCGACAGTGTCATCCAATCGAGTCTTGCTAAATGCCACCGAGCGGTGCCGCCAATAAAATATGTACATGGATGTGTGAGCGCGAGCATTCGTGTGTATGGGTCCATCAATCTACTAGTTTATAGTAGAGACCAATATTCTCATGCACCATCATGGAATAGTGCCGTGTCAATTTAATGAGCATGCCTAAAGGCTCTGGCGTGATGTCAAAGTTATATATCGCGCTGCTGAGAGGCGTGGTGGGACAACGATGGGAAAGTCTGACAACAGCCACAACACCAGCATTCATTCACACGATCCATCTCACCCCTGTCCATAAATCCGACTCCACGACTCAACGGACGGTGGCCAAAGCTCAGTATAAGCTCAAGCCTGGCAAAGCTTGGTTCAACAGCCCACAGGCAGTGTATTATGCATACTCAGTGAGAAAAGATCATTGCTAATCCAACATGTCCAAAACTTATTCTCCAATCTTGCGAATCAATCGCTCAGACGGCTCGACACGCTGGGCCCACTCGGTCCAGCTGCCATCATACAGCTTCCTGCCCTCCTCAGGAAATCCAGCTTCCGTCAACGCTGCATCAATCACAGCGGCCGTCACTCCAGTCCCACAGCTGCATACTATTGGTTTGGAAGGATCAATCTCTTTCTTTTCAAACAGCTCTCTCAGCTCCGCTGCGGGTAGAAGAGCCTTTGTACTTGGGTCGAGTAAGGAAGGTACTGGGACGGACTTTGAACGGGGAATATGTCCAGAGGAAAGACCTACCATCCTGTTAGCAACGATACAATATGATCAATCTTTGTCAACTCACCCGGTCTGGGTTCCGGCTCAGTGCCCTGAAATCGTGCGCCACTCCGCGCATCCAGCACTTGCACTTCCTCTGCGCCCTCTTTTCCCTGCTCTTGTACAATCTCTTTGAGCTCTTCGAATGAAATGACCTTGGTCTTGTCTAGTGGCTGTACGTCATAATCTTTAGGAGGACCACCTGGTGGCTCGCCAGTCTCTAGAGGGTAACCTTGCTCACACCACAGCCGGAAGTTGTTTAGAATGTGTACGCTGTTGTGGCCAAACACTTTAAGTGTCCATGCGACTCGTGGAGCGCTAAATATACCAAGCTCATTCGTGTCGTATACAACAACGCTGTCGTCGCGACGAACTCCCAGCTTTCCCATAGCGTCGGCGAAGGCTTCTGCTGAGGGCAGCATGTGTGGATAAGGCGAGTCTGGGTCTTTCACGGCGTCGATGTCAAAGAAGCGCGCGCGGGGGATTCTGGACTTGCTGAAGGATTCCCATCCTGTTCTCTTGGAAGGGTCATTGGGAAGATACCAGCCGGCGCAAATAGGGACAATCTTCGGAGCGGTGCTGAGCTTGCTATGCACGTTCTTCGAGAGCGCTTCGTTGAGTTGTGCCGGCGTGACGATGTAGGATGAGAGTTGACCGTATGACCTGGCCTGGAAGCTGTTAAAGTTGCCCTTGGCACGTACAACACGCTGTACCGAGGCACGAAAAGGTGCCGCGACCATCATATTGACGAGCGAGTGTCTCGTCTGATGAGAGGATGCAGTCGTGAAGGCATGCGAGATGAAAGTCGTACGGGCAGACCCAGAGTTCAACACAGACTCAGTTTGGCCGCCCAGATGAGGGGGCAGATGCTTGAAAGAGCAGGGAACGCACTTGGTGGAGTTGGTGATCGTCCCCGCCCTCGATCCCTTTCCCCAGACTGGGACTGATAAGAGCGGTCATGTTTCGTCACACGAGTAATGAGGTGATGCTTTCTCTTGTGCGTGCGAGGAGCGCTACAGTAAGAAGAAGACAAGTGCTGTCGTTATGAGCAGAGCTTGTACGAGTCCGCCTGCGAGCCACAGCGGCTGTTCCCTCTAGTCGTCTACTTCATGCAAGATAAGCACTCAAGTAAGATGAAGGAATAGTCGAGGAGTTTCTTGAGTTTTCAATGAAACACCATATGCATGTATATATGAACATGTAAAGACAGTACTTGCAAACATTGAATGAAATACAAGGCCGAGCAATAGTTGATACATGTTTCTGAGCAGTATGGAGCTATGACCACCTTCTCACCACAAGCGCATCCAACGTGGGAAGCATTCATTCCATACGGGATAGTCTCATACTCTGTAGACACCCGACGCGTAAACCTTCTGACCACTCCAAAATCGCCCGGATACCACAATGAAGGTCACAATCAAGCAGTGGAATGCCGTCGCTGCATGGCGCTGGGACATGCCCGAGGACGACATGTGCGGCATCTGTCGCAATCCCTACGACAGCACATGTTCCAAGTGCAAGTTTCCAGGCGATGAGTGTCCTCTCCGTAAGCTGTTGTGCCCAGGCCGACGTGATATGAATTGACTGACATCGTATAGTCATAGGCGAGTGCAACCACTCATTCCATATGGTACCCTTTCCTCCTTCTCACACCGCCTGTGCATGACCAAGCTCACGACGATCACTAGCACTGTATATACTCGTGGCTTCGTCAAGAACAATCACAGGAGAAGTGTCCCATGTGTCGCCAACGTATGTCATGTTCTCGCGTGGGCTGGTATATGATGGGTACTAATGCGCGCGAAACAGCTTTCAAAGCAAAGGACGCCAACGAGCAGCCTTCTGTCGTGGAGCAGTCGAACGTGGTTGCAGCAGCTGGATGATTCACATGTAGAAAGAGGTGTGCATTGGAGATCCGAATAGCAATGAACCTAGATGGCATTGGGTACAGATTCTCATTCTCGCCGGATAATGATACCGACACTCAGCTCCCTCACGAGGGCAGCTTCGTGCTAGAGATAATAAATACGCGGAGTGCAAGAAGACGGCGACATATATTCTTCAGAGAGGATGCGCAACGAGAACGTACATGCAAAGCGGCCGGGGAAGATTGGATAGTGTATTGTTTTGGCGAAGAAGCGTTAGGCAACAAGGCAAATATCTCATAAGGCTGAGGCCGAGCTCGCGTATCGATAAAGCCTATAGCAACCTATAATTACCTCTGAGTCTTCCTGTTTTCAATACCTGCATCTTTACTCTAAGAACTCAATGTCCAAAAGCGATAATGTCTAACAGCCCTGGGAGAGCTTCCTTGGTTCCCTCGCCTTCTCTACAGGACGCCGCGACCGGTTCCAGAAAGCTCCCATCACGACAAGCTTCACCAAACGTTGTAGAGCAGCAAGCTATAGACCCAGAGCCGACCGAATATGTCGAGCCCGACAATGCTCAGCTACTACCGCCAGCGAACTTTGCCCCATTCTTCACTGTGATTGAAGACACTGCTACAGGCGAGCACTATCACCCGTCCGTACATTACATATTCTCCGACGATGACCAAGAAATCATCACCGCGGCCGCGATGCGCGAGCTTGGATACGACGATTCCCACGACGAACCGCAAGAAGACGACCGCTCCGACGCCACCATAACTATCCTACCTCCCACACAGCCGGGCGTCAAAGAACGCTACCTTCTGCTGGACATCAGTCCTGACGGTCAGACAGTCGCGGAAACACAGAGCATGAGTCGGGACTGGCAGGTGACAGACACGGATGTGTGTGCGGCACCTACGTGGGACGCAGATTCAGGGTCGGGAAACAGTGCTCTCATGCTCAAGATTGGGGGCGTGGAAATCAGCCATTCTGATGCGGAGAGCAGGCCCAGCGCAGAGACCCTGCTTACGGAGGCTCGGAACGAGGCTTCTGGCGATCTTCTGGCGGCGCTCGACAGCCTATCTGCACGATTCGATAAAGAGCTTGGTGCCTTGACCAGACTTTTGGATGATGAACCGCCAGTCGAGGCCACACGCGCCGAAACACAGGCCGGTCCCTGAGAGGGATGCAGCATCGACACCAACTCTCATGTCGTCTAGATCAAGTCCTCGAAGTCACAATAAGAGTGTTCTCGCTCTTATCTTGCAGCAAAAACCCTACCTGCCATCTATGACAAGTGCCAGCAAGGAGTACACAAAAACTGAACAACCTTCAGGACATCACATCCGATACAATCTCGTGTAACCAGGACAGACTTCCGAGTCTCAATTTATCCCACAGTTTTCTTCTACTTTGAGCGATCAAAAGCCCCGGTCTAAAGGGTGGACAAAAGTACACCAAGCTCCAGGACTACCCCTCACATTGGTCCCCGGGTCGTAATTCGGCATTTGACATGATGTCCTGCAGAAAGACTGGACCCCAGAAGTCCCCATGGTCGCAGACAGCCCCGTCAATCTCGAATGCAATCGTCCACTCCACCCTCCGCCTCCCCGGCCATCCGCCCATGGGCACCGTCGACGTCGTCATCGCCCATGGACGTGTCGTGGGCGTGCTGCATACCAGGGACGAACGAGTATCTGACTGATGGTCGGCTGGATGTGCGCAAGACGATGCCCGATTGCGCGCTGTGGGTTACTTTGAGTATGCCGTTGTGCGCGATACGTTTTGAGATGGTTATTTCTGGTGCTGAGGGCGTGCTTTTGGATGGGTTGGAGGGGAGTGTGTGGAGGAATAGGGCGTTGGCGGGGGTGGGGAGGAGGAGGGGGATGGGGAGGGGGAGATGGGGGAGGAGATGGAGGAGGAGGAGGGGGAGATGGTTGAGAAGAAGGAGAAGGGGAAGGAGAAGAAGGAGAAGGGGAAGGAGAAGAAGGAGAATAGTGGTGACGAGGGCGTAGAGAGTGAGAGCATCGCACTGGTCAAGGCGAAGTAGAGACGGCATAAGGGTTGGATTTATATATGAATGCACACATTATCAAACCCTAAACCCGCACCGCCTTCCATGTACTTACTTACTACCTACCCTTGGTCGGTCGTAGCCAGTACACGAAGACCATACCTGTATACTCTACGTAATACATACATACATACACAAACCCTTCGTTCACATCAGTCAACAAAAAGGTGATCTTATTCCTTCCTTCCTTTCCACCTTCCCTCCCCCCTCTCTCTCTCTCTCTCTCACACACACATACATACACACTTTGTGGCACGCACGCAATGTTCAGCTTTCTCCATTCCATTCCATGCTGTACCTACCTACCTACTACCTTATGTACAGGGAACGACACAAAAAGTAAACACAACAAAACAAAACAAAACAGACAGACAGACAAACAAACGCCAAACGCAGGTCTGTCTGATATGGGCTTTTCGAGGCCGAGTTTCAAAAGCCCACTTGTTCTTTCAAGAAAATTGTACAGAGGGGGTTTGGGTGTGTGGCTCTCTTTTTTGTCTTTAAAAAAAGGCTTCGTTTCGAATACATGTATCCTTTGCCCTTCCTTTCTCGCTCTCGCGCTCTTCATCTATCTATCTATGCAGTTGCCGTTAGACCACCCTCGATTGGTCCGTAGTGTGCTTGCGGGTCTGGGACAGCAAGGTTAATACGTGCAGTCTGATGTTCCATGGGCATCGCTTACCTGGATAACCCTGAGCTAGGAAGTTGGTCTTTGGGTTCTTCGTTGCCTTTGCGGCAGAGCATCGTGCCATGGTCGGCGAGCTGAAGACATGTTAGCCATACTAGCCTGATCTCGTATAGGGAGAAGGAGGACTCACTTTCTCGATATGGCGTCTGTAAAGTAAAAGTTCTCGATGGGCTTCTTGAAAGGGGTGTTGCCAGTCTTGGCACCCTTGTTCATATCGACGAGCTGGACCTTGCTCAGTGCTCCTACGGTTTCACTTGGCTTCTCGACCACGTCGTACATCCGCAGCGCAGGGGAAATCTCCTCCATGCGATCCCTCAAGGCCTCGATGTCATCGTAAGGTAGGGGAGCACCAAGGAACTCGGAAGCTGCGCGGATAATCTTCCAGTCATCACGAGCTGCACCAGGGAGAGAAACAGCATTTCGAGTAACTTGCACACGCCCCTCGGTGTTGACGTAGGTAACAGACTTCTCTGTATAGGCAGCCGCAGGAAGGACGACGTCGGCGAGTTGAGCACCCTTGTCACCGTGGTGGCCTTGGTAGATGACGAATGCGTCCTTGGGGATGTCGGCCTCGCTGATCCCGTCAGCACCAAGCAGCCAAATAACCTTAGCCTTGGTGTTGGCGACCTCAGCTGATGGGACAGCAAATCCGACTTCATATGCACCCGTGCGAGATGCATCACGCTGCAGGATGTTGTAGCCATTCCACTCCGGAGTCAAGAAGTTGGCTTTGCTCTTCTCGACGAACGAGCCGACCGTCTCGAAGATGGCCTTTGCGTCCGGATGCTCAACAGCAGCACTTCCGACAATAATCATAGGGTTCTTGGCCGACTGCAGCTTCTTGCCAAAGGGTCCCGACAGCACAGACTTGATGTCTGCGGCATTCGAGCCAAGGTTCTCATAATCGAATGTGCTCTCGAAATCCTCTCCTACAAGCCCGACTTCAAGATCCGATCGTAGCCATTGCTTTCGGATGCGAGCGTTCAGGACGGCTGCCTCGTGCCTCGGGTTTGTGCCAATCAGTAGTATCGCATCGGCCTCTTCAACACCGGTGATCTTCGAATTGAAGACGTAGTTGGATCGGACGTCGATTCCGTGAGCTGGCGGTTGGCTGCCTTGAACGTAATCCTGGGCCAGATTTTCAGATCCTAGCTTGTTGACCAGGTCCTTCATCGCCACAAGTGCTTCGGTCTCGACCAGTTGCCCAGCAATAGCCTTGAACTCGTGGCCCTTTGGTGACAACTGCTGGAACTTGTCGCTAATCTCAACCAGCGCTTGCTCCCATGTGGCCGGGAGGAACTGGTCGTCCCGTCGAATGAGCGGGTTCGTCAGTCTCTGAGTGCTGAGCGCGTCGCAAGCGAATCTTGATTTGTCGTCAATCCATTCCTCGTTGATATCATCATTCAGTCGTGGGAGAATCCTAAGCACTTGCATGCCTCTTGCGTCAACCCGGATGTTTGAGCCGAGACCGTTCATTACGTCTATTGTTTCCGTGTGATATAGCTCCCATGGACGAGCCTTGAACGCGTATGGTTTTGAAGTAAGGGCGCCGACAGGACAGAGATCAATGACGTTGCCGGAGAGTTCGGTATCGAGGGCGGTTTCGAGATAGGTTCCAATCTGCAGGTCGTTTCCACGGCCGGTAGAGCCGAGCTCGGGAGCACCAGCGATGTCATTTGCGAACCGAACACACCTCGTGCAGTGGATACATCTGTTCATAGAAGTCTGCACATTGTCAGCAGGGATTTTGATAGCCTTGAAGAAAGTATGTATACCTTCACGAGAGGCCCGATGTTCTTGTCTTCGACCGCGCGCTTGCCGCCGATTTCGTGGAAACGCCCTCTGTCCGCTCCGTACCGCATGGATTGATCTTGCAAATCACACTCTCCTCCCTGGTCGCAGATGGGACAGTCGAGAGGGTGATTGGCGAGTAGGAACTCCATGACACCTTCCCTAGCTTTGTGTGTGAGAGGAGAGTTCGTCTTGACGACCATGCCTGGCTGTACGGGCCAGGCGCAGGATGCGACAGGCTTCGGCGCTCTCTCGACCTCCACCAGACACATTCTGCAGTTACCGGCAATCATGAGCTTCTCGTGGTAGCAGTATCTCGGGACTGTCACCCCCGCCTTCTCGCAAGCCTGGATCAGCGCGGAGCCAGCTGTTATATGGGTCATCAGAGGAGGTTCGGGGGAATCACAGGTCGGTCAATTGTTCTCGTACCTTCTATCGACACTTTCTTGCCATCTACAGGTCGGATTAGCTGGGTCGGGGAAGCTTGGAGGAGGTGACATACCGATTGTGAGCTCGACCTCTGCAGGCCGGGGAGCCGACGCAGCAAATGCCCGGGAGCCATTGAGGCACGTCGGTCGCTGAGGCCTCTTGAGCGACCGGATCAAATGCTGCCGCAGCATTTTTGGGGGATGAGTGGAGTTTAGGTCGAAGTCGTGAGGTCGTGAAGGAGGCGACTTTCATTGACGTTGAAGAGTCGTGAGGGCTTGGCACGCAGATCTGACCAATGCGGAAAACGCAGCTTTTGATTCGCCGAGGGGCTTGAGGTTGGAACGACAGACAGAGTGAAAGACGGAGCGCGAATTGCTTCGACCAAAGTCAGTGTCTTCAATTGGCCTCTATCGACTCATTTCAGACTTGGCTATGACTGAATCTTTCATTGTAACCTTCGAAGATGCGGACCGACTTAGCTGCAAGTCTCTACAGATAGCTTTAAGATGAGAGGCTTCATGCACGGTATCATTCAATCACTTGTAACTCGTCCGAAACATGCATCTCACGCTCTCGTTTTCAAAGTTAAGACTAGCAGCTTACGTAGTGTAGATACTACCCGTAAGTCAAGAGACACACAGCACCCAGAGCCTCGTGCATGGTTCTCACTAAAAGTGATTAACCCATTCATTCTTGATTCTTGTTGTAGATTGACGTCTCTCCGATGACCACTCATCCATATTCCATATATATGGCTGTGTGTGTGTGTGTGTGTGTGTGTGTGTGTGTCTGCCTAGCCCACACTACATGCGATATAAAATATGCGTAATCTGGCCGGTCTAGTCTTCACATGGACTTGTAAACCTTTGGTATCTTCATCTGATACTGCCCCTTCGGCCTCGTGTCTTGTTTATTCACGGTAATAGACAGTGTCTACCTCAGTCCAGACAGGCACACACCAAGCAAAACAGCTTCCAATCACAGCTTCCAATCACAGCATCCAATCTCAGCACACGAACGAATCGATCCCTTTATACCCAAACCCAGACCCCGATAAGCCCCCAGGGCAGGCAACCTGAGCTGTCCAAGGATAATCTGAACGATTCAACCCGCCCCTTCAAGCCAGCCGTTCTATGTACTATTACTACTAGGGAAGAGAGGAGAGGAGAGGAGAGGAGAGGAAGGCAGACGTTCGACAGTCAAGAAGCAGCGCGTGTAGGACATTCAATCTATAATTAGTCTATGAACTCGGCCGCGGACAAGCTGGTTCGAGCAAGGACGGACACAAGCGGTGCTTGTACATCCATGGGTTGACTTCGTCTCTCCTCCAACATAACTCCAAACCTCTGATATATAAAATCCATACCCCTCCCAAACCGGGCGGAGCACGGCGGAAGTCATCGGCGTCCCGCCGGCCGGATCGATAACTGAATATAATAGCTATCCTTATGCACCGCCCCCCCCTTGGGCTGGTACACTACAACGAACCGTTAGTCTACCTAAATATTTTTCTTATCTTGGAAGATAACAATGATAAGTAAATAAACGAGTAAATAAACAAATAAACAAACAGGTAAACAAATAGATAAATAAACGACTATTAGGTAAACAAAGGAATAACAAATAAATAAATAAATAAATAGTGGTAAATGATAAACAATGGGTAATAAACAAGAATAATTAAACAATAAACGACGATAAAGTACTACTAATGGAATGAACAATGGACAATGGATAATGGATAATAGCCATTAAAATGATAATAATAAATTAATAATAATAAACACCTGTCCGTTCGTTAGTTAATTAGTTAGTTAGTTAGTTAATAGAGAGTCTACGCAAATTACTATCATCATCACAAGCAAGGCCGGTTCGATCGATCGAATGAAGAAGAAGAAATATGAATAGAGTAAAAGTTATTCTTGTTCGTAGTAGAGTAGTAGTAGAGTGATAGTACTAGTGGTGGTAGTGGTAGTGCTAGTAGTAGTGGTGGTGGTGGTGGAACATGCATGGGAGCAAGGGAAAAAAAAAGAAACAAACAAGCCGGGTCAAGGCATCTTTGGTAGAAACATACATACAGGCAGCGTCGTCCGGCCGGTAAAAGGACTACAGACGACTCTTTCCTCCACATCCCTCCTTCCGTCAATCAAGACACCTCATAAACGCCGCATAAGATGCAGAAACAAAAGCAAAAAAAAGGAAAAATCGAAACTGCTTTTCCCTTTCATTAAGCAGCCAGTTCACACTAACAGTAATCCCCCCGGGTACGGCCGCTCCCCGATATCCCCTCCCCCAACCCCCTTCCCTTCTCATCATAAAATTAAGGCGGCCTTTGCTGGTGTGTCCCCCGGGATCTGCTGGGTTGTGATAAAAGATACTGGCAGGAGTATAGTAGTGTGGCAAGGTAGTATGCGGTAGGTCAATCCTGGACGTACGACAAATATATATTCGGCGAGAAATACGTCGCGCCGGAAGCCGGGTGATTTGGGCCGTAGAGGCGGACAAGAACGTAGGTGTGTTGTCTGCTGGTGAGACGCAGTGGAGTTTTGGATAGACAGGGACATGTACGCCCAACCGGGAACGCCAGGTAAATGTTGTAGTCCAAGAGGGCATCTGTGAGCCTTGTGTGGTTGTGTGTGCTCGTGTGTGTGTTGGTGTGAAAATCGTGCAGAGGGATGCATATCGTCTATGGGGAAAATGTCGCAAAAAAACAATTGGCAAAATACATCGTGACCTCACTCGAGCGAGGGTGTGTGTGAGAGAGAGAGAGAGAGAGGGGGGTCGAAAAAGGTTCAGTCGGAGCGTTCGTGTTTGATCGGGTGCAGCAGCGCGGGCATGAGACATAGCCGACCGCTTCCCTCCTTCTCTTCTGCCGCGCCGCCCTCGTTGTTCTCCTTTGAGCCAAGCCATCTCCTCCAGAGAGCAGAGGAGAAGCCACTGTTGTAGTAGAAGGTGCTGCCCTCGTGATTGTGCTCCCCGAAGCCAAAGACTGACTCAGATGGGGTCGGCGGAAAGTTGAAGGTGTTGTCGAGCACATTCAATGGCCATTCGCGGTCGAAGAAGATGGGATGCGGGACGTAGGCCGCCTTGAAACCGTGATGAAAGGCAACAGTTGGTGGCCACATCTCCGGGAACATGTGATGCCTCATCCGGAACTCCTCCTCATGAGCGTATTCCAGCAGCTTCCTCGACAGACGAGAGACTGTGATGATGGACGTGCGGCGAGGAGGTGGGGGTAACGACAGATTGTAGCCAGTAACGTCGTTGCGGAAGACCCAGTTGGTCTTGAGAGGATCAAAAAGAGGGTTGAATGTGAGCAAATCAGCCTCTTCTCCAACGCCCCACTCGTAGTTGTCATGCTCATACGAGTGAGGTGGCGAGCTTTCCAAAGGATGGTCGAGCATTCCCGAGTTCTCAAAATTCACCGGGCCCCAGATGGGCTTCTCGCCGCTGTCTTCAATCTCCTTCTCGACAAGATCCCTAAAGTCTCTCCACGAGCCATGCTTGCGGGGAATGTAGTATTTGGCACTGCGCTCCCACAAGCCCTTGCGTGGCTGGTCCTTGGCCCAGTTGATGATACCCTGGTTGAGCTCGTAGTTGTGCCCGGTAAAGCGGAGATCCATCTCCCAGTTCCAGAAGAAGTCGTACTCGGGATGCTCGTGCGCAAAGACTTGGAGCGGAAGATGAGCACCCCGGTAGACACCATGAATCGGCTGCTTCGAGTCATTCTCAATATTCCACTCGAACGGACCGGGGTAGATGGTCTCCATCTGCTTCTCGGACCACAGGCTTGCAATGCCCCAGAACTCTTCGGGTACGTTTGCTCGCAGGGTGGTCTCGTAGACTTCGTCCGAGGCCCAGATGGGAATGTTGTTGTCCTTGACGTGCACAAGCAGATGGACATCGTACTCGCCACCACTCTTGATGCTGAGCTCGCTAATCATGGCACGCAGCGACATGATCTGCCACGGCGAGTAATCGTAGCCCGTCCAGGCACGGAGGATAAAGGCTTGACGAGTGGACATTTTCTTGTTGGGAGCAGCCTTGGAGCCGTCAGGCATGACGGCGTCCTTGGAGAAGCGAATCTTGTTCCTTTCGTAGCACCTCTTCTGGGCCTTGCCCCAGTCAATGCCGCGCCAATCTATCGGACTGCCCATTTGGCTCCACAGCTTCTCGACAACGCCATTCTTTTCGGAATTGTCAGCAAGACCGAAGCCACCAAGTTCAGGAGGATAGCCATAGCCGTAGGGGGCAAGTCTGCCAAAGCGATCAAAACAGTTTTTCTTGGTGAAACCGAGCAGCTGGTGAGAGCCGAAGAAGGGCTCGGTCATGTTCTGTGGCAGGCCAGGATAGGCGTAGATGTCTGGAGCCTCGAGTGTGTTTTGCGGGTCGAGGTAGCATTTCTGAACGGGCTGGTTGTCTTTGAGATATTCGGCAGACTCGTAATCAGGGTATGGAATGTAAGGAGCAGGATCGAGTGGTGGAGGATCCGAGGGATCGATCTTGTTCAGAGTGGGAATGGAGGAAGGCAGAGGAGGTGAATCGGGGCCGATGAACCTGTCCTTGAATGACTGCTCTGACACAAATTCGTTGTAGGGGACCAGGGTGCGAATGCCGTTGTAGAAGCCATTCAGTCTGCAGTGCAACGCGTCAGAAGGGGCAGTTCAGTCGAGCTTTAAAAGGAAGAGACTCACCTGGGATAGCGTTGCCAGCGGAACGGACCTCGCGGTCTCCTCTCGATAAACAGAGTCTGACCGTGTCTCCAGAAGCCTCCAAACAGCAGCGTTGCGCACATGAAAGTGAGGACGAGGTAGAACAAGAGGCGAGTAAAGGTCAGCCTAGGCATATGGAAGCGTCCCTTCCGGCTGGGCGAGGCACTCCATCGCGGCAGAGGAGAAGATTTTAGAGAGTCGAGAGGCACCTTTTCGTGGTCGACCTTTGACTTGGCCGTCAGAAGATTACCGGGATTTAACTTGCTGAAACGCGATGTTAAAGAGACCATGATTGCGATATATGAAATTATTTTATTTTCTTTTTGGGAAAAGCTCAGATCAGCATCACCGAAAATGCAGCGCGTTGGCCAGAAGGAAGTGGTAGTAGTAGGGTTGTTCTCTGGGAATGGGCGCAGGGAGCGCGACGTGCTTTTTTTTGAAAAGACCAGCGAAGGAGAAAGAAAAGAGACTAGTCCAGTATTAAGTATGCTGAGGAGGAGAGTGGCGGTGCGCGCGACAGCAAGGCCTGGTGGGTGTGGAGGACGAGTGGGAGTCGGCAGAGTCGGAGAGAGAGAATATAACGAGTGAAGAGTCGGTAGAGGAGGGTTCGGCGAGAGAAGTGTCTGTCGGAAGAGGAGTGAGAGATGGATTGAGAGGGAGAGAGTGTTGTGATTAGGGAAGCTGGGCGGAAGGAGTAAGAAAAAGAGCACCTGAGGCAGCTTTTGGAGGCAGCTGTGCGAGGGGACCTAAGGGGTGTTGCAACAGAAACGGGGGCGGGTCAACGGGGGCAGTAGTCAGTAATTAGTAGAGGAGTAGTAGTCGGAGTAGTCGTAGTAGTAGTGGGCTGTCCTCGGCGGTTCTTTTGGGGGGGAAGAGTGGGCAGTGTGGGCAGCTAACGGGCGCGCTGTCAGGGAGCAGTAAAGTGGTAGAGTGCAAACAAGTATTATTATTACAATTGCTTGATTATTACGTTCCAAACAAATGCGTCTGATTCGCTGATACAACGTAGATTTTAGTATCTTGTCTAGCATGCCCCTTGACAAAGACATGACTCATCGGGTAGTAGTACGGTGTAAGTTGTAATAAAAGGCTACTCTGAGCCTAGCAGCTGTCCAATCTCCAATCTCCAATCTTACGGTGGGACCTGACAGGAAAGTGAGGAAGCACCGAGAAGGGGGAGAAAGTGGACAGAGCGACAGAGCAACAATGAGCGTCAGGGGGCAATGGGAGATTTGGGAAGGCGCGAGTGGGACTTGCTCCACCGTCCCGTCCACACTTGGTTAGTATCATATCGATTCAAATGCTCTGATTGGTAATCGGACAGTGCGCCTGCTTTATGATGGCTATAAGTTATATTACTTTGTGCCATTCCCGCATCTGCACTTGCCACCTGCCACCTGCCACCTGCCACCTGCCACCTGCCTGATGATACATGTAATAGCTTTAGGAAGGTACTCATCACTCACTGTCTACACTTCAATGGGACTGACTGACTGACTAACCTCGGACTGCTACTTACTACCACTACTACACTCCTCCTACACTATCCCACTCTACACCTCTACATATATCCATCTATACATCTATACATCCCTTCATATACAAGTACTCTATCGGCAGCCCTCGACTGTTCGGCAATCACCCTTCGGATCACTGCAGACTAGGGTATCTGCCCCGATATTTATTGATTTCTATCCAGCCAGCCAGCCAGCCCAGCAGCTCCGTCTTTGATGCAAAGAAAAGATAACAATCACTTGTCCTATCCGCTTGGCAAACCCACTTGTCCACGGGCCCTCATTCCCCATGCCCCGTTGCTAACCTAGTATGGGTATGATACAGTAGTACTAATCTACGATTCGCAATCAATTTTATTCCCTACTGAGAAGACGCCATATCACGGCCTGCCCGCCTACCTGCACGATAATTATTACAGGTACCATAGACATCGAGTGCACTCTCTACTGCCTGCTAACAAGTAGCCCCCTCACAGCACCACTCGAAATGTACACCGGATAATCCTCATAATCCTATCCCCATCTCCTGAAAATGGGTCTTTTTTTTTGGCCGCTAGTCCGGCAGATAGCGTCCACTCCCAATCTACACTAGCGCTTAACGCCTCCATATCGAACTTGAATCATCGCCTCCGCCTCCTCTGCCACTTTGTACTTGCTGTACTTTGTAACGTCGTGCTGATACGAAGCGTAACATCAAACCAAATCGTATCTCGTAACGATTTCACCACTCCATCGTCCTTCTAGAACCATCTTCAGGACCGACTGTTCCTTCTACCTGTCTTGTCTATATCTATACTCCTCAGCATGCACGACATGAATCATTCGAATCTACATGAAGCAGATCTGCACCTGCACCATCAACCTCCTGTCCTAATTACAACATCCCCTGCCTATCTGTCTGTCTGTCTGTCTGCCTGCCTCTGTCGCACGTCGTCGCACGTTGTCGCACGTATGCCATGTCCGACCACCATAGAACGTCCCGAGCACCGTCTTTACATGCCCATGTGCCCTCCTCATCTAAAACCCCGGCGCATCTACTTCCTAAATAATCAATTAATTAATTAATTAACATATTACCTACTAAGTTAACGTACCCACTAATGAGCCAACCTACTAATAAACCACGTGATTTGAGTACGCGTCTACACGCGTACTTAATCTTTAATCTTAAAATACTTAATAACCACGCCTCCTCTACCTTCTTATAATACCTTATTTAGAAGATAATCTCTTAACGGCTATTTACTATTACTATTATTATCCCTATATATTAATCTAGGCCGTAGCTACCGCCCATAGTATCCTATACTCTACTCTTTAAAAACGCCTTAATAGATAGTAAGGCTCGCGCTAAGTAACTAATTATTACCTTTAAATACTATCTCCTAATTAAGAGAAGAACCTATATAATTAGATAATCTACTTAGATTAGATACGGATGGCCCCAAGCCACGTAATTATCTATAATATAGTAATTAAAATCACGGCTATATCTAGAGAAATAGTTAAATTAGATAAGAGATAGATTATAAAGTTTCTAATATAGAATACACGTGTTAAAATACTCCTTAGTAAGGCCCTTAATAAGGAACGGGTATAGGCCGCTATCTATAATATAATTAACGCGTTCTACACGTTATATGATTAGATCTACTCCGAATTCGATATCCCGCCTAATTACCGTTAGAATATAGACGAATAAGATATAGCCTAAGGGGTTATAACTAATTAATACCGTGTAGGAGAGATAGGAGTTAATTCTAAGCGTAAAAATATATATATTCGGGGTTCTACCGATCGCGAATAGGCCTTAATTATAGAGTATATATCCGTAATAGAATAGAAGCTTTATTCTATGATTATATTTAAAGGGAAGATAATTTAGACTACGTGGTTCCCGGATAATCCTCCTAATTAGATATATATAGTATCTCTATATAGTTAGATATTAAATTAGATTACTCTAAAGTAGCTATAGAGTATATTTATACTAGAGATAAAGGTTCTAGAAGGAAAGTAGAGACTTCTATTAGTTAACGGCTATAGAAGCTATATAGAGATTAACTTCGCGTATATATACTAGGTAAATAGAATCTATATAGTCTATTTACCTACTTATACTAGCTATATACTATAGCTACTCGACTTAGGTTATTTTTCTAGTCTAAAGAGAAAATATCGTAACCTCCTTAACGAATTTATAAGAATAGGGTTATTAGATAGTAGTGTAGTTAGATAGAATAATAGGGTGTATTCTATTATAGAACGAATTACTATCGAACCCTTTTAGTAGGAATCCGAGAGTATATATATAAAGGGACGCCGATCTATCTAGTATATAACTATTTACTACCCTTTACGTTACCTTCTAACTCTATTAGCTAAGGTACGTGTTAGAACTTAGCCTTAGATAGAATCTAATCTACACGTACCTTAGCTAATAGGGTTAGAAGGTAACGTAAAGGGCGGTAAACAGTTATATACTAGATAGATTAGCGTCCCTTTATATATATACTCTTAGATTTCTACTAAAAGGGTTCGGTAGTAATTTATTCTATAATAGAATATACCCTATTATTCTATCTAACTATACTACTATCTAATAACCCTATTCTTATATTTAAATTACTCCCTATATAGTACTATAGTTAAGATAGTCTAACTAGAACTAAGAAGGTTAACATAATCTACTATAGGGATAAGTAATACTATATTAAATAATAGGGATCCTCTATAATTAGTATTAATCCTAGCCATTTCTAACTAAGAAGTAGAAATATTAGACTAAATTATAGAGCTTTTAGATGAAGAAATAGTAGATATACTAAGTAACTTCTAATAATATAAAGCCGGATAACGAGTCGTGGCGGAGCCACGCGAGGTATTATAATAAACTATTACTAAACTTTAGAAATACGTCGCGAATTAGGCTTAAGAGATTTAAACTCTTAAAGAATAGATAGAACGCGTGAAACTCCTTATAAAGAGACGAGAACTTAAGGAGTCTCTTAAAGAACTATACCGAACGATAGTAGGTAGACGACTTCCTATACTAATTTAGATAGAATTAGTTTACCTACCATTAGAGTTACGATAATCTACCGTATACCTAGCCGCTTCGTTACTAATTTACTCTACTCCTTCCCTAGATATACTAAAACCTAAAGACCCGACTATATTTATAGGGAAGAACTAAAAGAAGTAGAAAGACTAGAAGAGAGACTACGAAAAGTACTTCCTTAATAACCCTCTACTCTTTTCTACTAAAGTATAACGTATTTTATTTAGAGAACGATATCTAGACTTATAATCCTACGATTAATAGAATAGATAGAAGGAAGTATAGCTACTATCTACGATAACCTAGGAATATTTAGCTATATTTATACTAAATACCCTCGGAACGGATAGAGAACGTGAAAGAAAGGTACTATCTAAGTTAAGAAGCGTGGTATAACGACCGAACTAGACACCTACTTAACTACTATAATACCTCTAAAACCTATAGAATAATATCCCTATACTATAGAAAAATATTTATATATTCTAGTTTCGCGAAGTACTACTTCTGTTAATCCGTGAAAGACTAGAAATAGTATTATTAAGTTTTAACTATCTATATAAATTAGAGGAGAAAGCTAATAAATACTACTATATCCTTAAGGAACGCGGCTCTCTAGATAAAACCGACGAACTCTATATAGATCAGAAACGAGGTCGATTAAATATATTTAATTAAGAGTAACCTTACCGCGATTAGCGCTAGAAGAGCGTAA